ATGATTACCTTGCGACCTTGCGATGATTTCAGGGCTCAACGTCCCCGCGGCCCGGTCCTCGACCAGGCCTTCTTATCATATCTTATGTTATGATAAACATAAAATCACTACACTCACTCTTGATGTACGATACTTACCTCAAATGCTTCTTAGAACTGTAACAGAATCGACACGAGAAACAAATATATATTTGATATTACAAGATTATTTACAAGGGCCACTATCTCTCTAGTGACATCGACGGGGACAGGAAACCGGCAGTTTGTCAAATGTCCCCCCCCCCCCGAAAATTGTTCATGGGGATTTTTTCCTATTGAATTTGAACTGAAGTAATGTCTTGGTATTTATGGCTTGTTGAGCTTGCAGTTGGTGCCCCTTGTGTACGTTAGATCTGACGTTATAAAGAAGGGGTATGGATTAATATGCTCTAACTTGTTCAGTTTTTAAAGGTCTCGACAAGATCAGCCCTGTCATGTCTGGTTTAGTGTTGTTAATCCTGTGACCCTCATCCATTCCTGGCATGAGAGTTGTCTTAGTTGTGGAATAACTTTTGTCACTGTGTCTCCGTGTTTGGATACAGTAGCCTGCACCAGATATACAGTTCAATAACCATTTTCTTTTCTTGGAAGTCAGAGATTCGTTCGACTGTTCCTAAGGTTTGGTTGGCTTTTTTATTGCAACATCCATTTGTTCAACTTTCAGTGACCGGTGGATCTTAAATCCTAGGTCCTTTTTTTATCAGTTTACTGCATAATAGGGATCATGGAGGGAATCAGCCAAATCCCGTAAGTACAGAGAACTGAATCACCACTACAATTTTGTCCCCATTGCGTCTGAGACACTCGGCGCCTGGGGGTAAAAGTGCTACCAGTTTTTTTAAGGAATTGTGTTTTAGGCTAATTGAAACAACAAGGGACCCTAGAGCTGCGAGCTTCCTTTTCCAGCGCCTCATCGTGGCGATACAGAGGGGGAAATGCACACTGCATTCAGGGTTCCTGCCCGCCATCTGAGGAGCTGGAGGAACTCGACAACTTATGATAATCATCTTTGTACCCTTTATGTAACTCCTTTCTTGTAATAAAGTTTAAATAAAACAAATATATATGTGTATATACAAAAGAATGGGGATGGTAGGAGAAAAAAATATTAGTGTTCAGTGAGAATCCACGAGGTCTTCTCTGAATACTCCTTATTTTCTTCTCCGAGGCTATGGGTCCCCTCATTTGCACCAGAGGTGGTACCCTCACAACTTTAAATATATAAATATATGTCGTACCTAGTAGCCAGAACGTACTTCTCGGCCTACTATGCAAGGCCCAATTTGCGTAATAAGCCAAGTTTTCATGAATTAATTGTTTGTCGACTACCTAACCTACCTATCCTAATGATATATGAATTTGATATATGATATTCTGAAATAAAAATGAATTTTGGATACTTGATTTTTGAATTACCACCAACAGTGAAAAGAAATGTATGAAAGATAGAGAAAATTCGTGTTAGAATTATTAATCTTACTTTTTCGATCATATTTAATAATATATATATATATATATATATATATATATATATATATATATATATATATATATATATATATATATATATATATATATATATATATATATATATATATATATATACACATACACAGGCAAATCAATGCAATAAATTTACATGAAGAAATCCTACTAGCAAAGAGGGATTTTAGATTTTTAATGTTTAAGCATTGCAGATATTCATGGAACAAAACGTAGCTGAAACATAACCCATTCATGTGACGCGGTACTTGTAAATATTGGTTCATTCACAGACTACATGTATTTTGCCTGTTGTGGCGAATATATTTACATTTGAGTTGCGGCATATATGGGAACTTATATAAATCAATATTTAACATATTGCTGCAGATCGATGGGTTGCTGCGGTGTTTAGGAGCAACGTAACATTAGGAAAACTGTCCGAAAAGAGCGACAATACGTTGTGTTAAAGTGTGACGTCACTGATGACGTTGGTGTGTGTGGTTGAGGAGACGTTTTGTGGTGTTTCAAATCACGTTGGTTCGGTACACACACAAAAACGACGTCTCGACGAGGACAGGAAGCCGGCGGCTTGTCGAAGTCCTTAATTTACAAACTGTTTTCTTTAGCCTGTATGTTGTAATACACTATTTCTACAATTACTTGTTTTTCCTTGTGAAGATTCTTAACAAATTGTGCTTGTAAGATTAGTTTAGTTCATTTATTATGCACCCCATACCCATCCTGTGGACGGTAGTGGTAGTGGAAAGGGCTACAGATGAACATAATGGGCTCTGAACCCCAAAATTCATTTAGCTAAGTAAGTTACAGTCTCGATGAGCTGGTTGCAAAATTCCATACACATCGTCACATAGCGTGTAAGGACGTCTCTAAACCAGCAACCCTTGGGTCTGCCCTGACAACATCCAGTCTCTCTCCATAATTCTAGTTCCACCTTTGTGGGAATTAGGAAATTTGTGGGACCTCGGTATAAGCCTAATATGTAAAGCCTACCATGTTTATATACACTGGCTGCCTGTCCCCACTACAAAAATATTTATTATTAACTATTTTATACAGTATACCTTGTTAACGTGAACACAGTAGTTTCATCATAGGAGATTTCTGTGCTTGGAAGAAAAAAAGTCTGCATTGCAATGGGACTATATTTTAATGTATTATAATTAGTAATAATACAAATTACAATTATTAATTTATTTGGAAATGCATCACATCTCAACAAAGAGCAGTACAATGATATCCTAAATAGTAGATAAACAAAAGTAATTGCAGAACTCCAATTACCTTAATAACTGGTATAACCTTATCATAAGCTACGGAATTTGTAGATCAGCGTTTAAAACGGAATTCGGAAGTAATAATAATACAGCTGATGCCATCTGTCGGCAGAAGAGAACACTATCAACTGGCTGGTCAACAGTGGCCATAAGATACAGCTTACGCCATCTGTTGACATCAAATTACACTTATAACAAATTACCCCACAAAATACAACTAGCGCCATCTCTTATTTTTCCAACGCACTATAAATAGCCAAACAGCAACCCATAAGGCGGGTTGTTGTGTTCGGGTAGGAGGTTCCAAGCTCCGCCCACAGATGGTATGGGGTGCATAATAAATGGCATATCATTGGTACATATTCTTTGTTGACATTCACACAACAGCCAATCACAGGAAGGGATCAGCTAAAGGCTCCATCCACTTAATAAATCATCTTTATTCAGCACACCATCCTTGCTTATGACATTCTGCTTCAACTTTAATCTACCCAAAAAGTGAAGTGTTAGTTATTTAAAAGTATTAATAAAGTGATAATTAAATATTGCAGGATGTACCAGGTGTTATAGAAAAATGGCTTGGCTACCTAACTTGTGACGTCTTCAGTGGATGTTGCCTTACACAGGGAATGTCGATGATAAATAAGATGCGCCGCCCTCTTATGGATTACATTATTCAGCTAGATGGAAATTTTTGTCAGGTACAAAACAAAGAGGTTATTGTGCAAGAGGACGTATTTCACAGTTTGCAATTTATTCATAGAAAGTGTGTTGACATTCCCTGCAACAATCAATCATAGAAAGGTATTGCTGAAAACGCCGCCTCCTTATGACGTCATCAGAAGCCTTCAGTACACCGCTCTAGCTCATGGGCTCTTTATTATGCACCCCATACCTATCTTTATTATGCACCCCATACCTATCTTTATTATGCACCCCATACCCATCTTTATTATGCAACCCATACCCATCTTGTGGGCGAGTATATCCAAAATATGAATTTTTTGATTACTATGATAATTAATAAAATGATATATAAAAGTTACACAAAAAATATATAAAAAATTACACAAAATAGCTCAATTCTGCCATTAAATAGAGTTCATATTGGATTTTGTAATAGAGTTTTATGAGAGGGGTGTTATACCATTTTTCTAAATAACTTCTGATATGGATGTTGACTTCTCTATTCGTCTACCTGTTGTTAATTAATACTTGAAGGGTTCTCTCCAGTTCCTTGTGGATGTTAAATCAATCAGAACAATGAGTGAGGGCTCTGTGTATAAAGGCGTTTATTACACGTCTTATATACACCCACGTATTATTTAGCTAAACGACTCAACAATATATTGACTCCATATGTACCAAATAACTATACGTTGAAATCAGTCGCCGATTTCTTAGACATAGTGAAGACCACTAAACCAGAAGGGATCTTAGCATCTCTAGATGTGGAATCTTTATTTACGAACGTCCCTGTAGACCCCACCATCAACTTTATATTAGCCAGAATGTACCGTGACAATACTACTCCAAAGTTATGACAATTTATATGACGTGGCCGTGGATCACTAATTCCTCTGAGCTTCAGAAGTAGTCACGGAAAGTCGGTTTGGCAGCAGGATGCTGCTTCTGGAAACTTTCCTTATTAAGACCACTCAATAGCTCGGTCACTGGAGGACGGGCTGCAGTAGAGTCCATGGTTCGAGTCTCCTAAAGTCCAGCCTACACTTATATACGTATATTGGTTCACTTACTACACGTATTTTGCCTGGGTTGGCGAATATATTTGCAATTAATTCGAGCATATATGGAAACCTATATAGATTCCCATTTAACCTATATAACGATTCTTCGCGGCAGGGGATCGTATTCCAGGGACCTGCCCGAAACGCTATGCGTACTAGTGGCTGTACAAGAATGTAACAACTCTTGTATATATCTCAAAAAAAAAAAAAAAAAAAAAAAAAACATATTGATTCATTGAATGCAGACCGATGGGTTGCTGCGGTGTTTAGGAGCAACGTAACATTAGGAAAACTGTCCGAAAAGAGCGACAAAACGGTGTGTTAAAGTGTGACGTCAATGATGACGTTGGTGTGTGTGGTTGAGGAGACGGTTTGTGGAGTGGAGAAGAGCAAGTGTGGCACCAGGCGCCGGGGAGGGAGCACGGCCGCCGCCACCACGGTAATACACACACACACCCGGTCACGGGCCCTCGCTCTCACACATTCTCCCCAATGACGGCCCTTTCAAGATGTTTATGATATCTCATGATGAGTAAGAGTTATTAAAGAGATAACATTTAGACCCAAATCCAAGGTAGTTATTTTTGGGAGAGCTGAAGCTTTTCAGTTTCAGCTCTTTGGTCTCTCCTCTCAACCTTAAATCTGCTAGTGTACAGATTCCAGAGCCTATTTTACTATTCGATCGTCGGGGACAGGAAGCCTGCTAGAGGGTAGCTATGCCACCAACTGACCTTCCCAGGAATGGAATCCACCATAGTATCCTAACTTAACTTTCTACTGCTAGGTGAACAGAGACATGATATATAAGAAAACATGCCCAAGCATCTTGTCTTGTCCAATAAATTGTGAGGAGACTGCTAACTCACGTGTGTGTGTGTGTGTATGTATATGTATAAGTGTGTCCACTGTACTTCCCGGCCTTCCTTCCTTCCTTCATGATCTGCATTCATCCCCTGATAGTTAAAATGATTTGGCACCATTTCTTTATTGTCCTCATATCCTAGATCTTTGGCTAACATAACTCTAGTATTATACTAGGAGAGCCGGTCGGCCGAGCAGACAGCACACTGGGCTTATGATCCTGTGGTCCTGGGTTCGATCCCAGGCGCCGGCGAGAAACAATGGGCAGAGTTTCTTTCACCATATGCCCCTGTTACCTAGCAGTAAAATAGGTACCTGGGTGTTAGTCAGCTGTCACTGGCTGCTTCCTGGAGGTGGAGGCCTGGTCGAGAACCAGGCCGCGGGGCCACTAAAGCCCCGAAATCCTCTCAAGATAACCTCAAGATTATAGTCACACTAGCTTAAAGCTTTCCACCAAAAATTTCCTTGCCTTCAGTTTCTCTGCATACAATATTTTATTTGTTTACTGCTTTTAAAGAATTATTTCCAATGCCTTAATTATGACAAATTCTGGTATTGTTTTTCTATCTATGACTTCGTGTTCATCAACACGAATAACACATGATTGTCAATAATCTGTCTTTAACCTGTTCTATGATGCACATCTCCTGTGCCAGGAGAGTATGACGGGCTCACCATAGCCCGTGCTGCTTGGAACTTTTTGTTCCCAGCAGCTGAATCTAAAATTACAACATATTCAGTGTTCTGAGAAATCCCAGATAATGTCTTCCCCGATCACAGACTCGGGGAAGACATAGTTTGTGATCATGTCTTCCCTGAGTCGTCTCTCTCTCCAGTAGACATGATATGGATGCCACACTGCTTAATTGTTAATAATTGTTTAGCTTATTACATAGTCTATGCTCTATGGAAACCAAAAATAAAATATTAAGTAATTGAGGTTTATGATTTCATGTTAGTGAGCCATTGTTTTCTGTAGACAGAGGTACTGTATAAATTTGTACGTGTAACATGTGCAAAAATGTACAGGCTTATTGAGAAACTGCACCACTTTGATACAGAACAAAATGATTTGGAGTACTCTATATGTGAACTCCTTGGCTGGTTATTTCATTGCTTTATATGCTAGTATTATCTTATTTTTTTTTTTTACTAAGGTTAATGCACAGTTAAAAGTTGTGTACCTCGGACATTATCCTTGCACCACCACAATTTCGTGTCCTTGTATGCTAAGGACAGTATATATAAACAACATAAAAGTCACAGCTTTGTGTCATCCTTTGCAGATGATAGTTTCAGTAGGCTACATAGTTAATTGGGTAGTACAGTAATGGGTTTCTCTTTTAAACTGGTTGAGAGAGGGACAGTCTTTGACATGATTAGGGAGGTCATTCCACCTTTTGGAACCCTTGATTTGCAGAGCATTGCTGCTTTGGTTAAGTTGCACTTTTGGAATATCAAATACATATTTTTTCCAATGTGGTCTCATAGGTTATATTACACACCTCTAGGAAGTGCTTATGGTTGGGATTAGCACTGCAGTTCAGTGTTTTAAATATGTAAAAGTAACTTGAGTGCTGTCTGGGGCTTGAGGTATTGTTCTAATTTGCTGATTTGTTTAATAATTTGTATAAATCATTTAAAACAAATCTTCTAAAAACAAAATTTGAAAATGCTGATAAAAGTTTTTAAAATTATTTTGTCTTCGTATTACTGTTCTCAGCATAAACAGGTGAACCTTTCCTACCCAAGTGTAAATTCGAGATGGAGGAGCTGGTAGTAAATACTTTAAGTGTTGGTGACAAGTGGAATCTGAAGAGTGTGGAGGTTATTTCTGCTCTACAACATCAGTGAGTATAGCACTCTGTACTTATGTTAAGAAATTGTGTTAAATAAACAATTCTTTACTTGATTGGCTATCCCCATCAAGCCCTATGGGCACTTAAAGAAACATGCTTTGTCACTCTTAAATCATTTGCAGAATCTTCAATCGGAATCTCATTAAGGACATCTAGCCATCTTATTCTTGGTCTTCTCCTGGATGGTCATCTTTACGTAGTACCATTATATACAATATGCCTATCATTTCTTAGCACGTGTCCAGCTTACAATAAACACACTGTATTTATTACATCTGACACAAATGTCATTTTAATAACTTATTTCTTTTACATATACTTTGCCAACTATATAGTTCTGCAGCCCATCCTCCTGTTTAGTTGGTACTTATTGTAACGATGAGGACCATAGTACTTACATGTGATATAATGGACAACTAGAAAGTAGAAATCATTACTATGAATTTGGACAAACCGAAAAAGGTTTTGTATTTATGTTGCAAAGACAACCTAACCTAACCTTCCTAGCCCTACTACATGCTATCTGAGGTTTAATAAAGTAAATATATGTTCTATACTAAGCCTAGGAATATTCAAATTTGTTTTTAGCTTTATTTTTTGGACTCTTATAAAGTGAATAGTACCAAATTCTACTACAGTATCTAATTGCCTTTTGTACTATCAATATTTGTACTATTGTGCACATAGCTACAAAAAGTACAATCTAAACAGGAGGATGGGTTGAGTTTTGCATTATACAGGTTTGGCAATGCTTTGCCAAACGCATTGCCAAACCTGTGATTCAGCTTTGATCCTCACTACCTATGTCATCAGTCTTTCTGGTGTCAAGAAGTATGTGGGGTAGCTAAGGTCAGGGAACCAGAGATAGATATTGAACTGTAATTCCAAAGGAATGTTTGGAAGGGCTTGTGAGTTTTTATGAATGAAATCTGTTATACTGGGCGGGGTTAAGTGTTCTCTATCAACTCCCTAGCATCAGTTATGGTCCTGCAAGAACCACTTGAAAGGTTCTGTGGCATGGGTGTCATAAATGTCCCCTCCCTCCTGTGTTCAGTAATAGGGTTAAATGTCATCATGCTTAACTGTGTGTGCTACTGTGCCACGATATAGCAGATTTTATCTTGGGAAGCAGCCAAATGTTTTGTTCAGAAAGATGTTTTCATATACAGTATAATCAAAAACATTTTTTTTTTTAATTTCAGCTTGGAACCATATGAATCTTGGGTAGTGTATGCTTCAGTGTTAGGAGACAACCGAGAAGCATTTACATTCTTCTTCCCTCTTTTGGCTGGTCTTGCTAATGAATTAGGAGCACGAGCACTATGGGCATCCATATTAGTGGAGTGGTCCAATCTACTCTTGAAATGGTAAGCTGGTAATAATTTTCTCATGGTAACCAATAATCTTCGATAGTATCACAATAATTGTAATTGTTAGTACAGTACCCATTACAGTATTTCACTTATACTGGATGGAAATACAATGGCAGAGGGACAAGACCATTAAAGTATGTACTGTTACATAATTACTTTCCAATAAGTAGAATACAGTACCTGAATCCCGGGTATTGTGCATGAAGACTTAATAAAGCTACTACTGTAATACAGTACAGTACTAGCATCCGGATGACATCTTGGTAATTATGGTAAATGTTACAAGGATGGTAAAATGAATCATCCAATCTCAGAATTGTCTAAAATTGTTTCCTTAACCATTGTATTTGCACTTTCATGATGAAACTCATGAAATACATGAGAACAGTGTGAGCAGAGGTTATCAGGTGACCAACCCGAGATCACTTGGACAACCACCCTATTGTTCAAGCCGATAAATGCTTGGCTTGTGCGTATTTTTTATTGTTTTGCAAATTACCTGACACAAAATTATGAAAGCCATGTTTTTCTTTTTACAGCCATATAAATCGATCATGTGCACACAGTTCCATATTTTTCTTTGTTGAAAAATAAATGAAGGATGTTGAAATGTTCACACACATTTGTATTGTATATTCAGTGCTGTCCTACAGATTCTATTTTCAATGCTGTACACTTTTTCCATTTATACTCAAATATTTATTTGTAAACATTTTGACACCAATTTATATTTATAGCCCAAAAAGTAACTGAAACGTAAAAAAGTGTACACATTTTAGGGGTTGCTGAGCGGGGGCTCTGAGAGGCTTAGAACATTTACGGTTGGGCATGTAGCAAGAGGGCCAGAATGCTAGTGTTAATGAAGGTATTGTATGTCCATATTTAATTTTATAAGTATTTATTAGTATTACAGGAAGTTACCTATAATATTGGTATTCAATAGTAAAATATTTTCAGTATTGTATTCACGAGAAGAATATTTATAGTAATAATGTACAGTACTCTATTTCAGCGTTTTCATAGACTGGATGTAAGTCCTCCATGTAAATTACCAGATACTATATATAAAATGGAAATAGTTATTTCCCTGTTTACCTCTCGTACATTGTTCTCATACATAATACATTTTCTCACACTAGGAAAGCACTAAATTTCTTAAATTCTAAAAGAATAAATGATTGCTACTTAATTTAATATAATTTATTACAGTTGAAATAAATCGCACAGCTCATTGGTGTGTGTGAAGTTAACAATTATAAGGAATGAGAATATCAAGGAGATATGGAGTGCAAGATTCAATAAATTGCAAGATTGAGAAGAGCATCCCGAGATAGTTTGGAACGGATGATGATAGTCTGGTGAAGTTTGTGCGTAGTGAATTTAGGTTGGGTGGACATGGTAAGTGAATAAATGGGGAAAGTGTGTGCGTGTGTGAACAAAAATACACAGGGTATGGTAAATAACTAAGATGGGTGGAAGCAGTTTGTAAGAAGGGAGGGAGTGTATTTGTATATACAGTACATTACTGAACTACAGTATTAATGAGGAACACTGTATATTTTATTGTGAAGGGGTTGATGCCACTGTGTGGTGCTGCTTGTTTATCCATGATGCTATATAGAACAGTATAAATGATTTAAAGACTGAACAAATTATATTAAAATTATTATTTATGTATGACCTTTTACTATACAGTATTATTCATCTTTTTTTGTATCCCTCCACCCACTGAAAGTAAGGAATGGGATAACAACAATGTATGTGCTTTCAAATACAGTATTGTTGATGTATGGTAGTCCTTGTGTAACAAGACCACTGTAATTTAATACTTATTCATCCACTCTATACCACTACTATATGCAACCACCGCAAAGCAGTCAGTTTGGTACTCGAGCACTCCCTATAATGTGAACCTGTTGCCAATGTGTGGGAACATAGTGTGAGGCAATTGATTTTGGACTTGGGTGTGCTCTGAGGTGAACCAAACACTAAAACCACAGAAAAAGTGTGAAGCAGTTTGATTGGTACTGTGTTAAAGTCATGCACAATGGGACACACTGGTTATCAAAAGCACAAACTGAGCATAATGTAGGAGGTTTAGTACAGTTTGACTAGAGAGGATGTACATTATACCAGATCATGTGAACTGATGGTGAAGCAGTTGTTGTTGTTGAGGCATACTCCAAGAGGCAAACCAAATCATATGAATAGTGCTAAACAGAAGCATTGGTATTCAGGCACGTGGTATGGGGCATTCCAAACAACAGAAGTATGGTTACTTTTCCAGGTGCTATAATGTTGTATCTAGAATCAAAATCACTAGAATAGTGTTAAGCTGAAATAGAGCAGGGTTTTTATTGGTAGAATTGTTATAAAAATTTATATATACAGTATATATAGGTGCATAATTTTTTAAATTTTAACCCTAAGCATGTAACTTGGTCATTAACATGGTATAGTAGCAACAGCTAAGTAGATACAATAGTGTAGTGGTTATTGTACTGGGCTAGTAATCAGTTGGTTCTCCTGTAGGGTGGTGTTAGCTTCAAATTTGGTTGATACTTGGTTCCAAGAATACTGTACTGTATGTACAGTGTACCTATATCTCTGGCATGATAAAAACCCAGCTGGTTCACAGACATCCAGCTAATTGAAGGAGATACATTCATATCTCACTTGAGCTATGTAAAGCTATAATATATTCTGTGTACATATCCACATTTTAAATTCTTGAGCGATGGCACTAATAACAAATTTTCTGCAATGAGATTGGAGGAACTTGCACTTGCTGAGAGCCTAATGAACTCAAAAATGGCATATACAATTTTTTATGAGGTAACTTTTGTAATTTTTAATTTTTATAATATTTTGTTTTTTTCTATTGAACAGGATGATTAAAGGGGACCGCCCATACTGGTGGGTTGGTGAAACTGATCTTTACAGTAATGAAACACGCCCTGAGTTGCGACAGTTTGCAAATACCTGTGAGTCAGGACCTGGCACACCATCAGGACACATCATGATGAATGTGGCTCTCTTCTATGTAGCTACCAAAGGCATCAGTAAACACTTTATATGGAACACCAAGGCTTTCAGGTTAGTGATATAGGTTTTGGGGAAATAAAATTTGATGTCATTACAGTTGCTTTATTCTTTAAACTAGCAGTTATAATAAAAATGTAAATACTGTACATAATTCAGCAAAGCAGTTTAATTTATATAAATGAACACAAATACTTTATTTTTCATAATGACAGCCAGTAAGGTAAAATATTGCCAAACAAATACTGTAATGCCAAAATTTTGACTGTACTGTATTCTCACTAGAAATTGTCTGCACTTTTTTCAGCACATGTCAGAAGAGTATTTTATCAGCAGTGTTGTACACGGCTTACTTGTTGTGGATTGGACTCATTTTTGTATCCCGTCTGTATATCCAAGCACATTTCATCCATCAGAACATCTTGGGGATTATTGTTGGTATGGTTAATTTAAAAGTTTCATTGTTAGTCTCATTGTGTGTTGACTGGTTCCTTATGAATGCCTTAGTTATGAGGCAGGGCAAGCATATTACCATGTGCTGTGTAAAACTGTAATATATTGTGTGTTCATATCCACATTTTAAATACTCGAGATTATTTTGTCTCTATTTTTTTTTATCTTTTATTCATATGCACTTGTGTTTTATTCAAGTTTGACAACACTGTATTCATTTGCGCTGTCATTTGCTCAGTCTCCTCAGTATGAATATCATGTGATTTTGTCATATTCATTCTTTTATTTGGCATCCTTAGTATGGATCAACCATAATTTTGCCAGAATTAACTTATTCAAAATTGTCAATGTCATTGTGATATCTAGAGAACATGTTTTGTGTATTGGCTTGACATTTCTGAGGCTTGGGTATGGTGGTGTAATGAAGGCTACCATTCATCCTTGAAAATCTGGACCTCTGTATAATGGATCCTTCTGAGTAATAGATTAAAGTCAACCCACCAGATTTGCTCTAAATTTTGGATTTCTTAAAAAAAAATCTTGGATTTTAGAGGGAAATTTAGAGAAAGGTGAATAGGCTTGACACTTCTGAGACATGCTTACAGTGGTGTAATGAAGGGAAATACTATTCCCTCTAAAAAAATCTGGGTTTATGTGTAATAGATCTTTCTAAATAATGAAATAATGAATCAAATTTGCTCTGCAGATTTCCCTTCCAAAATTGGTTCAGTATTTCTAAAAAAAAAAGTATTTCTAAAAAGAAAAAACTTGATTGGTGGGCAAGGTGGTGAAAACTCCAGTTCACCATATGAAGTAATTTTAAATCAAATACAGGTAATATTATTATTTTTCTTATGCCAATCTTGCTAAAATAAAATACAGTAATTCAGTTTACATTTTCTTGTGGGAAAATTTTTTACTTACAAATTTTCGGTGTACAACCAGTCTTTTGGAATGAATTAAATTCGTAAATGGAGGTGCCACTGTGTTACTTTAACAAGAGAGGTAGCAATGATGAATTTTCCTTCATTCTATATGATGGTTTTGAAACATTTCATGCCTGCAGACTAAAGTCATCTACTGTTTTCTTCTTTTGTGTTTATTTTAGCACTTCTAAAGTTCATGAGGTGTTGCTCTTGTTATTGAAAGGTAGATACGGTATTCTTATTTTCATGAATCTTTGCTTGTAAATTTTCATTATGTTTAACCTCTATACTTCTTCACAATTATTGCAGGGTAGAGTGTATATCTGTTAGTTTTTTCTCAGTCTCTACATTAGCTTTATTGCTGGTGTTTTCTTATTGTCTGAAGAATAAGCCATCGCTCTGATTCTATTTAGTCAGTGTTAATGTTGACGGTTTTTATTTCTTGATTTTCTGCATTCCCCGATGAAATATAATGGGTATTTGGAACTCATTTTCAAGAACTGCTGCTACAAAACTTAAAAGTTCAAAAAAAGAATCCAAATCTACCTGAGCAATTGTTTGTCCTTTCAACAGACACAAAGTAAACAAACAATACCTGCAAAGTAGCCAGTATAGGGGTGTGCATACGTATTGGCAACCAATGTTATGCTTATACTGTATGATGTATAAAATGTGTGTTTTCTTACCAGGGTTGATGGTTGGCCATGTAGCTTGGAGCAGCAAGTGGCTGGTGAAACTGAGCAAAGTATGGGCTGTGGTTGTGGCGTGCTCACTCATTGGTACTACTGTCTCAACTTATTCACTGCTGCTCTCCCAAGGAATGAATCCTTTATGGTCAGTGCCATTGGCACTTAAGCACTGCGCACGTGCCGAGTATGTGAAAATTGATACTCAGCCATTCTATTTGGCGATGAGATTTACAGGAGCAGCTCTTGGTCTTGGTGAGCAAAATTGTTGCTATTTGTGATATATTAATGCAAATAAGAAATGGGTTCTATTTTACAAGATGTTCACATTAATAACTTCTAGGCTTAGAAGGCCCTTTTTTTTATAAGTGGTATATTATAGAAAAAGTGCCAAGCCTGTAAGTCTATTTAGAACATTGTGTCACAGAATTAAAAATATTTCTAGAGGTCATTCAGAATATTATTGGTATAAAATTTGTATATAAATACTGTATTGTATATTAAAAGAATAGTTGACAAAATTTGTGTATAAACAGTACGTAGTTCAAAGGTTTGCAGCTAGATCAGTACTAGAAGTGGGAGGCCTTGGGTACTAGGACAGGTTGAGAGAACTCACCCTCACAACCTTTGAGGAGAGAAGAAAGAGGGGATATGATAACTACATACAAGTTTTTGAGGAGATTAAACAAAGTGGACAAAGGAAGCCTATTTAAATTGAAGAGAGATAGGACAAGGGAACATTTGTGGAAGCTGAACATGCAGTTGTGTTGAAGAGTAAGAAAATTCTTGTTACCTGTATGGGTGTTCAGCAAGTTGAGTGCATTGAAGAGGTTGTTGAAGTTAAATCTGCCCACAACTTCAAAAAATGTAATTTAAAGGTTAATGTTGAGAGAGGTAATTAGCACATCAGATACAAATAGCTAGGAGGTGGGGCATAAAGAGCTAGTTTTCACTCCACCAGTTGCTAATAGGTAAACACAATTATGGGTATTCTTCTAGTGTTCTGTATAAGGAAACATTCTGGTTGTATTAACCTTTTTTTTTCACTAATAAAACGGTACTTGTATCCATTTTTGTTATAATTCTGACACACAGTTTATGCACTTTTATAAACTGTAGGGCTACCTTGTCTTTGACTTTTGAAGGATTACTATGTTGCAGTACAGTATGTGTGTTCGTATACATGACGACATATGTTGGTGTGTATGTACTGTACAGTATATATATATATTTTTTTTAAGCATAGCTCTCAAATACCTAAGTTCAAAATGATTAACCGTTTAGCTGCATAGTTCACGAGGTAATTTTGTAGAGAAGAAAATATTTTATTTTCATGTATATTATTTTTTAATTAAAAAATGCTTAGTTCCAGATCTGTCATTGACTCTTGTCTATTTTTTGCCTCGTTTAATATACAAGCGTTCAAAATGCATAAAAAACCATTCCAAACAAAACAAATCATATATTAGGTGAAAATAAAACAAAAATTTTTTACCACCCTTCAATATGGGTTAAAATCTCTAGTACAGTATTAGATAAACATAAAAATTGTCCTCCACACTCTCATGGAAGAAAACATTCCATTCACCTGGACTGCATGGGACTCTAACCGTGGACTCACGTGTGTGAGGCTGTAGCACTATCAACTGGGCTATGAGTAGTCTTAAAAAAAGGAAAGTTTCCAGAAGTAGCATCCTGCTGCCAAACTGGAATTTTCGTCTGAGCTTCAGTAGTAGTCAAGGAGAGTCGAAAATTCCAGTCTGGCAGCAGGATGCTGCTTCTGGAAACTTTCCTTTTTTAAGACTACGTACTCATAGCCCAGTCGATAGTGCTTTGGCATTACACGCGTGGGTTCCACAGACCAGGTGAATGAAATTAGATAAACATGTTGTATGCATCAACATGGTCTTTCATATGTAATAAACCCTTATATTTCATGATATCATTATGCTGCAAAAGTTTACTCATTATTTTGTATTTCAGCTCTCAATAATTAATGAGCTGTATTGTTAACATATTTTTATTGATACAGGTCTAGGACTTTCATCGGACCAACGGCATGTTGTTCTGAATGCTCCGAGGAATTGTATTCGCACCATCCTTATTATAAAAGGAGGAATTGTAATTGGAAGAATGGCATCTATGATTCAGGTATAATTATAACACTAGTTAAATTTATGTACAGATTGAGATTAGGTAATTTTATAATGGCTAAAGAAGTATAGTACAATATAGTAGTACAGTAGTAGTACCAGTCGAGGTCTAAGACAAAGTGTTCTTGCCTCAGGTGCTTAACCTACAAGATATGAAGACAGCATAAAGAATGTTTACACCATTGTTTCTGAAGCAGTTAATCAAAGGTGGAAGTAAAGAAAAAAAAAGGGAGTGCCTAAGGTATTAGGCCACCAGAATGCAAGTTTGCCATCAGAACATATGCAGACAACGCATTACAATAACGAGGCTGAAGATATGACAATCAAACCACATATCAGGCGGTGCTGAAACAACCTTTCAGTCTGTCCTGGACCATTATCAAGCTCACTTGGCATGATAATGTTCCAGGATGGACCGAAATGTTGTCTTTTCTTCACTTCCTGATGTGTGATTTAGTCACCACATCAGAACATACATTTTGGCACATCTTCATATCACTAACTTCATCAAGTCCATTATGGAGGGCAAGGGAGATGACTCTGCCTATGTACAAAAATTCCCAATATACCCACCAATTACCCAGAAAAGTTTAGTTTGATTTGGTTCAGAACCCATGGCTGAAGAACCCTGTGTTTCCCACTGTTTTGTCCATGGACACAGACATGTGGTGGACTCCAAAACGTTGTACAGATATTATTTAAGTGTTGGGAACTGCCAGAATGCAAATATATCCTCAGAACATACATTTTTGATATGTCCTCCCTTCACTGACTTCATTGGGTCCACGAAGGGGGGACATGGAGGCTGACCCTTATTCTAAATAATATAAATAACAAATAATAAAACTATGGGCAATAACTTCTGTCCCTACATCCACCACTCGTCCTGCAAAGTTTGGCGGGACTAGCCCCAAGGTTAGATACAGATACAGATCTTTTTTTTATAGATATTAGTAGAGCCCTCATTAATGCCTGATCACCAAACTAGCCAGAAAGACACATGGGCTAAAATAGCCTTGCTTTGATCAGGTGAAAATATGGATTATACAATGATCAGGTGAAAATATGGATTATACAAAAATAGTTACTGCAGAAATTAAGCCGTTTTTGAATGTGTTAATCCCAAGAAATTTATATTCTCTACAAATACAAAAAGTAAGGAGAAACATTACTAAAGTGTACAAATAGATCGAAAGGTATAACAATGAGGATATAAATAAGGCTCTAAATATATTAACACAAAATGCACCCTGAAACAATAGGTATAAAACTGGATAAGTTTAGATTCAGTTAAGACCTGGGCAAATATTGGTTTTGAAATAGGGTTGTAGTTTTATGAAACAAATTACCATGTAACGTCATAAATGTGGGATTGCTTGATTGTTTCAAGCGTAGGCTGGACAGAGCGAATATGACCGAGTTTGCATATAGATCAAAAGCCTTCTGCAGTTTCCTATACGTTATGTTCTGTATTTTCTTATGACAGGTAGATTAGAAATTTGAGTATGTATACAGTATAATAATATATATAACTTGAACACGAGACATATTAACACTGAGGCACCATGATAACCATTACTGTATGTCATTATATATAGGTATTAATTTTTGTTGTTCTTTACCAGGGAAGTCTGCCAACTGACGACATGATATTGTTCCTGACGTTGTCGTTTGGTCTCAACATTGCTCTGCCATTCATCATCATTGCGCTATTGCCACACTTCCTTCTTACTGTTTATTATGGAAACTAACTTGGTGTTTTGTTATGTACCTGTATATATTTATCTCTGAAAGGTCTTGATGCTCTCTAGGTGAATTGGAATACCAACAACTACACTATCTCACAATGTGAAGCAAGGTAGTTGAGAATCTCATGCATTTCATATACGAAAACAATTGTACAAGCAAATTAAAAAACTTACATTAATGCCAATAGAGATTTTATTTAGTTAAGTCTTCTTTAATTTTAATAAGAATATTAAATTGTAAAAAAAAAGTTCATAAATACACTATGCTCCATGTTTAAAGTACTGTATAGTATATTTAAAAGAAATCAGCAAAGTCAAGTAATATTTACTTGAAGCACACATTTAATTATTTTTGTATTGAGAACAGGGCAAATTCAGATATGCTGAATCCTGACCTATCATGGTTACTTATAAGCGTGTACATAACCAGTTAGGAAAGTGTTTGCCACAACTTCATGGTTTGAAATTGTATTGTGTACATCTTGCAGACCTGTTTCTTAAGGCACAAATAAAAGTAGAATACTTGTTTTATGGCAGTTATAATTACGACCTATGACAAAAAAACAACTTTAATCACACTGTAGATAAATTCCTCAAAGGAAATTAGTCAACCAAATTTGACCAGCCAAAGAATGCACACACTGTGATAAATTTTGAAAAACTCTTTCAGGCTTGGTCCTTTCTTTTGATTATTTGCAATAAATCAGTGCTATAGAATTGGAACAAGAATGATAAAACAATAGTGCATGTTTAAACTGAATTACTTGGGAATAAGTGTGTTATGTTGGCTTCCATACCTGTGCCTTATACAGTACCCGAATGATAGTCTATTAGGCCACGACTATAATTTTATTTAATAGGCTCCCTCAAGGGTTTTGCCTTGTGAGGGAAGTAAGTAAGTAATTATCAAAAGAAGGCACCAAACCGGGAAGGCTATGTAGCACCATCAAATACGCAAAATAATCAGAGGGCGCTAAATATCACCAAGGATGCCAATACGAGAACAAAAACGCATAAAGCGAACGATATCAAAAGTATCCGAGTCACCAAGAATTCTATCGAGGGCCTTGTGAGGGAAGTTCACATATGATTGCCTTGCCACACTCCATGCATTGTATGTGCAAAGAGCCATATAGGGTGCCTGTTCGAGTCACCCAACCACCAGCCAGATGGGTCGCTTTTGGAGGTAGGTTTGAGTGTCTGGGCTGGGGCAAGGAGGAAGAGAAGTTTTCTGCAACAAAATTGGAGAATGTTTGATATATTAAGATTCCTTGTTAAAAAGGGGAAGCACCACTTCCCCTTTTGTCATCATGGTGCTTCCCCTTTTTACCTGCCAGTGCTCGACCCCTCTCTGCCTTGCTAGGTGGTATTTCTTGGCTCCAGGATGTTTAAACTTGAATAAACAGAATGCATATGGTAAATGAACAAATGAATTCACTTCTCACTCTGGCTTGTAAGTGGGTACCCAGGCACCAGTTCCCAAGTTGGATTGTAAGGGAAGATACTCAATAGCTTTTCCCTCTGGGCCTGGACCTGCCACTTGCTTGGCAGGGTCAACTCATGTTCCTAATGGTGAATACCTTGTCATCTTGAGTGACAGTCTTTAGTTGTTATAACATTGCATTTTGGCCCCCTCCTTACTAGGGAATCATAGTGCTATCCTTGCAGTTGAACACGCATGTTTCCCCTCAACCATTACTATTATGATCTGTTTAGCCTTAATATGATTAAAAATTTGTTTATGTCTGATGTAATGTCCTTACGCACCTTAATTTCCATATGCACTACATAAACACCTTGTGGATATAATTAAATTATACTTTGTTTTGCTGGGGACAGGAACTTGCCTAGCTGTCTTATCTCACATGGGTGACAGCTCAGTTTGGGTCTCAAAGAATGTCTTCAATATTGCCGATAATGTCATTTAAACTCCACCCCACGTTGATATGGGGAACAGAATTTAAGGATTACCATGAGGTACAATACTGTATCCTCGAGGCCCAGGTTTACCCTCTCCTCCAGGTTGACATGTTCACTCAGCCCCCCTTGTCATTATCATTAACCTTGTCAAAGTAATTTTTGATGTAATTGGATCCTCCTGTCTTTGGCAGTTCTTGTGGGTGCTCCATTCAAGAATTCCCCCTCTCCACATCTCTGCATTAGGTATTCAAAATTCGGGCATAGCACTTAGAAATGTAGTCTGTCCTAGTGTGGTGCCTCAGATCATTCTAGATCAGAATGATGATCTTTTGATGCTCATTACCAAGGAGGTAATGGAGCTATAAGTGATGCCCACCCTAATTTTTTGCATTCTTGTCCACATTATAAATGTTAACAGGCCAGCCTCCATCTTGCAACAAACACTGCACATCTTTCCCAGTGGCAAGACACCAGGTCTGCCTTTCCCACTTTTCTGGCAAAAATTGTCTGTGCTTCTCTGCACCACCCTCCATAGGTCCTCAATCATTTTCAAGCCTTGAACCCCAACACCACAAGCTCCCCTTCTTCCCAATGCCCTATGATTCAGAACTGGATGTTCCTGTTTTTGTCCCCCCCCCCCCCTTTTTTTCACATCATTCTTTCCTTTATCCACTGTGGACCCCTGCAACTCTTGGTTCCATCTTCCTCTTTAGTTCTTCCCCCTTTTTGGCCCTCCCAGGCAGATGACCATCCAGGTAGATTTCCACCCTTCCATCCTAATGTCACCTGCTCTCTTCCTTCCTTCCTTGTTTGAGATGATCATGACTACCTCAGTACCTTGATGCTCCTGCACATATATCAATCAGAAATATAAGCTGATCCCTCTTCCTTCCCCAGTGGGTTAGAAGACGGGTGAGGCAGTTGAACGACTATGTTAAGTGTTCCTGCACCACCTCCCATCTTGGTAGTGGAGCCATCTGTCAGGCATTAGGTGTTCCCATTATCCTTGTTCTGATGCAGCACCTGGTCCAGAACACAACCATTCCTGTCCCTCTTCAGCCTGAATACTTTTCCCTCACTGGACCTTGTCGACTATACTCTTTACCCCCAACCTTCTCTGCCTCAGGTTCTGCTGGTACCTAATTCTGTGCCATTTTCTTTGCTTGTCTAGTTTTTCTTGTCATAACTGTTCTATCCCACTTCATCATGCACCTCTTTGTAATGCCAATTTTTGGGATGATTGTATGTTTTGCTTTCCTTCTCTCCCCTTGGAGAGTCTGATGTCTTTGCCACTACTTGCCTTATATCATTCTTCTTGTACTAGCATCACTAATGATATTTAGCACATTTTGCACTACTCTTCCCTGCTTGATGCTGCCTTTTGATAATTGTATGTATAATGTATAGCATGTGAACAACATTCAAAGTATCTTCATAAGCATTTTGCTAACCAATAACTAATCAATTTACAAGATTTCAGAAACACACAGCTTTATTTTAAAACACAGCAGCATAGGCATTTTCTCTAGATTGTTTTTTAATTGATCTTGCAATTAAATATTGATACAATTTTCTACAATGGTAGGAGAGGAGAGAATCAGTTGCACAGTGAAAAAAAATAAATCAAGAGACAAGGAGAATAAAATGTGGTTTTGAGATAACTATATTTTTCTATAAAGAGAACTTTTACAAATACTGTACTTAAAGTAAAATTTTCAAAGAAAATTAAATAGTGAGCCTTGTACAAGTGAATGCAGACAAAGGGAATGTTATTAAAATTCTTAACATGTACACCATTCCCATAACCATTGAACATCTAAATTTTAATGTCATCATCCTGGTGACAAGCTACTTAGAAGTCATGGTTTCCTATTAAAAATACTGTACTATACCTGAATAAATAAAATGTATTTGTATATAGTCTTAGCTATCTGGGAAGATTTATTTGAAATATTACCAATAAATTTATTAAGTCAATTTTATGGTTTTTGACTGCTAGTTGTAAATTTTTAAACAAGGGTTAACCCAAAATTTGCAATTCAGCACTGAAATAAACAATGATTTACTGTATATAACTTATTTATCTACGAGCTAGATAAAAAAAAAAATTTGCGTTGTGACAAGTGCTTAAATTATGACAAGGTCAAAGTGACAATCTTTATAATTCATACTATTTTCCAACATTTACATTTTACTTGCACAAAGTAGATAATGTTACCAACAATATATAAATACCGATTAAAATAATCAGCATTTGTCTGAATGGGGATTGGGTCACACACAACTGTAAAATTAAATATCTAACTTACAATAATGAGACCTGGGAACTGTCTAAATAGCAAATCATTACAGGATGACTAACTGGTCTTATTGAGTGCTTGTTGAGAAAAGTGCAATCACACCAGCTGCTCCCAGTGTACTGAAAACATAGTTGTAAGCTGGTGCCATGGATCTGAATACCAAGAACGATCCAACTACAACCAACATCAGGAAGAGAGCGTTGTTGTAAAACAAGGAAAATGTTGTGGCCTCTGCTTCAGCTACTTCGTTCTTCTTCCACAACACCCTGATCAAGAAAATAAAACCCAACAATTATAAATATCCTCCCGTAGTATTATATAGTTAAGGATTACCAGTAGGTAGGTAATTATCAAAAGAAGGCACCAAGCTGGGGAGACTATGTAGCAACGATTACCAGTAAGCTATAGTCATTTATTAATGTACAAAACTCAAATTTAATTTAACCTTGAACAGAATGGTTTAAAGCATATAATTTCATTTTACCTTTCATCCTTTTCTTTTTTGCCCATCTTTTTGTCATCAGCTAGTTTACGCATAACTTCTCGTGTGACAGCATCTTCAACCTTCTGTGCAACCTGAAAAATTCACAAAAGACAATAGTTTGGATTCTTGCAGGCATCTTATCATTACTAGAAATGTCTTAAAATTAAAACTTAGGCAGTTTTGATGTACATTCCATACTGGCAAAACAAAAAATGTTACAAAAATACAGATATGAAAAAGATTTATAGAATCTGCATTACTACAAATACTAACCTTGTGCTTTAGGACAAACTTAGTGTTCATGTAAGCAAAAGCAACAAGGTAAGTTGCGATGCCTGTCACTAGACCAAAGATGGCAGCTGATGAGAGTGGATCCATCATATGTATACGCCAAAACAACCCTGAAATAATTATAGTCAGTATATTTTTATACTGTATAAATACTTAATACTATACTGTATATACTTAAATGTATAAAATTATACATTTTTTAATGAAATACTGTACATCTTTATTAAAAAAAAGTTGCAACTGTATGACAACAGCAAGGCTTGAATTTTGAATTAACATTCTTGGGATGAAATAGTCAGATTTCAGCCTTTGTTTTGTATTTAGGTAGATTATTATCTGGGGGACAAACTTCAAACTTACTGAGAAATTGTTCAAGAATCTCATTTCTACTAATGATAGGGTAAAGATGCCAGTTTCTGACCACCGGCAGTTTAAGATACTAATACTGTACTGTAATACTAATGACTAATAATAAATGTTTATTTAGGTAAAAGTACATACAAAATGAGTTACAAGCAGAATGTTGGATTACTAGATAGAGCAAGTATATACTGTGCCTAAAGCTACTAATACGCACAGCGTTCCGGCTAAAATTAAATGCCAAATATTGCAATCTTAACAAAATAAAAGAAAGCCGGTGACGTTACCGGAGCGGCCAGAGAGCACATATGTATCCGCCGCTCATACTTACATATGGGGATCGCTGCGACAATTAATGCATTGAAGTAAAAAATAATCGAGCTCTTCTTGGATACATTTCTACTAAAATCCTGAAGCAACAGCTCTTCCTCCTTCGTTAACTTTTCCTTGGTGACCATGTTTGCCTGCTTGTTTACGACGCAGGTAGTGTGCAGGAAGGTTGTAGCCCTGGAGGGAGCAGCGGTGAAGATTGGGCAAGGAAGGAGAGTCACCAAGCAGCTCCCGGGACACCTCCACACTACTCACAACCCCTGAAAACAAATCAGGTTCCAACTCTTTTGCTATTGACACTTTCACCTACAAAATATATTTAATATGAAAAATAAATTGTAAATATTGAAATCTTTATAATAAAGTACATTATCAAACATTTTATATTACGTAAAGTCTTATAATTTAAACAAAGATAATGAAACATTAATATTATAAAGTCTAAGATATGCCTTAAATAATGATATCCTCCAGCATGGCTGCCATGGCTGCCAACATTGTCTTGGTGACGTGGGCTGCTGAGGGCCACGAGCCGGGCCTTCTGTAAAGTTGGTCATACTGTAAAAACACAAGTCAGCCATAATATGCAGTGTAGTACAAAATAAAAGCAAAACACAATTACACTATACTTGCCACAACTTAAGATTTAACTTTATATATATTTACATTTAACAAATATAAGTACTTTAAAGTCTTTAAAATACTTAATTTATTGAATGTGACACGATCAAATAAAATAATAAACTATTGCAAGGTGCGTCTCATATATTACAGTGGAGGAAATCAACCTCTGTTGAAATGGGAACTATTATTCATTTAGTGCATAAAACCTTCAACATTATAACGGAATTTATTCAGAAGGTGCTTTACTAGGTGATAGGCTTAAATGGTTGAGTGTGTGTGTAGAGACTGAGTGTGTGTTGCGTGAGTGTGAGTGTGTGTTGTGTGAGTGTGTTGGCCAGCAGGTGGCTAACTCCGCTTCCCCCGCTCCTGTAATCAACATTGCCTCAACGTTTCTCTAGAATTATATTTTGTACTCAAAATCTGCCTGTTGTTACATGTATTACTTCAGTAGTGCAGTTCTGTAAGGGAAAAATCAATGGCCAGTCGTATAACAGACGGTTATCTAAACAAACTGCAAGCTGTGAGTGGAAGTGAAAGAGGTTAGAGGCCCTTAATGGGACAGGCATTTAACCCCTAAATGAACTTTGCTAAGCCAGTTACAGCCTTGATGAGTTAATTACAAAGTTGGCTAACATATACATTAACAGTCTATTCACATTTTGTTACTGTCTTCCCCTTGCTACTTCGGGGGGTGTAGGGTTTTTCATTTCATCAGCCCCTGTGGCGTAGTGGTAAGACGCTCGCCTGGTGTTTCGCAAGCACTTTAAATGGGAGGATTTACTGGGCACAAATCCTTAACTATAGCCTCCGTTTAACCCAACAGTAAAATGGGTACCTGGTTATTAAACGATTTGGTGGGGTTGTATTCTGGGGAACATAGGATTAAGGACTTGCTTGAAATGCTGTGTGCTAGTGGCTGTACAAGAATGTAAGAACTCTTGTATATATAAATAAAAAAAATAAATCATCTACATAGTTTCCTATCTAGTGCTTCAAACTCGCACTGTATCTTGTTCTACCCACTCCCTCAGTATATGTGCCTAAGCCATATAACTTCACCATTGTTATCACTTCTATCAGCTTAAGTCATGATTGTTGTGTTGAATGCAAATTCTACTAATTTAGAATTAATCCTCAAATTATGCTACAATGTACATGTTGACAATTCTCGAATTTTTACAGTAATGTACCTATTAATTTAATTCAAATTTTCTTACTGTATATATGTTAACATTCTTCAAATTTGTCTACAATACATATTTAAAATTAACTGTTACATACTTAAAATTAACTTACTTACATTACATACTTAAAATTAACTTACTTACATTACATACTTAAAATTAACTGTTAGATTAAGGACCTGCCAGAAATGTTTTGTGTGTTAGTGGCTCTGCAAGAATGTAAAAACATCAATCCTATGTACTCTCACAAACCCAATGTACCTTCTTGTATATATATAAATAAATCAATAAATATAGCTTCAGGGCACCCGTTCCTCCCAACCACAGGGCATGGGGAGAGGTAGGTACCCCTAACCACACACATTTCCCTATCAACACAAACTAAAATATATATAAATGGTTAGTTGGTAAGTTTCACTCACAGGATATAAGATAATAATAATTATGGTTTGTACACTGGAAAAATCTTTTGTATTTTGTTTTACTTATATAAGACACAGCACACAAAGGGAGGGGTGCACAGTGTATCATTAACCACTGCACGGTGCACCTGTTTTTGGCAAAAATCTCTTAGTGCAATTGTCAAGGACATATTTTTGTTGTTTTTATAAATGTTCAGATAAAGTTAATGTCAAAATGTTTCCAAACTCAACTATTTCCATTTCAAAACACAGAGTAATGAAAACATTAGAAAACATTAAAATATAGCCCAATTAAAAAAAATAGCACAACTGTCAAAGCACCTAAAGGTGCTGTACACAGTGTAGTGGTTAAAGAAAAACTAAAGCTAAGGGTTAAACAACAATCTGCCTAAGTGGCAGGTATAATGTCTTTGACAACAGCAAACATGGACAAATGCAGAACTTCAAAGTGGAAGCTCCTCGCAAGGCACCGGAGCAGGAAGATTGTCATGCATGCACAGACCTAACACAACTAGTTGGAGTTTTAATTGACCTTTGACTTTTAATGTATAAAAGCATATCTTTAATTTGTCTTGGGAAAATATAGTTAAATTCATTCTCTTTGGTATTACAGTACAGTAGTTACATCTTGGAGCATTCCCAGAAAAAGCCTCCCAGAAAAAAATAAAGATGTATAAATAAATGAAAGGAAGATGAATTAAATTCTTGTTTAGCCTTACTCTGATAATTAAATAAGTGTTTATATTGGAAGCTAAGATGTATTATTTTAAAGCTCTTATACTGTACTATGTTGAATTTACAGGCTGAAGGGGCAGATTTGGTCGAATGTCACAGAATCACTTACCACATTCGTGAGGATGACAGTCACTGCAGCAGCTCGACTTACCTGCTCATTTTAGAGCAGATGATATCAAAACTAAAGGTCAGCAATGCTAAATATTTTAAAATGGCATTGGAGTATTCGGAAAAAAGTACTGTGATTCTTAACGAGTTTTTATTCCAATACTGTAGTTTTCTTTTATTCTGCAGTGATTCTAAGCATCTTTATATATGAACAGTACAACCTTGATTCAATGAACTATATGGGACCAACCCCAACTTGTTGCAATTGAAGATGCCTTCAGAATGGATTTCCCATGCCCTGTGGACTGATTTCACTTGGTGAAATTTTAATTTCAACATATAATAGACAATGACCAAATGAACATATCTTCGCAAAAATGTAACCACATCTAGCTTATTTCTCACATTCCCAGCCTCAAAACCTATTTTCAGAAGGTAACAGGACCATATCTAAGTGAACGAAAACCTTGTCGATTCGGAATGAAAATAAACCACATAATTTGCTTTTAAATACCCTCAGTAGCTTTCCCATGCCTATTGAGGATTACAGTATAATACTTTATTATAATAATGCTGCATTAACTTTCAAAGATGAGACCAATAGTTAAAAATCTGAACGCTATTTTGACTTGTAATGTACGAATAATATATTCGCTAAAGACTATTCTGTCAAGAACATGCATATACAGTAATTGTCAATGTGTTTTAGAGAACTTAGACATGCTTTGTTTAATACATAAATATGAATACATAGATAAAACTGATTGAAGTATTTTCAACTTTTGTAGTTTTATGCCATAGTCTTTCATCCTTTGAAGCACAACCCAGCTCTAAAGTTATAAGCTCCTGAGCTTTGAAAGAGAGATGTCACATGTAGACTTCTTCGAGAAGGTTTTTGGTTCTTCAATAGTCCTTATCACTTGATTATAAATATCTTGGAAGACTGAATGTTATGTTCCCTCAAAACTAAGAAGCTTCCAAAGGGAACAATGTTTATAATTAAAAAAAAATTAACCCGTTTCAAAATCCAGGATATCATTGAGAATTTGAAGAATGATGTTGAGAAGTCACAGTCTTCAGCCCCACAAGTTCTGCATGCATCAGAAGGCTCTTCTGGTAAGTATTAACTATTCCTATAAGAGATACCCTATGCTTTTGTGATGGGTTATTATTTGTGACACTTTCACTTTGTATCACATTCAGATGAATGTCTATTTTCTGATGCATTGATATTACAACCTGCTTACTAGAAGGTGTACGTATCTACTGGATTCTTATTAGAATTAAAAGCCATAACTGGAGGAAGTAGAAAATATCTAATGATAAAGTTTGCAGAGAGCAATTGAAGCTTGGTGGGAAGGACTTTATCTAATACTGTACAGTAATGTACTTATTGTATTGCTAAATGGTAGCATCGGTTGACTACTGTACTAGCAAGAATGTTTTGAGACATGTTGGTTTGAAATGTATTATATGTCTATTTCTAAAGGTTATATTAGTTAATTGTATTTTACAACTTAGTCTTATTGTTTTGTACACATCTTTTTTGCATTGATTGAGATTTTTTTTGTATCCCCAATCTTGATGTTGGTTAATTGGTGGCAATGTTTAAAAGTTTTTATGAGAAATTTCTGTACAATGGTTTGTACATCAAATGTATGAAGCATTCATTTACTGGCTGTAAAACCAAATATAAAAAAGTGTCAAGCCAAGTTTTCTTTGCAGACTGTGCATATAAAGAAAACAGAATGGAACGGTAATACAATATAATTTTATTCTAGTACAGTATTGAAAAAGTCCTCAAATAGGAATAGTATAGTCAGAAATGTATATAATGCAGTATATGTAGAGTGAAAATCATGGATTTGTGGCAATGCATAATTTATTTTTAATATGATATTTATGTTGGCAAAAAGAATTACCTCTGGTAAAAATGCTTAGTATTATATTTAAATTTCAGATAGAAACATTGTAATAATTGTCAAGTACTGTACAGGCCTTTATATTATTGAGAAAAAATCTGTAAGAAAATAATGCTTTACAGATAATGAAAGTTCCGAAGAGTCGCTGGAAAACTCTGGGGATGGTAATGAAAGTTTGGGATGTCAAAAGATGCCAAATTCCTCCTCATTTGTGATGCCTGCAGACAGTAAGCCATTATCTGATAAACACCCATCAATAGATGCACTTGTGGATGATGGAAATGCATCTGGAATGGTTTTATCACCTAATATTGTGACCTCTACATCATCGAGTGCACTGTCAGGGGCAGTTCTGCCCACCTCTTTCTCTAACACATTTTCAACAGCTCCAGAAACTCACTCATCACAAATTAGTGGAATAACAGATCCAACCACAATTCTTACTTCATCACTAAATGTTGAGCAGTCATTATGTGATACTAGCTATGGAGACCAAGCAGAACATTTAAAATGCATGAAGGTAAGTATGTACTATACCTGTTTGACCAATTTGAAATAAATGTTGTGCATTATATATCTAAAAAAAGAATATGAATAAATTTAGTGTTGAGAATGTATAAATGCTGCAGTAATTAAATATTTAAGGTTGGGCTTGTATGATAAAATTTATATTTTGCTAGTCAGGTTAATACACATTAGACTGAGTAATTCATTGTTAGGCTCTTTGGCATGCTTCAGTCAACAGCCATAAACTACATTTTGTTAGGGTTTAAGAGGAAAAAATACATTCCTGTAACCCCCAACCCTCTACATTATAGAAAATAAAAATTCAGTGCAGTACTGTTATGATACATGTATTAAGTGTTGAATTTATAAGTTATTAACTGCTATACTTGATGAATGTTGAATCCAAAAGCTTGGTTTTGCTGACTGCAATGGTAACCTGCTGTTACTTTAACATTTAGTGATCTTCAGCTGTTTGTTTGTACTGACTTGCTTACCTATCAGTGACTGAGGGAGGGAGGTCTAGCTCTTTATGCCCTGCCACTTAGCTGTTTACACCTGCCACACTAATTACCTCTCTCAACATTATCGTTTTGGGGCTCCACGGAAGATCCTCAGCCTTGCTACACTGCAAATACCATGATGATTTGCTCCAGTTATAGATAATGTTTTCCAATTTCTCAGTGTCTTCCTAAAATTTAACTTTCAATACAATAGCAATGATGTTTGCTACTGCAGAGATTTAGAGGACCCTCCAAACTCTTGGGATGAGCAAAGCTATGTGCAATTCACTTAAAATGCCAAGTGAAACAAATGTAGAAATGAGTGAGACGTCTGCATGTACTGAGAGCTATGGGATGTCATTTAGTCAACCATGTGTTTAATGGTGATGTAGTGTGCTCAAAACATAGTTGTCTAAATTTAATAAACGTGCACAAGGTTTCTTAACCTGTATATATGGTGTATTATCCTAGTGTCTATTGCCAAATTATATTATAGACTTTGTAATGTGATTTTCTAAACATCAGTGTGGAGCAGAACTACCAGTGGATGATGAGGCAGCATATTGCAGCATGTCCAACTGTGCCATCCTGCACACTTGTCCACGGTGTTGCAGGTACGTAACAAGAATCTTACTTACATCATTGCTGAAATAGATCGTGTTACTGTATATCTATTAAAAAGATATCAGAAAATATCTTTAAATACAGGCGATGAGTCACAATAATGTGGCTGAAGTATGTTGATATATACATATCTTTATCAGAAACTCAACATATCTTTAAATATCTATCGATATTCAAAGTATATCTATCAAATTAAAAGTGCTCACAATATTAAGAAATTGTATTTATGGAATAATTTATTATGTTCCTACTTTACATCATCCGCTCTTCAAATTCACAGTTGTTATTTTATAATGTATCAGAACTGTTATTTAACTTTTTTTTTTGTCATTCATGTTGTACTGTACTGTTTAATCTTACTCTGTGATCTGTGTGGTAATGAAAACCTTTGTTTTAAAAGGAAAATTTTAATTTACAGATGTAATATTTTTTCTCAGTATTGCAGATTCAGTCTCCAAAAGACGAAGACGAATAGTAGAAGCGGATGAACCATCCGTTTCTGTTGACTTGACTGGAAGTGAAAATAAGAGCTCTGAAACACCTGTCAAAAAACATACGTGTGAAAAATGTGGACGAGTTTTCTCCAAATGGAAACATCTCTCTATTCACTATACAAAGGTTAAGAAGTTATTTTGCATGATTATGACATTCTTCTCTTCCCCTATAACACCACTGGCAGCAACACAGCAGTAACAGGCAATGGCTGTTACTCGTGATACCATTGCTCTGGTATCCATTGTATAAGTGTTCTATTGCTATGGCAATATTTAGGTACATTTTGAAATGCATTCAGTACATGAATAAGTATAATATTCTAAATGAGCAGTTTCATTAACTTTACTGTGAACAACTGACACTAGTACAGTATGATAAAGCATATTTTAATGAAACATGTACAGTGCATCTAAATATCATCTACGCTCTTCCATTCTGGATCCACGCACAGCTTTCAAATGCTGTACTGTTCAGTATTCCAAACTTTCAAATGCAGTTCTGTACTGCAAATTATTATTTTTATAAAGAAAATTCACAATTTTATTTTTGCTGTGAAAAGTATACCAGTAACTCATAATTTTGCATATTTACATATTCCAACTAGTTTTTGATGTACAAACATTTAATGTAAATGTTATGTAAGTGATTATATAACACAAAACCAAATACTGTACTGTAGTTTCATGTTTTTAACATAGGTACATTTAGATGAAGATGGTGGAGAGGTGGGTCATCCAGAACTTCTGGGAAGCAATACACTGCCGCTCTACTGTTGTAAGACGTGCAACCTGGCCTGTCTTTCTGTACAGAGGTTTAACACACACACATGTCGTCTTCCCACTGACGATGATAACACCACTTCCACTGTAAGCTCGGGGATTCTATTTTTTGTTTGTATGTACTGTATGTATAATTTGCTTAGCTAATACAGTACTTTTAATTTTACAGTTATGTATATTTGCCCCTTGTATAGTATTTGGTTATACTGTACAGCACATTTTTGCCATAAAAGGGTTTTCCATTTAGTGATCATTAATTTAAATTGCATGCACTATGATATAGTACATAATAATGATTATAGAGTACACTTGTCTGTCCACTCTAGCAAAGACAACCATGACCTGGCACTCTCCTCAAACCCATCAACTTGTTCGTTAGTATTGCATTAGTATTGTCACTGACTGTCTCGCCCACTCACTCTCACCTACTAAAATTGTTACAAAACCCTTTGTATTTTCTTGGTAAATAATGTCAAATATTTGTGTGGTCGTTGCTAGTGAATATTGCTGTATCCTTATTTGGTTTGACTTTTCTTGACCTAGGTTTACCCATTGTGGTCTGTGCTTTCCTTATGTTCATTGTCAGAGCTCCTTGTCAGGTACCAACATGTCATGTCTCTGATGCTAGATATTTAGCTTGATGTCTCTGCCACTTGTGTTTTTTTTTATACAGTATTTGAAAACATAGCACTTACCTTGACCTGCCCGATCACATGTGGTTCAGATTTCAGCATGTGTATTTTGGATTCAAACTTGTTGTGTGGGGTGTCACAGTGGTAGTTTGAGCCTGAGGGGGTGGGAAGGTGGTAGTGGTTTAGTTCCCCAGCTTTGGGGCTTTTTCCTTCTTGTTTTGAGCCATTCAGGATTTGGTGGGTTCTCCAGATTGTGTTGAGCTGGTTATGTGGTGTGCAGTTTGTCTTGTTGTAACTCTGAGTCAGCTAACCAGTCTTTTCCAACGTGGCCATTTAAACAAGATTGTTTATCATTTTATTTGCTCCCACTTCTAGCTGTGAGGGTTGGCCATGTTTTCCTGTCTTCCAGACAATGTTCTCTGAGGCTTAGTCTGCTGTGTGCTACATTTATCATTTTATTTGCTCCCACTTCTAGCTGTGAGGGTTGGCCATGTTTTCCTGTCTTCCAGACAATGTTCTCTGAGGCTTAGTCTGCTGTGTGCTACACTAGAAAATGAAGAGGGAGGGGGGGGGGTTCAAGTTACCTCTTTGGGGTCTTCGATAGTTCCATATCTTTTCCTTGCTGATTTCCAAGAGTTGAAAAGAGGGCATTCAGCTTGTGGACTGGGGCCTTTTGCCACACACCCTGCCTGAAGCTGGTGTTTTGAACTTGGGCATTTCCTCCTCCTTCCTGTGGCTCATTTTTCTGTTCATGAGTCTGCATGTTGGCCTATTTTTCCCACAAGCTATTTCTTCATTACCCAGTAAGCATATTCTGCAGTCTTTGCTTTTAGTCTTAATTTATAGTTTTTCAATGTGCTTTCTCTGTGGTTTTAGAAGGTTTGCCTCCCTTTGGGGCCTGAGTTAGCTTGGGGCCATGGCTCGTGTACATTTTTTCTTCTGGGAGGTGCTCTGATGAGTTGGCTCAGGGAGCAACTTAAGTTATCTTGCTCAGAAGTAGGGTGATGAGTGATATAAAAATGCATCTTTCTGGGTAGCCCCTCAGATACTCTCTTTTCCACCCTTGGTGTTATGACTTTGTTCTTGTTCAAGTGACCAGGACTTCATTTGAAGATGCCATCTCATACATTGTGGTGACGGTGGTGCTGTTGTCACCTAGTGGCAGTTGGAGTAGTCAGTAGTTAGTCAACTGGTTGTTTGCAGAGAAATAACTATCATTCAATTTTGTTAATTATTCCCATAGTGACAAGTCTATTTGTTTGTGGATTGAACCTGATCTTCCCTGCCTTCCTTCCCCAGCTTGGTAGTAACTTCATAAAGGTTGGTAGCTTGTTCTACAAGAGAGCTGGTGAAAGGGGAATGAGAGCATAGTAGAAGATAAAAGTAAAATTCCAGTGAAGATTATTTTCTTTAAATTATAATGCAGTATTAATGTTCTGTATTGTAATGTGAATGCTTCTGCCATTGTGATATATTTTTATTGTAACTTCTTGTTTCAGCTTTCAAACAGAATTCTTATTACCAATGTACTTAAACTGCACAAACTTCGTAAGTTTGTGTGCGAGACTTGTGGTGTGGAGTATCGGACTTTCAAACGCATCACCTACCACCTGCCTCGCTGTTCGCCTGGGCCTTATCCTTGCAATGTGTGTGCATTGCTCTTTACTACACAAAAGGAACTTAACTACCACAAGAAAAAGTTGCACAAGTATGATCTGAGTATATTTTATATTATTTGTATGTTTCCACTTGTATTTTCATTGAAAATTGTAAGGAGGAACATTAAAACTTATGTTATGAGTCAATATGAGTTACTGTATCTTGTGGCTTCAGATTGTTGCATACAATATGCAGGTTTTATAAGCTGTTACCACTTAAAGAATTTGCAGTGTCCCTTGGACAATTGTCACGGCATTCAGGCAGGTCACATTCTCGGCACTGGAATTGCAGGGCTCTCTCTACACAGTCCCTGCAAGGTTGTTAAATGAGCAAGGGGTCACAGGAGATAAGACCAGTGTAGCCAGGAATAATTGACAGAAGTGTATTGCAAAAAAACATAAGTTGTGTAAGAGTTCTCCTCTGTAAGCAAACTTGACAACCAAGCGAGGTGTTCTTCTGAATAATCCACTATCTGCCAAGAAACTTAGTAGGCTACTCTTGGCTACCAATAGATGGCAGCACTATCTCCACAAGAGCCATTGGATTCCAACTGCTCAAATTCTTCCTCTCTATGTACTCGGCATGTTTGGCAGGCTATGTCCAGAGAGTAAGTGAGGAAGTGTGTGATTAGGGGGATAGATGGTTGTATGGGTAAAGAGGGAGAGTGGAAGTATAAGATTGAGACTAGATAAGAGGAGCCAATGAGGGTTAATTCATCAGTGGTCTATTTCCACCTCATATTCTGAGAGCAAGTGCCGATATGGATGTCTCTTCGATACATCACTCCTGAACAGCTATTCAGTCTGGATCCACTTAGATTGTTTGCCAGTGGTCTGTTTCTGGAATGGAGGCATCTGGACTCGATGCCTTTCTCTCTCTCTCTCTCTTGTTGGACTAGAAATAGCTTTGCGTCTGAATAATTGTGGTAGAGTCCTTCAAGTTGTCGTCCACATTTAGTGTGTCAAATGTATTTGTATATGGTCTCTACCATTTGTACCCAATTTTGAGGAAATGGGAGGTGGATATGACTTTTCTTTTGATATGCAAGAAATATGGACATCCTTGGGTGGATCTGTTCACAGCCGTGTCAGACCATCACCTTCCATGTACAGTATGTGTCCTTTATTCCCAGACCAGGTGGCCTTCACATTGAAGGCTCTTTGTGTTTGCAATTGCAAATGTTGCTCCCTGTTTGTCAAAACTAAGAAACTTTGCAGTCAGTATCATTTTGATGATTCTCAAGTGGCCAGTTTAATCCTTGTCCCGAATTTGATTCTCTCTGCCTCTCTGCATCTGGTGCCCTTTCTGAATCTCCTCCAATCCTAGACAATCTGTGGCAGACCGTATATGGATGGTTTGCTGCTTACCCCCTGATTACATATCTGCTGGAGTCTCTGAACCTACTCTACAGTCACTTGCATTGTAACAACATGGTGGAGTTCCTTGGTTTTGCAATCCTCCTGTTACTTGTAGTTCTTTACAGTGGGGCCTTGCTGTGCAGTAAGTTTCTTCTATTTTTGTGGTCTTTCTTCTTTTTTCTGTTTGATGTTTCTCGTAGTGTGCCACCTTATGACCAATATTGTCTCATTCTGCAGGTCTTTAAGCTTCTTACCTTATATTTTTGTGTAAACCTTTCCAAGCCTCTTTTTTCTTAAGCTCACATGGGTCTTATAAATCTTCACCCATGCATTTTCCTCAGGAGCCATCTTTGTCTTTGAACATCATTCTAGACTACCCCTCTTCTTCTTATTTCCATATTTTCCATTGCAAAGCCCTACAAGTTTCCTGTTGTTAGATGTTCCTTTGAAGGTGGTGTTCCTCTTGGTCTTAGGTTCATATTCTTGGGTTGAAGAATTAATCTCAGTCAGTGTTAAGTCTGTCTTTTTAACCTAATGTTCAGTACTGTCTATGCTCAGTAATCCGAATCATGTAGGGCCCATCCCGTATTCGAGTTAACTGAACATTCCTGGTAAGAGATTTGGCCATGTAGAATGTAAACAAATTTAACAATTTAAAATTGTTTGTACCGCAACCAACATAATGACTGGATAAACAACTCTCATTGTTTCGGACCGTTGAAGGTGCTAAGCTGGAAAAACTATATATCGCACTGTCTATGTTGCTAGATATTCAAAAGATGCTAAATATCACTCATGATGCCAATGCAAGAACAGAAGGATCCCAGGGAGAGCTTAAAAATATTCCTGCTGTGCCAGTGTTGAGAATGTCCTCTGCTTGACAACCATGCTCCTTGTCAAGAGGACAAATCAAATCTTAAGGGGCAACTTGATTCTCATTGTTCAGAAAGGTTAGTAACCTATTATTGCCATGCTTAGTATATAAAAACTAGTAGTGCTATATACTGTACTTCGACTTAAAAATAAGTTGAAAATATACTAAATATCATAACTAGACTAGACAATGCAAGGGCAAATTGTTTTGACTGTATTTCAGAACTTTTTCTATACTTTGAACACAGGGATGAAAAATGCTTTGTATGTGAAGAGTGTGGAAAGTCATTCCAGAGGAGAACATCGCTACAGAAGCATGCCATTAACTGGCACGAGTCAAATAGCGCCATGGGTCCATTCAAGTGTGAGCTGTGCCCAAAGAAGTTTATCCGTCGAATATACCTAACAAATCATAAACTGAGGATGCATGGACTGGACAAAAAGTTTTTGTGTCAGGTACATCATTTGGTTTCCCTTCTTGTGTAGTGAGAAGTAGTTCTCACTTTGCTTCTGATTGCAAGTAATGTTTATTTGATATGGGTGTATGTATATATATACTGTATATGCCATGTGTGACCTACAGTTCTATCTAATGCATACTGGATACATATTTAGATATACAAAGTAGACAGTCTGGTTCGATAGAACAAAATTTTTTACACTAATGATAAAGATGTTCAGTAGTGGTTGAACAGAGCACAATTTGCTGGCAAGGCTTTAGAGAAACACTAAGATGAGATGAATTCATTTATAGTTAATTTTTAATGTTGAAAACCATATGAATCACTATATGCTGGCACAAACCTTACAGGTATGTGGTAATAAATTCATGACACAAAATTCCCTCATGGCCCACATGGAGGTCCATAATGAGCATAAACGGTTTGAATGCACCTTTTGCAAGAAGAAGTTTAAAAGGAAGGAAAAGCTCAAGTACCACGAGAGAATACACACAGGTATGTGGCTGTTGTTTGCAGTATTTTTGGTTATATTTTATTAACAGTTGAGTTGTCTGAATAAAATCTTATGACAGAGTATGCATTTTTTTTATATATTATTATACTTAATACACCATCTTGGTTGTCATACTTTAATGTTTTAACTATTTCATCACTATATAATGTTTTAATAATTATGCTTTATGAATAATAATATCTTGCTATAATACTTTAACTGTTGAGTTAAATTTGAAGTGAAAATATTTTTGGGTCCTCTCCATCTCTTGAAGTATGTATTTGGAAATGAGGATGCCATCCCAGGATCTTCAAATCCTCCTCCTTTGCTTGAGGGGAGGCTGTCTTTCCTTCCCAGGAGTTGGGTGCTCATTTTGGGAGCCTTTCTGACTTGGGGCTCCTGCTTCGAGTTTGGATATACCGTAGTTCCAGGACCAGTTTCCAAAGCCCCAGCCTCCTCCCCCCACCTTTTTTTCCCAAGGAGTTGTGGGTGACCAACCACCCACAACCACCCATAGAACTGTTGGTGGTAGTTGTACTGTTTTTGCTTGACCTTTCTGGGGCTTTGGTGTCCAGGCTGTATGTAACATTCCTTCAGACTGGGTTGGTGCTTTGTCCACTTTCCCAGTCTTAATTCAGTGCTTCATTTTCTCTTCTCAGGGTTTAGTTCTTCATTTCATGTGACAGTGGATGTTAAAACACTTACCAAGTTCTCTGACTGTTACATTTCTTCTGGCCAGTCAGATGTGGCTTTGTATCCAGCCTTCATCATACAATCAGGGGCCACTGGTCTCTAGAGTTGTAACAATTACATCTACCATATTGTCTAAATATAATGTAACAATTACATCTACCTTGCTGTTTACTATAATACTAATTCAGCATTCACATTACTCAGTTTTGTCTTTCTATAACCTTCAGCTTTTCCTTGTGACTATCTACTTGGATCACTTGTACAGCAACAACTGATACTGCATGAACCTTGCTCCTTGCAGTATTGGCACTTGAGTTTCTAAAAGTCCAAATGGTTGGGAATTGTTTCTTCACACTGTCCATGCTCTTAATTTGTCTTCATATTCCTTCCAAGTACTATAAAGTAATTCTAACATAACTTTTCTAATAATTATGTTACATTCTCTTTCTTTGTACTATACTTACATCGATAATTTTTCAGAAAATTATTTATTTCCTTGGCATTTTTATTTATCTGAATTTACCTGAGGGCCACTGACACTAGTGGCCTCGACGAGGACAGAAAGCCGGCGGCTTGTCGAAGGTCTCCCCCCACCCATCTGCCTTGATAATCTTTTCCAGTTGGATTTTGAAATTCAACAGTTTTTTTCATTTATGGCTTCGACAGGTAGACAGTTCCATGGGTTTATAACCCTGTGGGTGAAAAAGCATCTCCTGTTCTCAGTCCTACATTGTTGCTTGTTGAGCTTTAAATCATTGCTCCTTGTCTGTGTTACTTCTGACCACTTGAAGAAATTGTTCACACCAACATCCTCCAAATTGTTCAGTATCAGTGAGATCCACTATGTCATGCCTGGTTTGCATTGTTATTCCTGTGGGCCTCAACTGTTCCTGATAAGAGAACGGTTGAGAATGATAAAGAGACTTAGTGCTAGAATGCTTTTTGTTCCTTGGTTTTATGACTGCATACTTTATTCCTCGGGCACTGTTTTTCATTATTACTTACAATATACCTACTAGACTACATTTTGTATTGCCCTTCTGTTTTCAGTTTATATTTACTACATTTAATCATTTGTATTCAGCTGAAAGTTGTCTGATTTATACAGGAGAGAGGCCCTTCCATTGCCAGTTATGTGTTCGTGGCTTTGTCAGCAAAACGAAGCTAGATGAGCACGTGAGTCGTCATCGTGGGGACCGCCGCTACCGCTGTTCCTACTGCACCAAGACATATGCAGGAGCATGGGATTTAAAGCAACATGTCAGGTGAGGCAGACCCCAAACTGCACAAGATTTTAGAGAGTTAAATACAGTATTAATAATGCTTTACTGTACTTCATTCATATTGATTATATTGTAGCTATTAGTATATACTGTACTACACCAGTTTAATAGTATTGTATATACTCGTCACAGTTCTTACAAAAACCTCATGTGCTGTCTTCGTACAGTTTATGAAGAAAATCAATATCGATATGTGTATTCAAGGTAAATTCATTCTAGGGTATTTTTATTATATCCAATATAATTTCATTAATGATGAATGATTTGTTGTCAAATTTTTTGTATACTGTACAGACTAGTAATGTCACCTATTGCAGAATACCAATTTCTGCATCATATGCATAAAAAAATGTAATGCTTTACTATGCCTCACCTCTTCCTCTCACAAGAGTTTGCCGACACTACTGTATCTCGGTTAAATTATTCTTAAATATATTTTTGAAAGGCATTCATAACGGTACTTTTGTGTAACTTTTGTAATTTTGCTGCATTTCAGAAAAGTGCATGACAAGCTGTGTGAGAAAGTAGCAGTGACTGTTGTTGCTCCGAACCAAACGAGCACTGGTAACTCTGCACTGACTCAGGTCAGTGCTCACACTGAAGATTGTGATATTTGCTCTTATAAGATATAATATTATAGAATTTTCACTTTGCAATGTTCTTTCTGAACTATTTCACTCGACTGTTCTTTAAAGTAAGCGTCTGTCCTCTCGCTGGGAACTGTAACATGTAATTAAGCAAGGGGATACACAAATGTCAGCCCCACGGGAAACTGTACAAATGGTCTCTTGGTTGGTTCTAGGGATCACTGGAAAATAACCATCCAGCTTTAGTGACCCCCTAGATGGAATGTATTAAATAAACTCAGCCTTTCAGCTTTTAGCTTTTTATAAACTCAGTCCTTCAGTTCCTAGCATTTATGGATTCTTGGTATGTTCCCTTTTTTTGACATGAGGTCTAGCCTTTGTTACCAAACCTTGCATTGCATTTGTTTCTCCATGTCTATGCTAGGGGCTGACTTTCTGGTGCTTTGAAAGTTCCTCCATTTCCCCACATTATAAGGGGTCAGGCTTGACTGATCATGTTGTTTCTGCTGCAGGACAGCAACACAGTAACTTTGAATTTTGTTCATCTTCTGCTTCCTGAACTACCGCCTACCTTGTTTCCATCCCACTCTTTTTATCAAGATATGTAGTCTATTTTGCTTTGCCTGGCCTTTCAGGGCAGTTTTACTCGGTTATGTGACTGGTCTTAGATCCCTATACTCCTCTCACCTCTATGAGCACATCAGATTCTGATTCTAGTTCTAGTGTTCAGGAAAGGGGGGGTTTTCACTACATTCAGCACTTGATTTTTCAAGTGTTTTTGGTATGTATATATATACAAAATGTTTTGTATCATTTGCAATACTATACATATGACAAATATTATTTTATGTTCTGACTTCTCCTTAGGCTGACTATATATATTTGTTTCCAAATTATTCAAAATTCACATGTCATTATTATCAAATTTGTTTACTGCTTAAATGAACTTACCTTCCATGAAAAAGTAACATTTACGGCTCAGATTGGGAGACAAGTAAATATATAACCAAGTTGTATTAAAGAACTTTCCATAATGCTTAGTTAGTACTGTAATTAATTTTCTAGGTACAAGTTTTGGATCCTTTAGCCATAGCAACTGCAGCATCTGGTCTCAAGGAAGAGGAAGGAGTTACATGTGGGAGTAGTATGGCGCACTCTCATACCCAAGGCAATACCTCGTCGGCCACCCTTGAAGAGGTAAAGTGTGCATACATATTTTGTTCAAAGAGTACAAAAATATGATTTTTATATTGTTTCCCTTGAGCTAACAACCTGTGTAGTCCACAGTTATACATTCTGTCCATTTTTGACCCCATACTGCATTATTAATGAGCAAAAGTGTTAATAGTATACTTCCTCTCCAAATTAGCACTTGCAGAGAATGTTCTTAATCCCCATAAAGTAAATAAAAGTATTGTTATAGAAAACATCACTTGCATAAAACTCGGAGCACATGTTGGCCTATGAAATGTGGCATACTCTGAGCAATAATCCTACATCTATAGCATATATATTTACCTTGCTTTGAGGATATAACATTCAACTGATATATTGTTTGTATTTATACTAAGTATTATACATAATATGGATATTGGATTACTGTCATACTATTATTGTGGTGTATTTCTCTTCTTAATCTTTACAGGTTGGCAGTGGACTGGTTGGGGCTGCTCAATACATTACTGTGAGTGGGCAGCCAGCAGTGACTATTCCAGTAGTGGGAAGCATACAGGGACATATCCCACCTCTTGGTCATGTTGTGCAGGTCAGTGTTCATACAAATTTATTTAATTAAACTGTTGTAATAATTTGAAGTGTCAATCTTGGTGTTGAAGCAGCTATGCTATAAACAGTCCTATTATAAAATATTACATTTGTTTCATCTGTTGGTACAGCTACAGTAATATCAATTAAAAATTCATAACATGAGAATTAAGGAAACTGCAGAAAACTCATTGGCCTATATGAGGCAACTCCTATTTAAATCCATGCAACAATCCTATTTCCAAACCAGTATTTACTCCAGCTCTTTCCTAAATCTAAACTTATCCAAATTATATACATTGTTTATATCTTGGCAATATTAAAATACATAAGAACTACATGTTGACTATCCGATGATGATTCCGAGGATCCCCACAGCCTGATCTCTGACCAGGCCTCTTGGTTACTGGTCTGATCAATCGGGCTGTTCGATGTGGCTGTTTGAGAAAAAACAAAAAAGTGGCTGACACACTTCTTCTGGAAGCATTTAGTAGCATGTCTTTGAACACTAGTTTATTGTGGTTGTATGTAATAATTTAAGTATAGCTGCAGAATGAAAAGTACACTTATGGTGTCCCATTTTCCCTATAATCTCTGTCATATGACGTATGTAATGTGTTAAAGAAAACTCTTTTACCAAGTTACTGTTTACTTTCGTAGGTATCTGGCTCAACTGTTCCTCTGGCTGGTGTTGGGACAGCCATTGGCACTGGTGGAACATCAATGCAAACAGTACAGACAGTGCAGGCAGTCCAGACCATTCCAGGAGTGACTGCTACTGAATACTCTGTCCAGACTCTCCCTCCTCAAGCAGTACATACCACACAAGGCTATATTTTCACTCAAGGCTTTGATATGGTCAGTGGCACCTTGCAGTATTAGTAAGCACACTGTAAGGGATGGATTTCCAAAGAAGATGGAATACTTGAGACAACCAGACATTTGTAAAGGCTACAGATTTTGCTAATTATTCTCAGTAGAGATAATCTACATGGAGTTGTCACCTTAAGTGTAATCAAAATACAGTATTAATTGAAATTGCTAAGCTTACTACATTATTGACATTACTAGGTATCATATAGCTATCCTGGTATGTTTGTATGTTGGCAAAGGACTTGTCATTATTTATGCCACATGGTCTTTAAGGCAGTATTCTGGCAGGAGAACTTAATGCTGTATGAAATGTAATTACTGTACCAACAGACACCTCTTTTAAAAGGTAATTCAACATGTTTCTTCAAATCATCTATAGTCAGCTGGGTCATGGTATCATGTTGAACTGCAACCTGCAAGCAGCAATAGTCTGACTTATGAAGACTAGCTGTCAACAGTACGGCCTAATTAGAGATTAGACTACTGGGATGATTTTCCTTAAAACTATCATGAGATATTAATGACTAAGCATATCTGAGATTCAAAATAATGGATTGGCCAACCATTTAAGAAAACTAAATTGAAAAATGAGTAAAGAATGTATAAAGAGAAAATAAGAAAAAATATTAAAAGTAATAATAAATTTTACTTGATAAGACAGAATCTCAAAAAATATATCTCGGATTGAGTGAACTATACCATAAATATTAGGAAGAAAAGCCTCATAATTTATTAATAACTTTTCTTGTGGTTGTACTGTGCATCATTGGGTGTTCCATACCAGCAATTGAAGGCAATTTAAATACTTATGAAAGATACTACAAAAGTATGAAAGAGAGCTTCAATCTTGCAGGTAAATGTATCATGCTTCTTTACCACTCTTGATACAATATACATGTAATGTTTTAACTGTGCATTCATTTTAGTAAGATATTGTACTTAGTATTTTCTTTATTTCATTCTGACAAACTATAAGTAGAGTGGCCAGTTTATTTCAGATCTTATACAGTAGTTGAAAAGTCATCAGTATATTGGTTTTCATAATGACTTGTCATCATCCAAAGAAACCATTATTTAATATATTTTTGTACTTTCTAACACATACAGAAGCATGGTAACACTAGATTTATTTTGAATGTGTGTAGTAAAATATGCGACGCCAAAAGATGCATATTTGGACCAAAATATTCAGTGAAGATTTTCCTACATTGGAGTGGAAATAAAATAGAAAAGCAGTTGCCATAAGTTGGCAATGTTGTGATATATACGTTGTATATATATAAACAAAAGTATACCTAATAGGTAATACTCAAGCTTGTGTCTAGTAACAACCCAAGTTTATATCTTGCAAACTAATGGAGTGTATGTCCCATTTTCTTTTTTTCTTTTCCCTCTCAAAAGAGGTGTTCACTTCCTACTAAGTATTGTGCCAAACTATGAGATAAGATGTAGATATTAGAACAAGTAATAAGGAGCAAAGCATATCACATTTTGTCTCACTATCTGTTCTTAATTATTATTGTCCTTTGGTTCAAGAGTTGTCAATACATGCCTCTCCACTTTCGTGTCACGAATGATCTAGTAGTTCTTCAGTTTTATGGAGATTTTATTTACTCTACTTCTATAATGCTCTATATTATATATTATATTAAATATATTATACTTCTATACTATATTTATTATATATACTTCTATATTATGCTTCTATAATATGGTTTACTTATATATTATTTTGTCAGGTGTAACTCATAAAAGTCATTTATGGTTTCTCAATCTTTTGATCTCTAGATACTGTACATTGATTACTTTATGGGGTAACTTGCTTCATCTTTCAAGATTTGTAGGTCTACTACTGACTACTGCATGTAGGAAATTATTGTGTGCCTAGAATATTACAACAGACCTTAGTGAAACTCGTCAGATGTGTAGCAATCGTGCAATTTAATTGGAAAAAAAGTTTTGTCTGCCAGCATGTCACTTCTTTACAGTATAAACAAAGGTGGGGGAAATATTTGTGGCAATGTCACTAGTGTTTTTGTGTATGAAAACACAACAGAATTGCTTTTTTACATACATCTCCAGAAGAGTATATAGTATTGACTCATGACAATTCTTATTTTTTGGCTTTCAACCACTCTACCCAGGAACTTGTTAACTGCAGCTGGGTCAGTCTAACCTTCTTATCTCTAACATTGTTGGAGTCTTTTTCTACACATCACCATCTGGCCATACCTAGAGGGGGAATGGTGTGGTAACCTTGCGCTGATTTTGGGGCTCAACATCCCCACGGCCCGGTCCTCGACCAGGCAGCGAGGATGTCGAGTTGTCTGGTTGTTGGTAAGCCAAACAAGACCCCTGTGTGTGAGCTGCATACTTCCTATAGTGTACTGTACTCTTGTTTTTATTGCTAGGTTGAGCAGGCTGCAAGCACTCGTTTCTTATTTTGAGTTTATTCATATAGATTATTTATTTCCATATTTGTGTATTGTACAACATTTGCCAATTCAAATACATGCTCATGCTGTTTTGGGAAGCATTTATTGAATATTGGTAAATTTTAGTGCAGTACTGTAGATATCTTTAGTGGAGAACATTGACTTTTAATGTTCAAAATCAATCTAGATAGGTTATACACATCTATCATGGGAAAAGTAAAAATATACACTGGCTGTGAATGCACTGAAATAAAGATGTCTTCAATTATCAAATGACAAATCTAATGCAATTTTACCTATTCATACATTTGATATTGTAATGTGAAACGTTTGTGCATGATAGTTGTACTATACAGTACAGTGTGTGTGTGTGTTAGGGGTATAATTTTGTCTTCAATGCCTACAGCATAGCACAATTATAATTACATTTGTGTGCTGATAATGTATATACAGTATTGTTTGATCAATATTTCTTGTCTCATTAGTGCATTTGTTATTTATTACATTGAACAATTGTCTTCTAATTGTATGCAGATTATATACATAAATATATTTTATCCAGAAAAGGTGAATATAAAAAGTATTTTTGTCATGTTTGTATTATTTATATGATCCTTGTTGTTTACAAGAACTGTATTTTTATTTAAATTATATTCTACAAATATAGGGTCTAGAAATATATCTTGATACACAATAGCATACTGTACCTCCATTAAGGAAAAAATGAAAGACAATTTAGGTCACAAGTACTGACTATGACTAGCCTGTTCTATTTCATTAACCTAAACATACTAGCAACTATAGTATGCTAAGAAAAACTTTCTTGAATATAATGTTGCCGCTATTATAGAATAGTGTAGGAGGGTGTTTACTACTTCTTTATTTTATATTAAAGACAGCATCATTGCTAAGAATTCTGTAATATTGTATGACAAACCAGAAAATGGCTCATGTGTTATGCAGTAGTCAGCGCCGTCGACTCACAACAGAAAGGTCCCAGGTTCAACTCTCGCAGCAGCACGGAGATGTTTGAGTATGTTTCCTTTCACCTGATGTCTCGGTTCACCTGGCAGTAAATAGGTACTGTACCTGGGAGCTAGGCAACTGTTGTGGGTTGCATCCTGGAAAAAGTCAGCAGTTGAGTAAGGGTGCCTCGATAAGCTTCCTGTGCCAATGGGAACTGGGGAAACCAAATCAATGGGCTGTGAAATCCACGGAGAGCATTTTCAGTTTTCTAAATGTGACTCACATTAAAGCCTACCAATGCTCCTTTTTCAAAGTTTTTTCCGCCAAGGCGAGTCCAAATTTTAATTGAGGTCTATTTTGTCCATCAATATAGTTACTTTTCGTCAGCCAGGAACTTGAGAATACTGATGTCATCAGGTGTTAATTGGGCCCGCTGGCGAATTTCATCAAATGTGTAGTCCAGAAGAAGCTCCCCGTTTTCAAACACTGCCACAAGCAAGTCCTGCAAACAAGCTAGCTCTTATTAAATTCGAATATAGAAAAGTTTATTATTACTTTATAACAAGTTTTATTACTGTATGATGCCTTGTAGTTACTGAAGTTGGATTATTAAAATGGTAGATATGTAAATGAGTGTCGCCAGGCCTAGAATAATATACAGTATTAGAATTTGTGTTATCTTCAACTATACCCATTTATTTCCCCTCTTTCCCCCCCCAAAAAGTTGCTTCCCTGACGAGTTATCTAAAACGATACATATACTTAGTAAATTTCGTAATACTGTATCACAATACCTTCAAAGTCTTATATATGATGAATTACAATTTGTATACCTTTTCTGGGTCTCCCTTGCCATGTTGAATGGTGGTGAAGGTTCCGTTGTCTCGCTGGAGGGTGAGTCTGCCCTTCTTACTGGTCTTGCCAGTATCTGTGATGGGTTCCTTGTACACCTCCACCTCCTCCCCGCCCACCACAGCCTGGCTGCACTTGTATGCAAACTTCTGGGTGTCTCGGTCAAGCTGTGAATACAAGCGATATTGATGAATGTAAGAATGTCCTAACTATATTTCTCTTTGTTGTACATTATCTGTAGTATTAAATCACGTTTAATAAGTCCAACATTATTTAGTATCTTTTTGTATAAGCAATTACAATGTCTTATGTATGTAAACATACATCTCTTGTATGTATGTACCTTACTTGAATAAACATTTATTTATTTATAACATTATTGTATGTAAATACTTGAATATTATCATTAATTACTATTAGTAATTAGACATTAATTGTTATTTACTTTAACTAACATTTGCATATTCAGGATGCTAAATGTACTGCTGTAATTACTCTATACTTGGCTAATATGTAAAGTCACATATTCAGATTAACCTATTAAGCTATTTTAAATTTAGTTATGCTAACCTAGATGATAACAAGGTACCACAGAATCTGCATTTTGCTAATTAACATTTTTTTTAACGTAATAGGTCATTTTTAGTAGGCCTTCTAGTCCAAAATGCATGATAAATTTAAAACTTCTTATTGGTTGAAAATATACATGTACAACGCAACCATATTGCTAAGTTTTTAAGTTTTGAGACTTGCCTGAAGCATTTTGTCAGCATGCACTTAATTATTGCTTCAGTTCAAATACTGTACATGAAATTATAACTCCCTGCTCTATTAATATAAAATAATTGTATTGTATGGACCAACTAAAGTGGTTACAAAAACTAACATACAGTATTTTCATCTTATATAAATATTTAATCTATTCCAATTCAATTTAATATTTTACCATTTTTTGTAGCAAATAAAATAATTTGTGGCAATTTAGTAGTCTCATGGAAAGCTGATATGGAACACAACTTTCAAACAAAGAAATTTGAATAACTTGGGAAGCTGTAACAGTAAAAAAACATTGCTTATAAATCTTTAAGACATGATTAATTAAAGCATACAAACTGTACTAAAACTCCAATGCAAAACTATAGGCTGCTTTCAGTTTGGGTGTTTGGTTGACGTGGTATACCGCATTACTATTCATAATTACATTTTGAGTATAGATGCTAGGAAAACATAATTATAATGATAAAAGATGTTACCCGTTGGAGGAGAGAGGCGCCAGACCCGAACCCAACGTTGGCCGCTGACCAGCCGTTATTCTTCAATGTCTCCAGTATCGTGCCTGAGGGAGGGGAAGGCTATATATATACACATTAACATTATGCAAACATTTTATATAGCCTGTTCTTCAGTCATCACCCTTCAACACCTGTTGACACTATTATTATTATTATTACCTGATGGCATATCCTTAAGCATTTTTTTTATTAATAATAATACCTAGCAGGTATTTATAATTTGTATTGTTTGATTGAATATTAGATGTGTGTATTTACTATTTCTGCCTGCAGGATCTAGCTGTTAGTTCTTGAACTCTGCCTTTCTGACCGTCGGTTAATAAGGTTGACCCCCAACCTGTTTTTCCTCTTATCATGTCTACTAAGTATATATTTCACTCGTACACACATCCCCAAGATGCAGCCTGTAGTAGCTGTCTAAGTCTCAGGTACCTATTTGCTGCTAGATGAACAGAACCATCTGGTGAAAGAAACCGTCTCGGGCGGGAATCGAGCCCGGGCCTTTAGGACTACTACCCCCGAGCGCTAATCCCTGTAAGAGACTCACCAATTGACTTGTAGCTAACACCGTCGCCTTGGAAGACCCTGAGAAACGCGGGCAGCATCTTGTAGCCTTTGCTGTTGGTCTCCGTCCCAAACTGTTGACCCAAGATCTCCAGGCACTGTAGGAGGACCACAGGGTCGTTGTGAAACATTTACTCACTCGCACTCTCCCTCTGTTTATGACCTGAGGGCCCACTAACGGCCTCGGCAGGGACAGGAAGCCGGTGGCTTGTCTAAGATGTCCCATTATTTTTTAGATTTTTTTCCACCTTAATTTTAAACTGAAATGTTGGACTTTGATATGTACGGCTTCGGCGGGTAGGTGTTGTAGACAAGAAGGCACTATAACCCAACCAGGGTTCGAACCTGCATTACCAGGGTTAACCCTCTGGCGTACACAGTGCCATAACCTCTTCAGCGAGGTCACGTACAATAATAGGACTGGATCTAGGATAGCACCCGTATTAATCGTTGAGATGTAACTCTCGTCCAAACCATACACCTGTACTGTACTCTGACTTTAATAATGTAGTCAGGGGACGATGAGTCGAAGATGATGGCCGAAGATATAATGTCCAAACCACACATCAGAAGATGGTGAATAATGACGACGTTCCGGTCCGTCCTGGACCATTATCGTGTGATTACACGACTTGATAATGGTCCAGGAGGGACCAAAACGTCATCGTTTACCCATCTTCTCATGAGTGGTGACTTGAAGGCGCTTGTGCAAAATTAACAAAATGACACAACCGCAACACTAAATAAGAGTACACAGCCCATTGTGACATGGTGTAGTACAGTGATGACCAAACCACACCTCAGAAGATGACAAATCAACGACGAATTTACTCACACAAGACTTAATAATGGTCCAGGACGGACCGAAACGTTCTCATTTCTTCCTTCACCTTCTGATGTGTAGGTTGGTCATTATATCTTCAGCCACGTTATTATGACTCATCGTCTGCATATGGTGTAGTACAATATGTAGCCTATCACATGGAGTCACATTTCGAGGGCAATTAATGTGACACACCCTTCCCCTTCACGATAGTGCATTCGGGTCTAAGTATAATACTTCAAATTCGTCAGAGACCATTTAAGACACAATATGAACCCCTAGAACATGACATAGCCTCAGGTACAGTAAGCACACCCACCTTCAAGACGACAACATTAGGGTCGCCACTGTCGGGGCACACAACTATGTATCCGCCACTTTTGGCGTGATCCTTCACGAGTTCCTTCAGCTGACCGCCGAGGATTTCCTCACAGCACTTCCACATGTCATACGAGTCAATCACACACCCGATGGCCCCTACAGGAGTGTCATTGAAGCAATAAACCAAATGAGGAGTGGTCAAGAGCCACTGTTGGCTGCATAGGCCTACATAATGAAATTTGATGCATATTGTATGGGCCTAGATTTCATATTTATTGATATGTTGACGACAGACATTCAGAGAAAGTGGCAGAAGATGAAGGTCTGATGCTCTTGGGCTGTAAAATATCACTTCGTGAAAATGAGGGTACCTAAAATGCAACATATGCAAAATTCATTACTATTACACTCCGTGAAGAGAAATCACAATATATATATATATATATATATATATATATATATATATATATATATATATATATATATATATATATATATGAATGGAGTACCACCTCTGGCTGGAAGAAGGGGACCCTTAGCCTCTGAGGAAAACACACATAACTTATTAGAGGGAATGTTTAGGTCCCCTCCAATACAGTTTCTGTGTGATATATAATAAATAATATACAATATATAAGTGATAATAATGCAAGGCATCTGACTAATCTATCACTGAATCTCTAGTTTTAACAGCAGTACAGATTTAATATTTACAATAACAGCAAAAGCACCATAATTGGGTAATATTTTATGACAATAATTTATATATATAAAATACATACATTTTATATACAACACAGATCCTGTAGACACAAATAGGTGAGTACAGAGAAGTCACAGGTAAACAATGTACAATATATAAGCAAGCTCCAGAGCTGAAACCCCCCAGGACGACCACGAGGTCGATTTCAACACAGACTCTAGAACCACCCAAGACCCCGGCGGCATAAATAGAGGTACTTCCCTCTCCAGCTCCCAACACTCCTACCATCACCATCTCAGCAGCCACGCTAGCAGATGTAATGTCTACAAATGCTAACAGCACCACCAGCGCTCCTGAAATAGCTTCTACCATCAATCAATGATACCTGAGCGCACCTCAGGCCACGAGGCGAAAGACGAAAACGCCCACTACGGAGGTTACGGACTCCTCAGACGAGAAAATCTTAGGTGCTCCACCGCCGCATCACAAATACGACACCTACTCGGTACATGACCTCCTAATGGAGGCCACTCACCAAACTCCAACGACAGCACGGCGCAGCCGAAGTCTCACGCAAGGAAAAACGGAAGACCTAGAGGTCTACACTAACCTCACCAGCTCCCTAACTGGTACAGTCAGCCCTCCAAGGCTGAAACCCACCAAGAAGACCCCCATCTATCGCCAGATCTTTAGTATCAGCTATTGATACAGATAATGGTTCCAAATAGCCTCCACTTACGGGCTCACCATAGCCCGTGATACTTGCAACATTTTGTTCTGGGTAGCTGAATCTAGAACAACAACAGCTGGAACCCCTAAGACAGTTCGTTGTTGACTTCAGCCTCGTTCTGGCAGCTCCTGCTGCGACGGCACTGAAACCAAGCGTATTGACGTTTGCATTTCCATAGAACAATTTCAGCAACGTAGAAAGGGTGGGGATCTGCTGCATAGATAACAGCTTCTCCATATCAACCTACAGAGGCTTTGAGGTTGTCGAGGCTAGAGGACACTCCAGCCTCGACAACCTAAGCGCAACTCCATAGTCTCCCGAGACTGTTGGATGCCAACTACTACTACTATCTGTGTAGAGCATTCCAGCATAGCCTGAACATCACTAGGTAATTGGCCTGTATGGTTAATGGTGTAACACAAAACTAAACGAGAAGTAGATTTGAGATCAAGATAATCATCTCAAGATAACCTCAAGAGAGCAACATATTAGCTTTAGTATCAATAAATAAAAGTGCCGTTAAGGTTATTTATTACTAACTTATTATTATTATTAGACATAAAAGTAGGAGTTGCCATACTTCCTTTGTAGATGTTAAGCATGTGTTTGAAAGCGTCGGCCTCCCGATGTCTTCCCCAAGTGGTGATGGTGGAGTGCTCGGAGCCGGAGCCAGAGATGCCCCCGACCGTCTCCACGTGGTAGTACTTCCTCAGCAGACACGACCCAGCCACCGTGTCTGAAGCCTTTATCATAAACTATTACGATACGGCACTCCCTCCACTCACAACAGCTTATGTATATGGAGTCAATGATAGACCAATTAAACTAAAACTACCCTCAACGCATTCCCTCAGAACAAGATTACACGGCAGTGTTTATCGTATAAACTGTTTTGTTTATATTGCAAAATATTTATAAAAAGATATGCGGCAGAATACACTACTGTATTTCGCAAGACAAAAGCAGACTGACCTTGAAGTTGATCATGTTGGCAGCACCGCCTATGGCTGCAGTTTCAACAGACGAGACACCCCGATACCCGCAGTCATGCATCTGGCACCACACAGTAATATATTAATTTTATGCATGTCACTAAGTTTTTACGGGCTATTCATGCCCGTGCCACCTCTTGGGTGGCTTAATCTTTATCTTTATCACTAAGTTTGTTTATTTGGTGCGTGGATATAGTTAAGATCACAGTTGAGATAAGATAGGAACAGGATTTCTTGATTGTTTTATTATCAGTTACATGATATCCGAACGTGCTATAGGCTACAGTAAAATAAAATGGAGAAAACGAGTATTGCTTTTTACAATAGTTTGCAGTTATATTTAAACTATATAACACATATGAAATTGTAAAGGGGATCAGCTGTGGGCCTTTCAGGTTGCTATAACGTCAACCGTCATCATTGGACTACGTTAGACCGACGTTAAAGCAACAAAATTGGGCAATATAACTAGATATATCTGAAGTATATCGAGGGGTAACGTACAGAGTAGTCGAGGAGGAGGAGGTTATCATGAGTGAGGGCGAGGTAGTGGTGGATAACCTGCTTGTAGATCCTGGAGTTGGTGGCTACTGTCGTCGGATACCACGCCTGTACCAGCACTGTCTGCAGTAAATATGGGTACTTCAGTGTAAACATTAATACTTGCACCAGCACTGTCTGCAGCAAACATTGGTACTTTAGTGTAAATATTAATACCTTTCCAATCATCATCGGCAGTTAACACTATAGCCTCTGTTAAAATTAACATCTAACAAAGTTTCATTGCGCATTACACCATATTACATAATTATTACTATTATTATTTTGATGATGATGATGATGATGATGATGATGATGATGGTGATGGTGATGGTGATGGTGATGGTGATTCGGTGTGTTGAGAGTAAGGGTGGCGCGGCGTTGCCTGGGAGGAAGGAGACCTGCCCCAACACACGTACATGTTCCCCCGGGAGGAACTTCCCTCCGCACCAAAAAACTGACATCCCTGAATTGCTGGGAGCCGCCCTCTTCACGTCACCCGCCCACATTATGGTGCGGGTACTGTGTGTGTGCGTCATTAAGAAGCTTGGGTGCGCACAAAAAGGTGCTGCTTACCATGTTCTATACTGAGGATTGCAGAGTATAGATAAAAGCTAACTATCAGTTCATCTAACATCCCCATCTCACATGGTGGTTAGTCGGAATCCGGATCAAACGTGAGATGCGTCTCGTCTGCTAGCCTTCACTACCAAGCTCTGGGTAAAGCACAATGATATCTTCCAGTATTTGTGAGTGTATGAAGTAGTTCCAGAGCTCAAAATATCTCACACCATTTGGTCCCAAGTTACTGATAACAGCACACTCACAAATATAGTGTTGGGCAGTGTGTATAGTGTTACACCACCCACACTAGCCCCCGCCCGCCGTCACCACCTATACTAGCCCCCTGCCGTCACCACCCACACTAGTCCCCCACTGTCACCACCCACACTAGTCCCCTGCCGTCACTACTCACACTAGCCCCCCGCCGTCACCACCCACACTAGCCCCCCGCCCGCCGTCACCGCCCACACTGGCCTTGGACATGGCAAAAATAAAGCAAAGCGGAAGGGCGTGAGGGTGATCGTGGCTATTGATCAACACAGGAACGTCACGGCTCCCGTTAATCCTCTTGTATCCTGCCTTTTACCGTTGTTCCGCTGCCCCAGTTACAATGTATTTCATGCAATGGTGTCCTTTGTAATGTCAGCGTAATTCTCCTGCACGTACAGATGAAAAATTATTAATAATTATTGCATATAATTAGTAACCTAGGATACACTTCACTTGACGTCTCAAAGAATGATACTAGGCCTACACCAGGTGTTGGCCTAGTATCATTCTTTGATACTTGGGAGAACTTCGCAGGACAGTACTAGTCCTACGTCAGGAAGTAAGAGACTTGGGGGGGGGGGGGGGAAGACTTCAAAAGACAGTACTAGGCTATTAATAAAGAGCACCTACCTCGAAGAAGGTGGTGATCCAGGGCACCTACCTCGAAGAAGGTGGTGATCCAGAGCACCTACCTCGAAGAAGGTGGTGATCCAGGGCACCTACCTCGAAGAAGGTGGTGATCCAGGGCACCTACCTCGAAGAAGGTGGTGATCCAGGGCACCTACCTCGAAGAAGGTGGTGATCCAGGGCACCTACCTCGAAGAAGGTGGTGATCCAGGGCACCTACCTCGAAGAAGGCGGTGATCCAGGGCACCTACCTCGAAGAAGGTGGTGATCCAGGGCACCTACCTCGAAGAAGGTGGTGATCCAGGGCACTTCGGGGTCGGTGTTCTCGACTGTAAATAAAACGTTTCTGGTAGGCATGATAGTCCCCTCCGGTATAGCCTTGATCCGCAGCGGCAACCGACCTCCGTGATGCTGCAACATGTTAACGTCATTATTACAGTGCAAGCTTCAACAACAGTAAAGTCTTCCTGCATAGTAACTAAGTATGGTGGCCATTAAGTGCATACATAAGGTGCATACATAAGTTTCTTAGATTAAGGACCTGTCCGAAACGCTGCGCGTACTAGTGGCTTTACAAGAATGTAATTACTATGCTATGTATCCTCACAATCCCAATGTATCTTCTTGTATATAAATAAATAAATAAATAAATAAACATACAAAAATCCATAAATATAACAAGCTATTTACTTTCATAATGACTCTAGGGTTCCATTTGTAATTAATTTGCAGGGTATACGAAATCTGGAAATGACCTCGATATCAGGATATAGTTCCGACCCTCAATGATAAAATTAACGGTCAATATGTAGTTCCAGGCCCTCCATAAATAACATAGCGTCCAGGATGTAATGTCAGGCACTCCAAAATATCTTAATTTCCATACTGTAGATCCAAACACTGAAGAGCCTAACATGAATGCATATTTCTGATTCTTTAAGGAGAAACTTGAATCCAGATGTTATCAAACTATTTCTAGAGTCTCACCTCAAAGATGCAGTTTTATAAACTTTTTATAATGAACATCAGCTTCAGAATGTAGTTCCAGAACTTCCATAAAGAATTTAATATAATTCTTGATTGATTTGACTGATTGTGTTAATTTCTATCAAAATAGCTCCAGACTTTTCATAAATAATATTCCTTAAGATTTAGTTCCTGACAATATAGAAGGAACCTAACCTGAACAATATAGTTCCAAACCATCCATAAAATACTTTACCTCCAGAATATAGTTCCAGCCATCCTCATTGAAGTCCTCGTCATTCATATAGACGTTGGAGTAGATTTCTTTAGCCTCCTGGATAGCCTGACGGGTGACGACAGGTCCCACCAGCCATCGCTTAAGGATGTATTGCAGCCCGAAGAAACAGGTGTATGGAAACCTTGCCAGAGACGTTTACCATTACATGCCATCACAGGAGAAACATGTAACTTCCAAAAGCAAAATCGGCAATACGAACGGCTTAAAACTGAATCTGACAATTCCCTCCATGATGACCCAGAGGTATAATCCATAATTTAAACAATAAATGTGTACTGAATCTATATAATGACACCTGAAGGCTGTCTGCTGTTTTTGCTGACTCTGAGTATCTTAATTATTTTAACATTATTATTACTGTTATTGATATTATTTGTAACATACAAAGCAGAGCGACGCAGCCTCATTTTCAAGTATTGTGCATTTATCCTCTTTATGTAAATAACATTAATTATTGTTTGTCAATTTTATTCACTGGTGAAGGTCAGCTTAAGAAGCTTTAAATGAAAATGGTTGTAAATTAACAGGTAACGAAGAAGCTTATTAAAGTTTAAAGTAGCATTTATAATATTCAGTAATTCCATCATCAGATGCGGAAGATAGTAACCATGCATAAGTGTCTACACACACATTATATACCTTAAACCTTGCATTTGCAATATTTTGACATTAGCCACAACATGTTCAATGTGGTATTAGATCAAAACAAACCATTGAAAAGCTTACCACTAACCTGTAGCAAGCAAAAACACTTCCCAACCACAATGAAAACTTCCTGAATTCACGATTCTTAAAACACTAACAAATATGGGCCTACTCAACTGTTTTTGTCCTTGTTTTTCTAATCACATGTTGGTAATTATCTCAAGGCTGCGACTGAAAATGTCAAATACTCTGATTCTAATTAGTTTTTAGAGATGCGAAGATGACTTACTTTCCTCCGCGGGACTCGAAGTAACAGTAGAGGAGAGTGGTACCCGGTGGGTACTGCTGGTAGTGCCCCACCTGGAGGAGGAGGCACTGGATTAGTCTGTGAGGGCCTTCAGTGAATAGTGTGCCCCCTGGGTGGAGGAGGATGGGGTACTGTGTTAGTCTATCATGAATCATTTGATCAAAAAATCTATATTTTGTTGCAGATAACTCTTTTATAGTGCTAAATCAGTGCAATAATAATTCATTGTGTCGGGGGACAAACTGACTAACTCTTGGGTACCTATTTACTGCTAGGCGAACAGGCGCATTAGGTGGTACGAAACGCGCCCTACCATTTTTGTCCCGCTCGAGATGTGAACTCGGAATTCCCGATTGTGGGTCGAGTAGGAACCTAAGTCCACTACGGGCTCACCATAGCCCGTGCTTCTTGAAACTTCTGTTCCAAGTAGCTGAATCCTCAACAACAACAAGAGAACGAACCCGACTGTACTACCGGGTTATATAACAATTTAAGATACGTTACCTTGTAACTGTCTGCCAGGAGGATGACGTTATTTACAGGTCCTGCGTCCATGGCTGCTGATCTCAGACTGACGAACCAACTATGGCGCATCATCCACCCGCCCGGAGCAATAAACCGGAACACATGTTCAGAGTTGCTGGCAGTGGTGACCTTGAAAATATACGTAAGTCGATTACCACAACAAATCTGGCTGTGGGTCTGGGTATATACCCTGCCTGAAACAGCAGAACGGTGCAATGGTTGCTGGGGGTCCGGCTATTCAAGTTTAAGACTGGGCCCATGATGTCATCCCATTCAGTTACTCTAGCCTGTCCTCCAAAAAAAAGACCCAAAAGTGATTCCATGCACCAGCCGAACCCCCTGTTTATGAATGAAAAACGGTTTACACACAACCCGTCCTCGACTCAAATCCATTACATCCAGCGGTCGACCCCACAGACGCATTCGTATATTTGTACATGCTGTTCATTCAAAATCGGAATTTTCTCAAATGTAAATTAATATTATAATTTATTAGCATATTGTGCATATATAGGCATAGGTTAGGTTAGGTTAGGTGTTTAAGTTCTGTTGGCGATTATTTGTATTTGTAGTACGTGGGTGAAGCATTTACAGCGTTGTGGTTCGAGTAAAATTCGTCAGTGAAGCACTTGTTCCGGAAGTGTTTGAACGAAATCAGTTGAGTCGCAGACCACCCTCCAAAGACCCAAAAGTGATTCCATGCACCCGCCAACCCCCCTGTTTATGAATATAAAATGGTTTACACACGACTCACAACTGTTTTCGTTCGAACACTTCCGGATTAAGTACTTCACTGACGAATTTTGTTCGAACCACAACGCTGTAAATGCTTCAGCCACGTACTACAAATACAAATAATCGCCAACAGAACCTAAACACCTAACCTAACCTAACCTATGCCTATATATGCATAATATGCTAATATATTATAATATTAATTTACATTTGAGAAAATTCCGATTTTGAATGAACAGCATGTAAAAATTTCTGAATGCGTCTGTGGGGTCGACCGCTGGATCGAATGGACTTGGTCCGAGGACGGGTTGCCTATTTACAGAGCAAAATAAAAACCTAATGGAGATAACGATGTAGTAGAAAATGCAGAATAGACCCGGTGAAGAGGTAATCTAATTATCAGGAGAAAGCGTTAAGTCATTATGACTATATATATAGCACTTAGAAAGGATAAGATTTAAGATAGGAAGGAGAAAAGGAGTGTGTCCAACCACAATTACGTGATATATCAATGAGAAAATCACTTGGAGCAATGTAGGGATTTGAACCAGCAACTAATGACTCCAAACGCTTGCCTTATCCCACTCGTACCATGATAAGACAAACGTTAATCAATCCAGAACCCTAATATGTCCCCTGAGGAAGTCTGTGATATCCTTGTGTTCTGAAGGAGGGACATATGGTGGAGAACACTATTACCCACAGGGCAGAGTGAAGGCAGGCTATGCCTAAAACCTGGTTGTGGCATCAGTTGGGACCTCCAGACTTTCCTAGTGGACGCAGTTCCAGGTTCGATAGGTTTTATCCTATCATAACTGAGTAGGTTAAGGCAAGCGTCTGAGAGTCACTAGAATGCTGGTTCATATCCCAGCATTGCTCTAAAGCATTTTCTCAATAATAATAATACCAATTTTTTGTTTATGCAAGAGTATATACATATGATACATTTCGTATAGTAGGGGGTGAATTTGAAGGTAAGAGACATGAAATTCTTATGTTATGATGTTAGCCAACCCATCCACATAATATAGTTTTATCATGTTGGTTTCATAATGCATTAAGAAAGCAATCATCACACAAAGAAGTCACATTGTCGTGAAATATCAATTAAAGCATCAGTTGGAGGAGTGTGTGGGCATTTTAATCAGCGTTCTGGTGAATACCAGACACAAGCCTTTACCCAGGTCACGACAGAACAAAAGCCATTCAACCTAGGACTCTACTAAATCCATTAAGGTCAGGTCGAGGGCCCAGCTGGTGCCACAACTTTCATTTCTAAAAATTCTTCTGCATGGAGTATGCAGTACCAGAGTGCAATATGCAGTAAAAGTGTGAAGTATCAGTTCAGGCATAGAGTATATTCAGTACCAGAGTGGAGTATGCAGTACCGTAGCTGGGGTATGCAGTACAATAGCCGTACGAGCGTGAAATGCTTACCTGAGGGCCGCCACAGTCTCTAGTGGCCTCGACGAGGACAGGAAGTCGGCGGCCTGTCAAAAGTCCCCCTCCCTATTTGTCTTGATTTTGTCGAATTGGATTTTGAAATTCAGCAGTGTTTTGGCATTTCTAGCTTCGGCGGGTAAATACCCAAAACTATATTTTCCGTCTTGCAGTACTAAAGTACTAGTGCAGTAAACTTAGAAATTCCTAACCAGCGTGGTGATAGGTTACACTCACTCAGTTACTACCTACATAAAATGTACCACCGTGAAAATTACACTGAAAAGGGGACACAAGGGGACAGGTGGAAACTAAGAACCTATTCTAGTTAGAACCGGCAGACAATGCTAATTAATCCTAAGCTACGCCAAGTATGTATAGAGGAACCCATCACGTCGGCCCTTATAAAGAAGCATCCCTCCTATACGCATGCTTCTCAACTTTCGTATATTGTTATTTGTTTTTTGTTACCATAAACAAACCATTATCAAAGACGGAAAACTAATGATTGATACTTCAAGGACATCGCCTCCAAGACAAGATTGTTTTTATTGTAGTAATATTTGTTTACTTGAGGCGAACCCACTGACCCAGTGTTGGTCACTCCTACGTCACACTCCACACTGAGTCATATTCCACATATTCTCTCTAATTAATAGGTAATTAAATTAATCACAAAGTTTTATTGTCTACCTGTATATATTTTCCTTGAAATGTGTTATTTAAGTGATGCAAAATATTTTCATGTCGTAAACATTGTCCGTTCTTGTATGACTGACTCAACGCTTTGACTTTTAGTTAAAGTATTCCCCAGTTTATCCTTGTTTTCTCCCATAATTATTGCAAATATTTATTTATATTATATTTTAATAATTATAATAAATACTTATAAATTACAAAACGTTTTATATTTCTGTGTAATTAGTTAATGTGATGATTATAATATAGTAAAAGAAGGAAGAGGTTGAGTTTGGTGGCGTGAGGAGCATCACTTGTGAGCAGCAGCTGAGGCGGTCACTCTCTGCAAGTGTGTCCACGTTCATGGTAAGCGTACTGTGAAGTGTGTCCCTTGTGAGGCACTTGTCGCCCTTCACCAGTGTTAGTGATACACGGGCGTTTCTGCCCTTAACACCTGGACATGTACAGCTTGATGCCACGGATTCCAGAGTACCCTGGAGGGTATTTTATTTGTCAAGGAAGCATAATTATGTTACTCATCCAGTGTGAGTGATTATTAGTGACAATGTGAGTGTTTAAATCTGGTAGGAGAGGATATTTAGAGTGACAATACACTTCCTTTTGTGGTAATGATATATAGAAAATGTCATTGCTATTTGGGCGTAATATTGTAGTGTTGTTATATTAGGCCACAGTGACAGTGTTAATTTCCAAAGGCACTGCAATTTATTAATGCCGAGGAATGTCATTCAAACAGTTGTCGTATTGCACAAAGAAATTACATTAACGTGATATATATCAGTGAGAAAATCAACTGAAGTTCAGAACTCAACTTACAAATCAACTTAAAAGGCCTCCAGAATTCCTGTAATCTCATTAGAAATCCGGTTGTATAACTTGTCAGGTTGTGGTGTTTCAGTGTTTAGTAGTAGCAGCTGAGAATTTCTCAGTCTCGGGTTCGAGTCACCTCAGAGCTCCAGTCAATTTTATCATTTGTTGCATTTAATGGCTGTGTGAATGTGATTTATATGGTAAGTAGTCTTATGTATACAGTTGATGTATCTGCACACATGCTTTGAGAAATGCAGGAGCAAGTGGTAGTACAATCCAGTTCACACTTCTCTCCCTTGAAAATTCCTGGTTCAAATCCAGAGTGGTACAAAAATGGTTGGCACGTTTCCAATCGTCTAATGCCTCTGTTCATCTACCAGTAAACTGGTACCCAAGAAACAACTTGTTGTGGGGTTGCATCCTGGGGAGGGAGTAGTTCCACCTTTATGTGTGTGGGTGCGGGGAGGGGACTTCGATATAAGCCTAATGTGTATATACACATGATTGCCTGTCCACCGACACAATGAATTATATGAATTTCAGTGTTTACAGTATGTCATTTTGGAAAGTGGCACTGTACTAATAGTGTATAGTGCATTTGGCCTTGGTGTGAGTCATTCATGGCAAACTAGGGCTCTGTGGGTAATATATGGAGAGAGAAAAAGGGGATAAGAGAGAGAGAGAGACAGACTTCCAACAACACTTGGTTCTTCAGCGAGACGGTGTGTGCTCGGAGTCAACTTGGGATGGAGCGGGTTGTATGTGGGAGGATTGGATTTGAGAGAGGGACACCCTCATGTCTGGTCTTGGATTGTACTACAGCTCTTAAATACTGTTAAATACAGTCTGTTCCCAGTTTTGATTCATTGACATGTATAATCAATGCCTTGTTAGTATCTAGAGTAGGATGTCATATTGCTTAAATAATAAACACATGCTAATGAGCTAATGTGTACTCTGTATTAATTGGCAACCCCTTTCTGACTTTTAGTAGCCTGGCTAGTTAGTCAGTTCTGATATCATTCTCTTACTTCATCATTTGATTTAATTAATGTTGGTCATCCTCCCTGAGGGATGGGAAAGCACTAAGCTAGCTAAGAACAGTCAGAAGTTGGCTGCTGCTGTTCCCACCAGTACAAACAAATCTTGACAAACATGACATGACCTAGACAATTTTGTTGTGTAGGTATTTGATAAACCTTTGTTTTAGTAGTAAACATTTATTTTTCATCAAGCCAGTTTTACTGCCTTATGTTGTCAAAGAGTTGAGCTTCAGCATAATTCATATTTGCCCAAAGTTATGGTTGTCAGAATACAGAAATGAATATTCAGTGTACAGAGAATTTGAATTGTTGAGCATATAATAATCATTGTAAGAAGTTCTTGTTGTAATAAAGTGGGACAATTACACAACCACAGGCATGTTATGAGACTAAGTGTTCACTAAATCCAACAGTGTTAAATATTATACACATTTCTACCAACTCATTAACAAGCACTGAGGATTTCATTTCAGGGAGCCAATATCAGCTATCTTACAACCAGCACAAGATACCACCTACTCTCTTTGCTCCTGCAAGATTAGTTGTTTATTTTGAAGGTACAGTACTGTACTGTTATTAGTAGAGTACATGTATCCCATAACCACTCTTCATGTAGCGCTCTAGCTGCATCTCTTCCTATTTTTCTCCTAAACCATGGTTATAATTGATAATTTTCCCCCCTCTTCAAATTCAGGGGCAAGAATGGTGCAGCTGGCCTGTGGTTGCCTCAATATTCGCCTACATGTGCAAGAAACGGCTGACACTCTGGTGACAGGGATACCCAACCTTACTCTAGAAGAGAGCCAACACCCATTTTTCTTCAAGGTTAGAAGGGTTTTTCACATTCTCAAAGTACTCTATTGCTTATTAACTATGAAGAGAAAATGTTGAAACAAATTATTCATTAAACATGGTAAAATGCATTCTCTGTGCTATATATTCTTTGTTTCTTTGCCACAGCAATGCACTAAGGTGGGATTTTTTTGGAGCTTTGGTTCTTAAAAAAATTTACGGGCCTAAATATTGGTAAGGTAAATGAAAGGTTACACAATACTGTAAATGCAAATTGGTCTAAAGTAACAATATGAACATGATGATCATAAGCTCTAGAAGAGAGATATGTCTATGACAAAATCTGAACAGACTCTTGAGCCTTAACAGACAGGGCAATTGGTTAAATAATTGAAAAACCTCAGAACACTATATAAAAATAGACTTTCAACAAGCACTATTGCCACCAATATAAGACTCAACCAATCCTTAGAGATTCATGGTACTCTGCAACCATTCCAAAGCCTATAAAATTAACAAGTACAGTGTAACAGCCGAATATTTGGGTTCGTTAAACTTAGTGGAACTTGATCCTGCACAATAGTCCCCATTCCAAACTGGAGAAATTGCTGACCTGGAGAACATACGAAGATTTTTACTACTTGAATCCACTCAATAAAATATCAAATTATTGGGCTTAAAAGGTTTTAATCTGTATTCCCTAGAGTTTAGGTAGGAGGGAGACAGTATATAATAATTTACTTGTGGAAAATGTGAAAATGTTAGAGGGAGTACAGTAGTTCCAAATCTGCATATGGAGAAACACCACATGAAACCAGGCATGGCAGAAGTGTAAAATAGTTTCATTGACAAACAGAAGTGCAATAGGTATGCTAACAGATAATTCTATCAACATCAGGGACCAAGACTTTTCAATGCTCTCTCTAAACATAAAGAACTTAACCCTGACCTCTCATGGTGTTCAAAAGAAAACTTGATAAACACCTCCAAAGGATACCTGATCAACTGGGCTGTGATTCATGTCAGGCTGTGAGCAGCTGCATCTAACAACCAGGTTGACCAGACCACCAACCAGGAGGCCTGGTCAGAGACCGGGCTGCAGTAATGTTGATCCTTGGAACCAGTGCAAGATAGCTGCAAGATAGGTTGCCTTCATGAAGCCACTGTAACTCATACAAATAGACTAGTTTGAACTCCCTATGAAGTGAAAATACAAGTCTAGGTGGCCAAGGCTTCTCAACAGTTGGTTAACACAGTTATGAAAGAAAAAAGTGCCACCTTATGCTGGTAGAATCTGTAACTTTTTTTATTATCCAGGTCACAAATAACCAGCTGTTCAAATAAATAATACCAACTACAGTGAACTGGTAATAATTGGGTCACCTCATGAGCAGGTACAATCATAGAAAAAACTGCATCTGCCCAAGATGAATGTAACATAATATACAGGAACATGAACAAAATATATTATTGGTTTTATTGAGATACTTGGTAAATATATATTAATGTAATATAAATGCAGTAGCCCATTTCAAATACAGTATCAGTAACACATGGTACTCATACAGATATGATATACGTACATTAAATCACACATGTGATGCAAATATAGTAACGAATTTAAAATTCCACGATAGGTGGTAACATAGAGATATGTAAAGTAGTATTGTATGCAAAATGCAGTAATATTGTGTGTAAATTGCAGTGACGTGTAAAAATACAGTACTGTAACGTGTAATGAAAATATAGTAGCACATAAAATACAGTAGCACATTACAGTAATGCCATAATGATGCAAAAAAGTACTCCCTTATAGTTTAGTTAGGATGTTAGATTATAGTACAATCTATTCAATATTTCATATAATAATGTTGAAACCAACCCTTTGAAATTCACATTATTACAGATGCTCTTTCTTTTAACACATGTTGGCCATTTATATTATTTACATGACCATACTGTTATTTATATTTACTACCATATTTACTCTGTCAGGGTGCATGGTTGGTCACATTGAGCTTAGGTGGCATAGCAGAGGGACAGAAGTTTTTGGTCCGTAGCTCTCGTGTTGGTGGGTGGACCGTACGAGAGTGTCTGAACTGCCACCAAATGACATATGCCACTCAAGGTACTAGTGGAGCAGTTGTGGCCAGCACTTCAATGATAGTAAGTTTGACAGATTATACAGTTATGCATGAAAAATGAATTCATTACATCATATATCATTGAATTTGGGAATCCTCAGGAAGTTAGTGATATCTTATGTTTTTGATTTTCCCTCCAATATTTGTAATGTCTATTTGATATATAGAGAATATCTTCATGTATTGGCTTGAAACACTCATTTATGGTGGTGGTGAAAAAAAAAGAGGGTCCCTGTTTTTATAGGCCATGTGGCAGGTTTTAGAATAGTTTTAACACATCATCAAGGAGACTGGGGTAATATACCGAGTGATATCTTTGAAACAAATAGTATAGCAGCACCAAAATTTCTTCACATACTCTAATGCTAGGAAAACACAGTTTTCATAGTTTTAGCTGCCATCAATTTCCTTGAACATTTTGCAATAGTGGTAATTGTGAATCTTTTTTTTTACCCTCACCCCTTGAAGAAATCTTTAGTTAAAGGTGTTAGTATTATGAATGCAAAATATTTAAAATGAGTTCCAGACTTGAACTGCACCAGCATGACATGACACTTGACACATGCCATAATTCCGGACAACCCCATTTTTCGTTTTCGTTTTATGCCTTTACTAGCCTAATATAATATTTTTAGTTCATCATAAAGTGTCCAGCAACTTGCAACCTTACCTATGCTACCATGTTTGTATCTTAACATATGGTGGCCTGCAATAACATAATTTTTTTATAACCGAGTCTAAATACTGTGCAGTATACAGTATCTAATATATTTTAGGATTATGTGAATATTAAAAATGTTTTAATGGTGGTGAGCAGACAGCTATTCTTATACAGTATTATATGTAGTTCGCTTAAGGTTTTCTTTATTTTTTTTAAACTATTACAGAATTTTACATTGAAGTTCTAATTAATGATACTGCATCAGAGAAAATCCAATGTTGATTACAATACTGTATAGTCTTGCTAATACTGTATGTAGGTTGGTGAAGAGTGGATGAGTTCAAGGTACTGGGTACTATGTAATAGTAGCTATTGCTTCTCCTTTCTACAGAATGATGCCAGTAAGATCCTGATGCTACAGAGATGCGAAGGTTACTCTCCAGTCTTTTGTATGGTCCTTCCTACATCCATAGATAATCGCCCTCTACCACCACTATCACCTACTGACTTTTCCAATGAACGATCACCACAAACTGAAGAAGCTCTCGGTACCATTCAGCAACAGGTAATACATATGTTGCTTCTATATACTAATAACTACTAATAAGAGCATTAGAAGAAAATAAAAATACAGAATCTGCATTCAGTATGCAGATTTTGGAAAAGCATTTGATAACTGTGACTATGGAGTGCTAGCTTATAAGATGAAAGCTAGGAAAATTACAAGTAATGTTCATCTGTGGATTTTAACACAATTGAAATCCAATGATTCATTTTAGTATCATTCATGGTTTGGCAGTAATTAGTCTTGTATCCGATTCTCTAAATTTCTGAATTTCATTTTATTTTTTTTCTGTTTGCAGCTATATGATGCACCTTTTTCTGAAATTGGTGTGCACACCTAAAGGCCGCCATATTGGGTATGAAGGGATAAACCAAAGATCACCTTGGGCAATCCTGCATTCAAAACAAACTACCTAAACATTCATTTTTGATCCTGTGATTCAAGTTTTTGTTGTCTAACATAACATCGTGTCAGAATTGCGACAGTATAAATAGGTCATAATGAATTGGAAAAAATCTAAACTTATGAGAAGTTATTAAGGGCGAGTGTTAGAGAATGGCATTGTGCTTATTGGGGGGGGGGGTGCTTGTTCTTTCAAGAAAGTCAGTCTACATTAGATTAGCACTTTGAAGATTCAGACCCTGGGTACTTTGGTCATGAAGTACTCTAGATCTTTAGTGTCTACATTTACATCGAAGATGAAGGGATATGCTGTATGAACTCAGTTATCCGAAGCCTACTGAACCAAATACTTGGGTTATCTGGCCAAAAGCGTGTCTAGATATCCAGATACTTCTCTGGGAAAATGAGTGAAGTTTCTGTTTTAAATTATATTTTTGATTCATAGTGTGTGGAAATTTAAATTATGTGGGTTGTGGTACAAAAGATTGCAAATACTGTATGGTCATTTTTGGACTTCGGTAAGAATTCTGCTTATCCAGATGTCTGGTGAGGGGTCATTCCCAGATATTCTGTTAAGGAAAGGGAATTGTCAGGGGGAAAGTACCAAGCCATTATGACTATATAGCACTTGAAAGGGGGTCAGGATAAGGATTTGGGATGGGACAGGGGGGGGGGATAGTGGCCAACCACTTGGACGGACGGGGATTGAATGCCGACCTGCATGCAGCTAGACTATCGCTTTACCGTCCAGCCCAAGTGGCCGGGATAGTCTGGTCAAGCGAGCTTAGGCAGTATTTTATGAATTACAGAAGGTCACATGCTTTCCAGGCGCCTTGGAACTGAGACTGAACTCATGACCTATTGTGTCCAGTTAAGTGGCTTCTCCTGAAAAGTTAGGGGAAATTTTTTTACAATTTTATTGCAGAAATTCAACAGTATTTTGTTTGTACTCACCAGTATGAGAAGTTCTGATCTGCTTCTTAACTTGAATATTGTAGTTGATGGAACATTTTATTTAGACGGAAAAGGTGTTGATGGTTTTGGGTTGACTGAAGTGGAGATTAATGTTGATGAGGTAACTTCAGCAGACCACATTTAACCAGTTACTCTAATGTGAGTAAGAATTGATTGTGACAGGAATTTTTTTGGCTGTTTTGTATTTTGTTTCCAGTCTCTTGCAGTTTCAAGTTGGGAGACCTCAACCAATTAAAATTAGTGCTATTTGCTGTTCCCCTAATTGTGGAAGGAGAAGCTTACATGATAGGTCTCAATGTAACACAGTGCAACCTCAATTCGGCAAACTGTACCAACTCCTTATTCGTTTGAATGAAGAATTTGTTGCAACCAGATATGCCTTCATGAGGCATTTGTATGAAGCCATTTTTTTAAGACAAAATATTACATAGATATGCCTGTTTCTTTCTCTTAATGTTGCCCAATGTAATATATGTTGGGCAACTACCAGAACCTGTAAATTTAATTACATTTTGCCTATTTCCTATGCACCAGCCTTGAAACCACATTTTCAAAAGTTGAGGGGGGCTCATATTTAAGTGAAGAAAAACTAGGTCAACTCAAAATGAAAGCGAACCGTAGAAATTGATTTTACACATGATTAACTTTCCCACAGGACTGTGAACTCTGGTCCTGCTTCCTAAGCAAATCCACACATCCCCCACTTCACCAAATTGCAAATAACTTGTTTGACGAAGTGGGTGAGTAAATCCGGCCTGGAAAGCGTGCATCACAATTGGAGATTTGCAGAAATAAGGTTTATGAATCGAGGTTGCACTGTATTTGCATTATAGTATTTTAATATAAAATATAGCACATACATACATTATCATTATCATTATCATTCTATTTTTTCACTTGGAGTGGAGAGAATTCATTTTGGTGATAAATGGTGAATAATATTGTGAATGATTTATGCAAATATGACAAAAATATCACTCATCTTTTCATTTTTGATATAACATCACAGTATATAGCACCACAGATAAATAAAACATTAACTTGCACCAGTAATTAGCCACAGTATACCCAACGACTTCATGTGATAAGTGTACAGTACAGTGCATCTAGTATGTATCTAGTGTACATACAGTGCATTGTCATATATTTGATTAAATGTAGTTTCTTTGCAACCAGGTGACGAGGTTTCTCAAAAAAGCAGAATCACAAGTTGAAACCAATATTCGTGCATATACGGATCAGCAGCAGACAGCACTTCATGCTCTCCAAACACGAGCACGCAGGGATAGACAGACTGTCATGAGACTTCTTGCTAATATTCAGGTGTGTATTTTATGCATTATATTTATACTGTATGTAATGACTTGGTTGGATGAGGTTGTGCAGCTTGTGCATAAAGTTTGATATTGATATCCTCATGTTGTTCATCATGGAATTTATAATGGATTTAGGATATCAGTGAATGTTGATTAAAGGTTCAATGAGCCTGGCCTCAAGCTGGACTCGGGGAGTAGAACTCCAGAGACCCTCTCCAGGTATGCTCCCCTCTCTAGGTAAGAGACACTAATAAGATTAGTGGAACTAAGGGTTGATTTGGGACTAAGAAGTTCCTAAAATGAGAAAATCAGTATAAATCTAACAGATGTGGACAATCAGTTAAACAATCGAGGAGGAATATACAAATAAAGTTTTTCAGCGTACTCTTGCACAGTTTTTACAAATGATCTCTCTTCAACAGCACGAGACTCAACCAATCTGTAATGGTGCATAACAATCCATTGAGTCATTCAAGAACTAGATGTGAAAATAATAAGCATATTGCTTGAATATTTGGGTTCATTAAACTCGATAACCTTCATTATCAATAAACCTAGTTTAAAATTAATTCTTGCCTTAAAGAAATTTTTTAACATCATAGAGAGATTACAAATGTAAAAATTACAGTCTTTAAAATCTGATTAATGTGCCCAACAAATGACAATTAAGAATCTAAACACCCAAATCTGTAACTTTAATTAAAAGACTGCATAATAACATTACCATAACCAAAGGTACAGAAAGTACTAATCGACAACCCTTTGATTGAACCCTTTAGTAATCAAAACATTTGAATTACAATTGACATTTTCTGGGAGTCATTTAAGTCCAAATATCAAACAAAAAGAGCCTAAAAACTACAATTGACAAGGAGTATCCAGCAACATGGCTAAACCCTTACAACAGCAAACAAGATTGACTTTTTAAAACTACTGTAAGTATATTCACTAATGAATAAACTTTTATATATATATACAGTATACAAGTTCAAGAAAACTGAATCTGTAAAATAGTTGTGCATTTATAATTAACTTAGTTTGCACAAAATCTCAAACACATTTATTATTTACTGTATTAAAGTAAAGGGTAATATTAATAGCCTAACACTGATTATAACACTATATAAAAAACTACAATAACTACAACAAATGTCAAGGCCTTGTTTACCATAATATCAAGTGGAATAATATGAAAATAACTGCTAACAATTACTAACATTAAGCAATACATTAGAAAATATAGAAGACATGACAAATCTCTTAATTTATACCAGAAAATGAATGAAATTCAAAGAATTTAAGATAATTATATCATGAAATAATAGAAATTTGCACAGCTACTCATACCTGGAGTATACCTGATTTGCTCCACTAATTGGTATTTTAATACACGTAGAAATCAGATCTTAAAGTTTTAAAGTAAATTTGTTTAACCACAAGTACTGTACTGTATATATATATATACAGTATTTTCGTTAAATTCTACTTTATATAATTCCTTTATAAAGGAATATAAATTTGCTCTAAATATAAAGAAATATAAATGGGCTCTAAATATAAAGGAATATAAATGGGCTCTAAATATAAAGGAATATATTTGGGGTCTAAATATAAAGGAATATAAATGGGACGGTAGAGCGCCGGTCTCGCTTCATGCTGGTCGGCGTTCAATCCCCGACCATCCAAGTGGTTGGGCATCATTCCTTTCCCTCGCCCCATCCCAAATCCTTATCCTGATCCCTTTCAATTGCTATATAGTCATAATGGTTGGCTCTTTCCCCTGATAATTCCCTTCCTTTATAAAGTCATTTTATATTTAATTTTTATAGAGGACTATAGAATCACAAATGGAAGATGATCCTTTAGCCACTTTTGAGATGGATGAAGCAAGTGGATGTATGAGAAGAATGGACTCCTTCAATCCTATGGAAAGAGAGACGATTGAGAAAGAGCTTGACGACGAAGTTGAAGACGACATAACATTAGCTGCTGACGAGCCTGACCATATGCTGCCACCATTGGTCAGTGTCCAGAGCAGGACCTCACAACCTGTGAGTGTAAACCCAGTACAAGGAATAACGGTAAGTTTTCAAGCAAGTCCTTTACCACTCCTCATATCACCAGAAGTTTATCATTACTGACTATTCTTCTTCCTTACATTACTTATAGTCGTTGCATTATGATTCATGTCGTGGTCTTCTACTTATTTTGTTGTCAAATTGGCATGCTGATTGTTTAGTTGGTTTGTTATTGCCAACTTTATTATAATGCCACAGAAAAGTTAGTCATCTTAAGTACATTATCCTATTCCATATATATTTTATTTGTTTAAATGTAACTGAAAATCCTGTGTTGTATTTTTATAAAATTTATTTAAATTGTTTGAAAGATGCAGAATTAAAATGATTGATAAGTTATAACATGGTTAGATTATTTTATAAATGTTACATTGTTAATGTTACATTGTAAATGTTACATTGTTACATTGTAAATGTTACATTGTTACATTGTAAATGTTACATTGTTTAAATGTAACTGAAAATCCTGTGTTGTATTTTTATAAAATTTATTTAAATTGTTTGAAAGATGCAGAATTAAAATGATTGATAAGTTATAACATGGTTAGATTATTTTTGTGTGCATTGTGTTTTCAAAGTTGTAAAAAGGTCCAAATTGTCCATATTGTATTGATGTTATGTGTCTTATTTATATTATTAATTGGAAAAAATTATGCAGGATATATTATGGACATTTAATTCTCATTAGGTATACAAATTAGGAATAGCTTGTGATTTTGTGAACAAAATAGTTACTGTTTCTTCACTAGCACTTTATACAATATCTGGAAAGTGCCCTTGGTTATTACTGTAGCTTAAAATTTTAAAGAAAGGCCAAATTGTTGCTGGACTGTATGGCAATAGCAATAGACACCTTTCTCAATTGCCTTCATGCAGTAGACACTGTATGGGTCTGTGTAGCCATCCCTGTTTGTTTTTGGCATTGACTAGATTTGTTAAAATCTTGCCAGTGCCATACCAGTGCTACTGGTATAAAAATATCTTGTATAGACACGTGTCAAGGCTGAACAGATACTCCCTCACTATAAGTACACTTCTGTTATTAGGTCATTCTTCCCCCTCTTCTTCTTTTCACCATTACCAGCACTACTACCACTTCTTCCATCACTAGCACTATTTCTTCCATCACTAGGACTATCCATTCGATTGCTAGTATGGGGCTACAAGGCACGTCCTTATGTACATGACATGACTAGAAGCTGCCTTATATGGGTCAGTAGGCCTTCTGCAGTGCCTTTATTATGTTCAAATAATGATGATTGGTTGACCTAGTATATTTCATTACAACCATATAGAGTTGCGAAAACCATAATCATGTAATTATAATGTAACTTTTTACCGCCTCCACCCACAATGTCCTCGTCGTCATCCCCTACCTCTTCCACTCCTCTTCATATCCTTGGAAATATCGGTCCAAGTGTACCTTTCTTGATTGCCCTTATATAGTTAAAATGTATTTATTTCAATGTAATCAGTTATAATTTTCCTTTACAGGGAGGGATGCGTAACATGCGGCTTTCATCGTCGGTAGCCGTACCAAAAGTAAAGCCACAGGGTAATGTCCGTGTAGCCCAGTCTTTGGATGTGGAAGGTGAGTAATACCTGTAATCAGAACTGCATTTACATGTTAATGATATTATTGAATGTTTTGCCATGCATTTATTCATTCATTAATTATTATTACTGCATTTACCATTTTCGTGAAGCGGTAAGATTTCTCTTGGAGAGAAAGAGGAAGAATACAGTACAGAAAAATATCATAAAGTAAACAAAATTAATGTAAAGCTTTTGTAATGCCAATAGATATAAATAATATAGGAAAGGTATGGTGTGTGTAAGAAATGAGGGAGTGAGTGTCCGTGGCTGGCCTTCCTCCGACTACACTAATGGCTGCATAATATTCACACCAAATAACCTACCCGGGGTTTTTCATCATAAAGTAAATGATCAACATTTTATTATGTTATATCTTGTTCCTCCTACATGGTCTAACCTGGCTATTGTTGCTGGCAGACATTTTTGCTACTCACAAATTTGCACATAATATCAAATGGAAAATGTGTAACACTTTTTAAGTAACAAGCTATCCACAGAAAAAGTTGCTTATATTAGCTGTATTCTACCATTTATTATCGAACTATAGTGCAAATTTAATAAAATATAATTAAACATAATGCTCTCCTTACTAATATATACTAATAATTACACAAGAATAGTAAAAGAGAAAAAAATATGATCAGCTTCAAATTACTAAATGGGGTCTGGAAATAAATAAATGAGCTCTAGAAATAACGAAATGCTGTCTGGAAATTACTAAATGGGGTTTATTGGGTTTTCACTGTGATTGTTTACGTAAATATATTTGAAAGTTTTGCTATTGAGAGGTCCAGATTTAAGAGGTAGCACTGTACAGCAAAACTAGTTTAGTGTTGTATTTTATTTATTACTTAAGGCTTAGGAACAAAATATTCTATTATAAATCACTGAGGAATAATATATTTGTGACTGGGAAGGGGTGAGAGTACATGTTTTCAAACAATTGTTGCTCTCGCCTTTTATTGTTATTACATCTCGGTTCATATTGTGCTGACCCAGGCATATCTTTCTAAATCACTCTCAATCACAATAGTTATATATAGAAATATTATTAAATCAAATGTTGGAGATTTCAAGGGTTGATTAGATCTGGTACTTCTTGCAGAAACTTGTCATCTGGTTTGCAGTGTTTATGTGGGTCCATGGGCTGCTATCAGGAAACGATTACCAACGAAGTTGTCACCATTACTGCCTGGCTAGGTTGTGGTAGTGATGATCTGTCAAAACTGGCCACAAATAAACTGAATGTGGTATCAACCTTTAAAAGGCTCAACTATTTAAGTCCTACATTGCGGTCTGCATACAAAAAAACAAAAAGTTAGGAAATCAAATGTAAAAAATCGCATATGGTAGATGAAGCACAGGAGTTGATAGCAGCTACCCCTGTACCTATAGAAGCCGTGTAAGGGCTAATACTGATCTGTTTACTCATTCATAAGCCATTCTTAATTCCAGGGTTGTTTGAAATGGAAGGAATGATGGAGGCACACATAATGGCACCACAAGACAACTTCCCCTCGGATGATGACGACACTGATGGTTAGTGGCTGGAGTATTTTGTTGGCAAGTTTGGTTTGTCTGGAATAAACTTGCAAGATAGGAAGAATGACTTAAATGAAATCCTAGAATGACCCAGATTATCTAGATTAATTGCAACCTCTGGGTGTTTGGAAAACAAATTTCACATAATTGAGGAAAACATTGTGTGATAATTTTATTCCTTTCTGGATAATAGTGGGGGAACCATTTATTGGTCAAGCAATAAATCACTTTTTGAATAAATCAAGAAACCCCAAAAATAGGGACCCAGATAATGGGTGGACCCACTGTAAAGTACTTGCCCTAACAATGCTTGTGATAGAGCACATACAGAGTTCAAATAAATTATGGAAGATTGAAAGATATGTATAAATACTGTACAGTACAGTATTTATATATAAACACATGGTAACAATAATGTGATTTTGTTACATAGTGTACAAGTTTTCCTTTTTATAGATTCAAATCATGATGAAGGGATTCATATTCCTGGTGGCCAAGTGGCAGGCCGAGACTTGGCACAGTCTGTCCCAGTCAGTGTACCAATGTGGCCTAATTCTAGGCCCAAAATACCACAAGAGCCTCAGTGTATAGAGGTGAGTATATCTATTTCATTGCTTTGCCATATGTCTTAAAGTATTTATTGCCTTACGAGCTTTATTAACTTGCAAGTCTTTTTACTTAAGATTTTCTCCTTGATCTATAATTTATACTTACCTATTATCTCAAGGGGCTCCCATTAAGGCAGGGGTTAAGGTAAATTATAGCTGATGAATTTGCATCGTCTTGCATTTCTCTTTCTTAAGAAAGGCATTGTAATTATTTTAAGTTTTATTTTATAGGGGGCCAAGGCTAAATAACATTTCTACATAACCTACATATATTTCTATATGTTCTTTATATTGTATATAGCTGTACAATTTGAAAAGAGTAAATTTTAAAGTTCAACTTCTATTTAGTTAAAGATTTTCAAAAGTGCATTTTCGAGCAAAATGATTGATCTCATTTAACAATATATTTTTAAGCAACTAAACATTTTTACATTATATCTTCTTTCAGAATGTTACTTCAGATTCTATTCTACTAGTTAATACAATATTTTTATAATTTAAATACAATAGATTTTATAATCTTGGAATTTTTTAATGTTGCCTTTTTTTTGTATTTTTTTCATTTTCTTTGGGTTACAATACTGAAACTTAGGCTGACAGTTCTTCTTATAGGTTAAATTTTGTAAATAAAGATTCATAAATTTTGGAAGTTTTAAATGTAATCCTTAAGATTGAATATGATTCAGAACCCCTTGGAATAACTTGGTTTGATGTGCATTGGGCTGAATCTGTGTACTGATTCTGTATACTAGGTGTATATACAGGTACTGTATTTGAATACTGTACTGTACTTCTCTTGAATAATGACAATTTTTTGTTTCTTGAACCAACTAGCTAATGACCCAGGATTTCCTTTCCGATCCAACCACTGGCTCGTGGAAAGTTCTCTAAGGGCTAGTTTCTGTTGCTAAATCCATCTCAGTGGCACAGGTTGCTGTTACAGATTTTGCCATTACTGGTTCGTTATCTTTAGCTGAGGATACCCTTTGGCCATAGTATGTTGACCAGACCACACACTAGAAGGTGAAGGGACGACGACGTTTCGGTCCATCTTGGACCATTCTCAAGTCGATTGTCGACTTGAGAATGGTCCAGGACGGACCGAAACGTCGTCGTCCCTTCATCTTCTAGTGTGGTCTGGTCAACATACTGTAGCCACATTATTGTGACTCATCGCCTGCATCCGTTGGCCAATTGGTTCAACTGAAGGAAAGTCATTGATAGAGGCCTCCAGAGCATGGGACTGGTAAACCTGGGGTGGTGTACATGGATCTCCAGGCCTTAACAAAACTAGAACTTCCTGTAGCAATTTGCAGGCTAGGGGTTTTGGTGTTCTTCTGGTGGCCCAGTATTTAGTCAATACCCCTGGTCCTAGTTGGTCATGTGTTGCTTTGGTACATGTCTCTTGGCCTGTGATCTCTTCTTCATCCTAGTGCTTGCCGCTTCTCATTAGTAAGTCCCTTTTTATTTTTTGTGGTTAGCTTTAGGGAGCCTTTAGGCTGAGGGGCTCTGCCGGAAATCCAGTGTGAAAAGTAATGGAAGGCCTTTATTTGGTAGACCCCCAGTGGCTCCCGTATTCTTGCCCATCCCTCTAGGTTCCTCAATGGCTGTTCATTAGCTTCACAACTGGCAAAATTGTAATTAATTTTGTCAATAAAGATGTTAATAATAATAATTCTGAACTGGCTAGTCAGAGAGAGCCTTTCTGCGGGCTGAGGCCAGGCTGCCTGATGGTGGTAATCGGTAGTAATGAGTTTTGAGCTAGTATGAATATCTTGTTTTGTGAGAAACATTTGGGGATTTGTTTGATAGAGGCTTCATTTGCTGTGAACCCTCCAGTTGTCTGTAAAGGTATGCAGATTTTCTGGATACTTTCCAGGTGGAATGATGAATATCACTCACTTTCTGCTCTGTTAGGATGGGAAGGCCAGGTTTTGACTCTGGTCCCCAGTAGGCCAAACAGACTTTGACAACTAATGTGACCTTTTAGTATGGAGCACTCTCAGCAAGATAGCTTCAAGGAACCACCAGGGCTCTTTTTCAGAAAGAGGAATTTCATTACATTCACTGGTCTATATTTCTTCTATTTCCCCTTACTTTTTCGTCTTTATCTACCACATCTTTTTCCCTGCTCCTTTGCTTTGTTTTCCTGTCTTTTCTTGGCACTTACTGCTTTCACTTCCTCTCCTTTATCTATTTCCCGGAGTTTCTGTAATGTTTAGAACAGCTGCCCTGTATTTTCTATTTCCTTCCTCTGCATACCCTGAATGCATTCTTTGAACTTCCCTACCTACCTCTGAAGACCCTTAATAATTTCCATACCTTTCTCTCCTGCTTCGTATCCTCTTATTTGAGCTTTCTTCGTTTAGCTATGTGAATGTGTATGTATCTTTAATAAACACACATGTTTATGAGAAACTGTATATAACTATATTGGGGTCACAAATTTTATCTTTCAGAGACCAAGTGACACAGATCAGATGGCTGCATCAATCAGGGCTCTGGCACGGAGTGTTCACAGCACCTCTGTAGACCTGTTTGGTGACCTTCCCCGACCACGTCAACCATTTTGAAAATTAAATGATCTCGGAAACCTCAGGCTCTCTGACATGTAATGAGATTGACTGTAAGTGACCAATGACATGTTGGCTGAAAAATACTCTATCTGAAATGTGAGTAATTAAGGCTATTTTATGTCCCATCCAGCACTTGACAGAGGAATAATGGCTGTCATAGTGGATTCTGCAGTGTTTTATGGAAGTTCTATTTTCTTCTTAGCAAAGGGATATAGTGTAAGTATCAGCAGTACATTAAAGTGCTGAAATTGTTTTTGAAGTTTTTGGTGTCTAGTTAACAAGTTCAAGAAGATTGTTACATATCTACAATACCCCGTGATGAGTTGGAATGACATAAATAATTGTTACTCTCAGTTTTTAGTAAAAGGATTATGTAAGGCTAATTAATATTTAAAAGGCATATTTGGCATGAGTGCAAGTAAACTGTCTTCTATTGTATCATTGTACAATAAGACTGCATAATATATTATGTGTAAATTTAAGTGGAAAGTTGTAATGAATTCTATAGTAGTCTTAACATATTTGTTTAGGAAATCGTTAATGAAAGATATAGATGTGTTGAGCACATTAACAGCACTATTGTAGTTATTCATCATTATTTAATTTAATAGCTAATGTCAGGTATAATCTGGCAGTATTAAGATAATTTTATCGGTTTTAATGAAATAGCTGATTTTAGGGGGGTGGGTTATGCTGGGCTTGTAGTAGATGTTTAATTACTAGTATATAACAAATCTGTCTTAAACAAGGAAGAGTAGCAGTGAGCCACATTTTATTGCTCCTTTCAAGGATATATTAAATCAATTTAATGGTAATTTTATAAATTCAGATTGTCATGTACTGTAATTTCTGTATACTGTACTTGCGGATGTTGCTAATTATTTAATAAATTTTAGTTTCCTTATCTGAACTAGTACCTTTTCCAAAGTTATTTTTATAATAGATGTTTCTTTACTGCAAGCCCTTATTAATATGTGCACAAATTAAAAAATATTCAGTAAGTATAGGCTATACTTAAGTATAGTCCCCCACAAGTGTAGAGTGAAAGGCAATGCATTTTAGCAGCCTTAAAGGTTATTGTGTGATTAACTGGGACCTTACAGCAAGTGTTGAACTTTCTCTTTGGGTAAAATATGACTTCTCTGATGAGAAGTCATATTTTACCCAAATTGGAACTGAAATAAGTTTATTGAAGTATAAATACATACAAAGGGATGAGGTAGCTCAAGCTATTCTCATCGAAATTGCCCTCCAGTTTTCAAAATACGATGCCAATTGGAAAAATGACTTGTGAGCATTATTTTTTAGTAGAATTCAGGGCGATTGCACATACTGTACATGCATTTGGAATTTTAAATTGCTACATCTTATATTGAAAATGTGCAAATTAGTGTAAACTGCAATTGCTCAGATTTTGCCCAAATCCGCCAGCAGTTTTTAAAATACGATTGTTGGATATTTCCGACACTACTTATTAACCTTTAATATAAATTTCCTTGAATTATTTAGTTATACAGAGAGAGAACACGTGATTTTTCTCTAGAAAACAAGAATATTAAATTGCGCGTCGATTACATCTTGTTCCAAAATTATATTAATCAATTAATATTAAAATCTAGTCAGAAGGCTATATTTAATAAAAAATGCTTCCCCTGTAACAAACAGAATTATTAGTAATCAAAAATACTAAATAAAAGTACTCCCGAAATAAAAAAGGAACCGTTTCTGGACGCTTCCAGAATGGGAGGGAGGAGGGGGAGTCATTGTACCAGGAAAGAGGATGCCATCAATGTTGACTTCCCATGAGATACACGCTGCGTAGTGCTAAATATTCACAAGATTTCCAAGATATCTTTGAGCTATTCTCCACAGCGATTTCACCAAATTATTGAGAAGTGCTTTGTTTCTGGGTCTGTTGCTTTATAATTATTATCTGGCCATTTAATATTATGTAATGTTGAGATGGTTATGAGGTAGGACAAAGCACCCAGGACGGGTATGTGTCCAACATTAACTCTTAGGTTGCGCAAAACGTATATAGGCAGTGGGGCATATAACTAAAAATAATCATCAATATGGCATTTGAAATATGCGGTAAATTTAGAAAAAAAAATTATGACTTCAAACGTTTTGGGTTTAGGAAACATGTATGCTATAGGATTCTAAGAACAGACAGCTGTGCACAATATATGTAAAAATGGTGAGGATAAGTCAGAAACTGGAATTTTTTCAGTTGTTTCAAACTTGAAACTCTAGTTCTATAGATAGTTGAATATGAAGTTATCGACAATGAATAAGGTAGTTCTAATTCATTAATTTACTTGTATGTTTTAATACACATTGTTTGGCATTCATACTCGAATATATGAAAGTTGAAGGTCAGTATGTGTTGAAATGAAGTCAAGAAAAAATACCCCCCCCCAAAAAAAAAAAAAAATATAGGGATAATTATAATGATTTATGGGGATATATTTAGGGTATAAACCAGAATCTGGTCCCTAATCATCAAAACAACCTAAAGAGACAAAGAAAATAGTTTGAAATCTGTGAAAAAATCCACAAAAATCCAGAAAAGCCGAAAACTTTTAACGTCCCAAGTTCTGCAAGTTGTGACTGATTTATTTGTTGACCAATTTAATTCTGTCTTCACCTAGTTAGGGACGGGTATGCACTCTCCAGGATGTAGAGGTTACGATAAAATCAGATAATAAACAAAGAAGAGAAAAAAGAATTCTCCCCCCAAAAATTTTGCACATTGGTGAAAGTAACAGATATAGTTCAAACATAGAATTAGTTAGGAGCAAGGGAGGAATCCCGATCATGTGTGGCATTTTCCAAAGAAAGGGAATTGGAAATGAATGGTTGTCGAGGGCACTTGATGTCAATTGCTGACTGGACAAATATTGCAAATCAAATGCAATATCATTCATGGATAACTGGAAACACTTCTATGGAAGAGATGACATGTATGCTCAGGATGGGGTGCATCTATCTAAGGCTGGGGTTGTTGCTGTTGTGAACTCATTGGAACCTGTGGTAGGAGGGGGTTTGTTTGGGTTTAAACTGTTAGTAGATAGTGGTATGGGAATTGACACGGAGAAAGGAGGTAATAAAAGTACAGTATGTGTTTGTGGGGCAAGCAAATTGGCAAAATGATCAGGGAACGAGACGGGCCTCAAAATAACAATACACTTAGGGTATTTTACACTAACAGTAGGAGTCTAAGAAACAAAATAAACGATTTAAATGCTCTTGTCTGGACAGGAAAAAAAAAAAGATTTTATTGCACTTACTGAAACATGGATGAATGTAGAAAATAGAGAACTATTAACTGAATATCAAATAAATGGATTAAACTATTTCACATGGATATTAGACGAGGAGGGGGAAGTAGCCATGTATGTTAGGGAAAATTTGAAATGTAGTCTCAAAGAGGGAATCAAAACTGAGCGACACACAGAATCTATTTGGCTAGAATTAAATTAAAAAGCAAATACTGTACTCTTATAATAGGAGTTATATACATGCCACCATACTTAGAAAGGAAGCAAAGCACCTATGGGATGAAATATGTAGAGCATCTAGGTCTAACAGTATTTGTGTCATGGGTGACTTTAATTTTAGTGGAATAAACTGGTTTAACAGAACGGAATAATGAAGCAGAAGATTTTCTAGATATAATTGACGATTGCTTTCTCATGCACCACGTTAAGGAACCAAAGCGGGAAAATAATATTTAAGATTTAGTGGTAACTAACAGGGAAACACAAATTAATGACATCAAAATAGGGAACAGTGATCACAAAGAAATCAGATTTAGCATAGAATGGAATAGATTTGTAGGGGAAAATTCTGCTAAAGTTCCAGATTTTCGAGAAGCTGACTTTAATAGCCAAAGAAATTTTTGGGGTGAAATAGATTGGAAAGTCTTGGGCATGGTGGGGTGGGCCGGTCTTGCAACGAGACATGAACCCAGCGATGGGTGATGCAATAAGGGATTTCAATGTAGATTCAAAATATAACTTGTTTAAAAATATTCTAAGCAAAGCACAGGAACATAGTATACCATACAAATTGAATATTTAATACTAATGACCCAAAATGGATAACAAAGGATTTGAAGAACCTTATAGGTAGAAAGAGAGCTTGGTACAGAAGGAAGAAAAAAGAAAGGCCACATTTTGAGCTCCACTTCTTTCCTGACTTTTCCTTCTTTCCATGGAGTGAAAAGCAAACTCTGTATTACTCTTTAAGAATGGGGAAGTCAGTTTAGAACAAGAATTTATACAACTGGTTAGAAATGTTAAAAACGATATAAGGAGGGCAAAAAAAGACTATGAAGTTTACTTGTGGGGCAAGCAAAGACAAATCCTAAAGGTTTTTTCAGTTATATCGAACAAAAATTAGAGAAAGGATAGGTCCATAAAAAACTGAAACAGGTCAGATAACGGATAACGATAAAGAGATGAGTAGTATTTTTAATAAATATTTTATCTCTATTTACTAAAGAGGAACTAAACACTATGCCTTCAGCCAAACAAGTTTATGTGGGTGGGGACGAGAATACGTTGACTAGTTTAGCAGTTACCAGGGAGGATGTTATTAAGCAAATAGTGAAACTCAAACAGAATAAATCCCCAGGGACGGACGAAGTGTTTGCCAGGGTACTTAAAGAATGCAAAATGGAACTTTGCGAGCCACAGTTTACCATATGTAATAAATCATTAGTCAGGCAGAGTGCCAGAGTCGTGGAAGATTGCTAATGTAGTACCAATTTTTAAGAAAGGAGAAGATCACTTGCGTCAAACTATCTGCACATTAGCCTAACGTCTATTGTGAGAAGTTACTTGAATCGATAATTGCAAATACCATTCGTCTTCATCTTGAAAAATATGAATTAATAATTGATTCACATGATTTTACAAATGGCCGTTCATGTGCTATCATTTTATTCCAGCATATTTGAGGCAGTTGATAGTGGTAAGGTTTGTGATGTTGTGTACCTTGACTTTAGCAAAGCTTTTGATACAGTGCCACATGAAAGACTGATTAAAAAGAAAAGAGGCTCATGGCATTGGGGGTGCTATATTTAATTGGATTAGGGGAAAGGAAACAGAGTTAGTATAAATGGGGTTAAGTCAGAGTGGGAAAATGTTGTAAGTAGTGTCTCAAGGCTCTGTCCTGGGACCTCTGTTATTTATAATATATATATATATATATATATATAAATGATTTAGATTCATGTTTGAGCAGCAATATTTGCAAATTTGCCGATGATAAATCGGGAGGGGAAATAAACTCGCTATTACTTCAAGACGATCTAAATAGGGTTTTGGAATGGTCAAAAGATTGGCAGATGCAGTTTAATGTTGACAAATGTAAGGTTTTGAGGCTAGGTAATGACGATAGAATTACTAGATACGAGCTAGATGGTGTTGAGATTGTGAAAGGGATCAGAGAATTATGATTAGTAAGAATTTAAAACCAAATAATGCACACAGAAATCACAATAGCGTGATGCATCAAATGAACAAATCCACAATGGCCGTGACACGGATTCGAACCTTCGTCCGAGAGCATCCCAGACGCTGCCTTAATTGACTGATCTACGACATGGTAAAAGAATTACAACCATAAGTTCTACTCAACTTACTTGGATCCTGCAGCCTCTCCGAGACACAAATCCAGATTTTTCACAATTCCCCCATGCACTCGAGCTATGTTAATAGGCCGTTCTACCTCTTTGCCCTTACTTCATTACACGTGAAGTAAGTAAATCTCCGAGACAGATTTGTGCCTCGGAGAGGCTGCAGGATCCAAGTAAGTTCAGTAGAACTTCTGGTTGCAATTCTTTTACCATGTCATAGCTCGGTCGATTAAGGCAGCGTCTGGGATGCTCTCGGACGTAGGTTCGAATCCTCGTAGATTTGTTCAAATAATCAATGCATAAATGTTTGTAATAAGGCAAATAGGACACAGGGATTTATTAATCGAAGTATTAGTAACAAGACACCTGGTGTTGTTCTTCAGTAATATTTTGCTCTGGTTATGCCCCATTTAGATTATGCAGTTCAGTTTTGGTCGTCATACTATAGAATGGAAATAAATTCACTTGAACGCATCCAACGTAGGATGACAAAGTTAATCCCCTAAATTAGAAACATGTGGTATGAAGAAAGATTAACAAAGCTTAAATTGTATTCACTGGAAAGGTGAAGAGTTAGGGGTGACATGATAAGAGGCTTACAAGTGGATGAATGGACATAACAAAGGAGATATTAATTATGTATTAAAAGCATCAACACAAGACAGAACGCGAACCTATGGGTATAAATTGGATAAGTTTAGATCTAGGAAAGACCTGGGTAAATACTAGTTCGGTAACAGGGTTGTAGATTTGTGGAAGCAATTACCGTATAACGTGGTGGAGGTGGGGTCCTTTGATTGCTTCAAACATGGGTTGGACATGTATATGAGTGGGATTGGGGTGGTTATAAATAGGAGCTGCCTCGTATAGGCCAATAGGCCTTCTGCGGTTACCTTTATTCTTCTTCTTCTTCTTCTTATATAAACATTGGGCAATGTATTATATGATCTACAACAAATTAGAGCATAATAACATACTCATTATTATTTGTGTTATTATGTATTACTCAGCAATGCTATAAAGGCACCAGCTGCATATCCTTTATCCACTTCTTACTACTATTCTTCGTCTTTGTGCGTCGGACAGGTGCCTGCATCTCTTTATTATTGCATTATCCATCAGTTCCAGTTTATTGGAGCTTTTCTCCTTATCAACAAAATGTTCTTTTTAAAAAATTCGTCTAAAATCAATTACTGAAAATATTTTGATGAAATTTTCCCGACACTGAAGCCAATAAGTTAGAAATTTGTTTAACATTTTAAAGTAATATTTACACAATTCAAATATTTTTAGCTTCCCGGACCCTTTTGCAGGATAAGGGTTAAACTCATCTTATTGTCGTATAGAAGTTGTTTTGCATAAGTTATAATGTAATACAGTACTCCGGCAGGTGAAATTATGACTTCATGAGACATTAGCAGCAACTTAACTGGCTTATCACGCTGCACACGACGATGCCATAACCATATGGTCCACGAGTAGACCAAGTTTATGTGATCCAGACGTCTCTATTGCTTGTTAACCAGACTGCGTTCTACAAAGACAGCTAAGATTGTCCATATTCATACAGTATTATTAACCATTCTTCAAATCATAGAATAACCAGTAGTAACAAATGTGATCGATCAATTAGTTTTGATTTCGTAGAACATATAGAAATAACCCCCAAGTTTGTGACAAAGAATTAGTGGGATAAAATTGAAACTATACACTCCACTCTCTAAAGAAATAATTTAATATCAAATTAAATAAAACTTATTTAATAAATAACTAAATAATGATAACTAAAATCCCGCTGGTAAGTTTTCCCCACAATGAAGGCTATCGGAAATATGACTTGAGCGTTATTTTTTAGCAGAATTCAGGATGATTGCGCATATTTGGAGTTTAAATTACAACTTTTATACCGAAAATATGTAAGTTAGTGAAAACGACGATTGCTCAGATGTTGCCCAAATCCCCCTTCAGTTTTCAAAATATAATGCCTATCAGAAGTATGACTTCTGAGTTGAATTCAGGGTGATTACACATGCATGTATTTGGAGTTTTAATTTACAACTACCGAAAATATGCCAATTAGTGAAAAACGGCAATTTGTCAGATTTTGCCCAAATTAACCTGCAGTTTTCAAAATATCGGGAATCTGACTCTTTAGCATGTATTTTTTAGCCAAATTCTGGCTCGTTGCACATATATGGAGTTTGAAATTATGACTTTTTGAAATATTGGAAGTCTGACTTTTGAGCATTATTTTTCAGCCAAATTTTGGTTAATTGCACATACTTGGAGTTTGAAATTAAGACACTTTTTTTTTTTTTTTTTTTACAGTAAATGTACCAATTAGTGAAAATGGCGATGGATCAGATTTTGCCCAAATTTCCCTGCAGTTTTAAGCATCATCTGGAATCTGCACACTTTTTATGGGGCACTTGAGAAACAAAAATGTTATAGTGTTCCTCCAGTATCTAATGTGTAGAAATTTGAATATGAAACTCTAATATAGAGAGAAGTTCATCATTGTTGATGCCTGAGGCCAAGCTTTAGGCATCATCATTATTGAGGCCATGGTAAAGTCCGGCCTGAGGCCAGGCTTTACCGTGAACGGCAGGTGGTGTATTGTTAGGCAATGCTCCTTGTAATGCATGTACGTTATATAAATGTTTTCAATATTGAACACAATTTCTCAAGGTAAACTAGACCAATTATTTTTTGTAAAATTTTTATTATATTTTCAGAATTGATCTTGATTATTCCATGGTCCATATCAGGATGTCACTGATGTGTTTTGTATATAAACTTCAATTACTACCATGCATTTCACTTAAAATCTTTACTTGAAAAAGCACATTATGATCCATGTAAGCTTGCATGAAATTAATGAGATAGATATACTGTGTATAACCTTGAAATTTACACTTGATTAACCAATGTTTGGTGGAATTTTATAAACAAACCCTTACCTAATCTCTTCTAATTTGTTGGAAAAATACTTTCATAGGCGAGATTAGATAATGATTTGTTGGTGCAATATTACCAATTCAAACCTTAGTTATCCTAATTATGCATTGGTTAAAAAAAAAATTATTTTTTTTTATGCATTTTCTGGCTTAGTACTTTCTCCTGATAATAACCTTCTTGTGCACTTATTTGAATCATAGTAATTAATGAAATAAATAAGTGCTCTGTACAGTACTGTATATATGAAAACTAATTCTTTCCCCATTCATTTCAATGTGGCTAGTTGTATTTTTCCATTTTTCTCAGTCATAAATTCGGTTGTTGACCTGGATTGAGCAACACTGTAATTGTGCTTATGAATCACGTTTGTCAACAATTTTGCAGATTAAACATTGTATATTTTTGTTAATGATTTTGTTTATACATAAATTTCACATGTATTAGATACCTGCTTGATGGGGTTTGGGAGTAGTTCTACTCCCCAAGCCCGGCCTGAGGCCAGGCTTGACTTGTAGCACTTGTAGCGCTGCTATGATAGTAGCACACGATGTATACAATGTTAATGACTTTGTGCCTTGTCAGATTTATGTAGCATAGTAACATTTCCTTCAATGTTAAGAAGCTGCTGCTGCTATAAGTACCTTTACTGAGGGAGATAATTATACAGTAACCCATGTTTTGGTTTTACAGCACTGTACAATACCTACTTTTTATATCTTGTCACTTTGCTAGCGACGTTAAACAAGTGTTACGCTCATACTGTATTTAATATTTTGATCCTTCATGAGATTAATTTATAGAAACAAGTGTTATGTCTTAATTAAATTGAGAAATTTGTTAACGTTTTTATAAGTTTTATAAATATGTTGTGCTCATTGTAAGTGCCATTATTTTAAAGTTATTTGGTAAAAATTTAATGACAGTGCCAAGCAATCACTTTTATTGAAAAGTCCACTGGTAATGTATATCTTTAAACTTATTAAAAAATGATCATCATTGCTGATGTAATGCAAATTGAAAACCAAGTTCCCTCTGGGGACTGTGTTTGACATAATATACAGTAGAAGTGTGTTGCTATATTGTTATTGTGACATTAATAAATCTGTGATGAATATAAAATAAGAAATTTTTAAGCCTAATGAATTTGTAGATATAATGTGTATTGTTGTTTTTCTCACACTTAAAGTAAAATGTTACTTGGGTAGCTCCTCAAATATTTCAGGTTAAACACTCCTCTTAGTATATGTAGTATAATTTTACAATATACAAAAGATTTCCAGCAATTTTGGAAGGTGCAGTTGACCCATTCTTTTACCCTCTTGTGTGTGCTTGGTCACCATGTCATATTACGAAGGATTGGTACCACACCTGCTGTCTTCCTGATGCCCAAAGGCTCTCATATCTAACGTAGTATTGTGTGCCTAAAAAGTAATTCACACAGTATCTCCTCAGATTTCTCATTGCTCTTTAGCATTATTTATATTGAACTTCCCTTTTTCTCAGCTTGGTGGCTTCTCTCATAAACTAATATCAGTGTATGATCATTATTTGCATTATTTATAGAAAAAATCATTATTTGGATTATTTATAGAAAAAATCATTTGCATTATTTATAGAAAATAATACAGTACTATAATGAAACACGCACTAGGGCTGGTACAATTACTAACATCGCTTTGGTCATCCAGGGCCAAAGTTTTACTGCATAGCATAAACATATGTTCTCACTTTTCATATCCATCCAATATGATTACTTCATATATGGGATGGGGCAATATCAGCCCAGACAAAATATAATAGTGTATAGTAAAAGATTATAAATAAGTAACACCTTCATTCTTTGTATCATTGGCACTATACAGCATTAGGGGCTAAACAACCATCACACCACTCCAGCAATCATCCACAGTAATACACTGGGGAAAGAAAATATGTAACAAAGACACGTACAGAATTAGAAGTCAACGGTGTTGATAAAATTGCTTGTTAAAGTGACAATTACAATAAACACTGTAAAACTTACTAATTTAATGAAACTAACCATTTCATAAAGTTAAATACTTTGAAACAACAAGTTGTACAAAAATTAATATATATGCCCTTTATATATAATGCAGTATGTGTGTTGTACATAACAAGCAGAGTTTTTTAAATGTTATATTCCCAAAATTTTATCTTATGAAGTTAATTATTATAATGTACTGTACATAATATGGCTTTTATAACAATTTGAATCAAAAGTCAAGAAGCCTGACCTAACCTAAATACTGTATGCCAATTATTTCTTAATATTGCCTAACAGCCAAAACTATACCTACATTAGAAATTCTTGTCAATATATTATTATTAAGGGTTAACTACTGTAATTTATTTAATCATATACAGAAATATATGATATGCCAAACCACATTGGCCAATAGTCAAAATGGGCCTTCCTTACAAGGCAAGTAGTGCAGTCCTGGCTATTAGCTATGACATACATACATATGTATGCATGTGTAAGTATATAAATGTATATAATTATCCCTTACTTTTGCAGACTTAAATGAAATTATAGCTTACACATATTTAAATTGTATTTTTCTCTGTGTGTATTAGACATTTCCTCACTCACAATGTCTGCTCATCTGTTGGGCCACCCTTCCACTGCTAAATTTATTCATTTAAATGCACTCTCTTCACCGTTCTATCCTGAATTGTGCAGCTGACTGACTTTGACCCTCCATATTATTATTTTACCACCACATGTACCTCTATTTTTATTCATGCTCATTGCACATCAGCATCTCACATAAGGGGAGACACCATCACTGTTTCCTGCAACCCTCTTCCTATTTGTTTCTCCTAAGCTTTCGTTATTCCAGCCATTTACCTTCGTAACTCCCTCTCAACTTTGCTTGCGATCAGCCATGTCTAACATCCTTGTATACATTTTAGTTTCACTTACCATGCACAGTTTCTTCCCTCTATTACCACTATACCGTTGCACAAATTTGAAGTAGACGTAGTCTTCTCACTCAAACACATTAATAAAGCTTTCAACTAATCTTCATAAATGTGTAATTTTCTGCTTCAAGTAAGTACGGTCATTATCAAAAGGCAGCACCAGTATTTTCTGCTTCAAGAACTGTCATACACAAAATTAAAATTGTTATACTGTACTGTACAGTACTTGTATTCCTGTCAGTCATTTCGTTTGTGAGTCTCGTAATGTTTTCTGATGTTCTTAAATTGATGTCCCTTATGACACTGACTATACTTACCCAGTATACATGAAAATAATGTCCTGTATGTACATGTATATTTACCAACACTAGTATACTACCATACATTAATAATTCAGTCACTTCTTACACCATTAGCTCCTATACATGCTGTACTTCCAAAGAACTTATTTCATTTAAATGAAATCTAATCCCCACTGATGATCAAAACTATACAGTAAATTCTACTCTCAACATTCTACAGTCACTGTTTATTAACTTTTATTATTTGCTTTCTTCAAGCCCATAAAAGCCATGTGCACCCTACAATCTCTCATCTGCTTTCTCTACTAGCTGCTTAAATGCAAAATCTGATACACACCGCCTCCACCACAGCACCCACCTTGTTTACAGTGACAATTTTCAGTTATTTCCTGTACTCTTGTAATTTTGATCCTGCCATACACTTTACCCACTACATTTAGTTAACCAGTGCTTCTATAATTCTTACATTCACTAGATTAATCTTAATTACTGTATATACAATGGTGTAATCGTAACTCTTTCCAGTCATCCATCCCAAATCTGGCAAATTTTCCACACTTAATATGGTCCTTTTTCTCCACTGCATTTAATAATTCCTGCAAATATATACCTTGTCAATGCTTACTGCTTTTCCATATGCTCCTTACTGCTCCTGCACTAATTTACTTACCTCTTCCATGGGTACATCTTGATATTCTCTCTTGAACTCTTCACACTAACAAAACGATCATATTCACACTCAAACTTCTTTTAACAAAGAGTATTCTATCTACATACTGTACTACTAATTTATCTTTCAACAGTCAAGATTTACCCCTCTGCTTATCTTCAATATTTAAATTGGCTTTTCACCAGTCCTTATTGCACTTACATGCTGCTTTTTCATATATGGTATCTTTTACCATTTTCATTTGTACTGTATTTGTAAAGATAATAATATAATTAGCATAAAACTTTTCTTAATACATTACTGCATTCAGTTTCCTTTACAATAAATATTTATACTCCATTAATATAATTACTGTATTAGCATATCTGAATGCATATGCAGTACAGTATAGTCTAATTCTTAAAAACCCATTAGGATATACAAATAATCTCACTATGATAGGTCAGCACTATATTTACGGTTTACCTTAATTCCATTCAGTCTCAGATTTCAGTCTTCATACCATCTTTTGTCAGATGTTGAATTCACAGATGACATTTTATCTTTGTACTTACGCACCATTGAATTAAAAGCTCTTTCATCCTTCGTTTCCATTTTCATTTTCTTACTTGTATTCTTTTTGTTCCTTTTTCTCTTTTTTTTACCTTGACCCTCTGTTTCTTCTTGAGATGGTTTCACAGATGAAGAATCTCCCTGGTCTTCACTCGTTGGGCGCTTTCTTTTTTTACCAAGTACTCGATCCCGTCGTTCTTTTCTAAACTGATTTCTACTAATTTTCCCTTTACCCTTTTCATGATGTCGTATCTGAAAAGAAGCATGTTTTTTTTTTTAAATGTGACATGGGTTTAATACATGACTCAGTAATAAATTTAATAATGCTTTGTATGTTCATATTATTTCCCCAGTATTTATTAGCTATACAGTACTTTACGTGACATAAAACGGTGAAAAACCATACGTATAATCCAGATTTGTGCAAAACGTTACAGCTTTACCTTGGGCCCATAATTAGCTGGGAGATTTTTGTTGGAAGGATTAGACTTGGAACCCATAAAACTTGATTGGCTTTCCATCTCGTTGTCTTCACTAATTTTCTCAGGATTCTTCTTTATCTGACATGCTTTTTTGGTACTATCTGAAATGCATAACACAGAAATAAATGTTATTTACAATACAGCATTACTATTCCATAATATATCAAAAATTTAGGAAAAGATAACTAGGAAAATTACAGTGGAACACTTTGAGAGAATAAACTTTTTAACATGGACAACAAAATTTTTTCTCTGGGCCCCTTCATTTTTAATTCTAATTATTTTCCTGTTCTGTTTTTTATTTTTCAATTTCTTCCCTGAGGTATTTCACTTAACCATTGAGTAATTTTACCACCTCAGTTACAACGGACTTGTAACTCTTAGAAGAGCTAAGACAAAGTAAGCAATTTAAATTAGTAAAAAAATAACAATAATGACACTACAAAAAATGACGATAGAAGACATATAGAGTACCTGTCGTAGTGGCATTCTGTCTTGCATTGTATCCATCTTTTTTCCATAAGGGATTTTTTTCTTTGCTCTTCTCCATACGCTTTTGGCGAGCCTGAAGGACTGATCGGTTTTCCAAAGAAAATTCCACAATAGGCCTCTGTTAAATTAGAAAAGCTCTACATTTTAGAGAAAAATTAATGGTAGTGGAAATTGATTATGAATATATTACTAAAATGTTTACATGGTGGCACTTATTTCTGTTGTTATAAGTATAAGAACAATTTTACAAGATGATAAATTAATGGCTAAAGTTATCAGGGTAAATATTAAAATACATACTGTACAAAGTTTATCATTACTCCCTGTCCAACTTTCATGGGGTGGGATATTATCAGCCCAGAGTGTAATAAAATGATCACTTCTGAACAGCTCCTAATTAGTTTCCCTTAGCCTTGGAACTAACCCCACCTGGGACATTACTAATACATTATGCTCTGGGCAATTCTGTGCTCTTCAGCAAACTACATAATTGCAAGCCACCACTATGAGAACCTACTTACTATCATTCAGAAATGCCTCAAAACACTCCAATTTCCTCTAAATGATCCATGGCAACTCTAAAATTGCCAAGAATCATTTGGAACAACTTAAACATTCACTAACCACTACACTGGCCACCACCAGGTGGCCGTCCTACATAACATTTGGGTATGGGGAGGTGACCATCCCCACCTTTAATTTCAGCCCACCATAGCAAACTGGGAAAACAGGAATTAAAGGATGTGAATGAGAAATTATTAATAAGCCAATTAAAAAGGGGTGTCTCATTATACTAATATTTTATTTATGAGCAAGATCCCTTTGTAGGGATCTTGAGACTATGTAATGTATCTTTAGGACTATGTGGAGAAGTGTGAAGGGACTCTTCGCACTTCTCAACATAGTCTATTACAATAATATTAAAAAAGATGAATAGATGACTTATCCAAGGCAACAACAGATAAAAAGAGATGGGCCTTGAAGTGAAGACAGCAGAAGAGGCCCAGGAGGTCTGGGCCTCCCCAGACCTCCTGGTGTAGTGAGGGTTCAATTACAACTCTTAAAAACCCAGGTCTCAAATATTTGCTGTGGACATGTGCCAAAACGTAGGCAGTTGAAGCAGAATACTTTCTAAGCTTGTGAGCTCTAGGTTTGCTTAACTCATGTTCAATTAAATGAGACAGAGGAGCTTAGGAGCAGGGTAATATGGAACGGCTGTTAATAACCAGTAAATGTGGAACACCCCATAGTATTCCATAGATAATTGCACATCTCAAAAGTAGTATCACAGCTGTCCTAATCTGAACCTCAGGTGAATCAGACCATATTAAATGGCTTTTCATGGCTCAAAGGAAATAAGCTAAGAACCACTCTTAACACTACAGACACTACTGCTTAGCTGATAGCAAGAAACCAATGAGGACCTGGAAGAGGTTACTACTGTTGGATAGGCTACGCTAGTTGGAAGTGTACAGACAGGCTGGCTGGAATCTCGGGTGACCTGGGTAACCCAAGGTTGGTTAAGGTAGGTACTTAAGGTAACCTGGATTGCCATTTGGTGGTGGTTGTTGGCCATATCAGGATAAGAGTATTTACCCAACAATCTACCATTTGATTTTTTTCCCTTTAGGTGCTGCATTTTCCTAAAGTAGTCACTTGTTTTCTTGCACCTATGCTTTCTGGAAGATTTCCCTAAGGTTTGTGCTCGATCTCTGATTCCCTGCCTCACAGAGTAAGGCAGTGCTCGATCTCTGATTCCCTGCCTCACAGAGTAAGGCAGTTTCTGGTCCTGGCTCCTGGTAAGCAATAGCTGGGGCTCAAAAGCCTCATGTATTCAGCTAAGGCTTGGTGGTACCACAGATAAGATCGGAGAGCTACTAAGGGGGCCTCCCCTGAAATTTGTGTAAACTTATGGTGCTTAATTACTTGAAAATTCCAGAAAATCATGCATGAAGTAAAGACAGTTGACTTACTTGATCATTAGTGAATATATCGGGGTTATTGTTGATTTTGCGAAGAGCAGCAAGAGCATGCTCATGTTCAGTGAAGGTGACAAAGCCATATCCACGGCTCTTGGGTTTACCATTCTCATCAATGTTTTGGAAATCTCGCATTATTCGTGCCTGTAAAAGATATACGTGCAATCATAATGATTTCTTATTTCATGTAAGTTAGTTAAAGAGAGCACAAATAACTCATAATAATGTAGAGTAAAACCAAGTTGGAAGAAGACATTTCTGTATTAAAGATGACATTTTGCCTATAAGGGCTTTGTTAGATCTATCAGTTGCCCAAGACTAGCTGTGCTTTCTCTCTATATAGTATGTAAATTCACTGATAATCTTGAAATAATCTGTATTTTTTATTAAAATATAAAATTAATAACAGAGAACTGGCCACAATTATCATATACTGTACAATATATTCAAATATTGTCATCTACTTCTATGCAAAGTCATGCATGGCATTATAAAATTTGAAAGCTTTTGTAGAATACAAAAAGAAATAAAAAAAAGAGCTGCAATATATATAATAAATATCGCTAGTGTCTAATATCTAACCTCTGTAATTTTAGCTCCTTCTGGTGAATGCTTGTTGAAAATTGCATACAACCGCTTGTCATCAACTTTCTCAGGCAAATTATTGATACAGAGACGAGTTTCAGACACAAAGATTTGAAAATTCTGCAACATTCGGCGTTTAACCTGCTCTCTCCTTGTGCGAAGAGCCAAGTCAGCTTTTGACAAACCCTCTGCTGCTTTGGTTCCCTGACGAACAACTGGAAAATGTAAAATTATCACCTATGAGCCAACAATGAACTATTATATATATAAAAGTCATTATTCATGCATTACTAAAATAATCACACATACTAGAAAAAGATTATCTCTAAAGTTGAAATTATAAACTCAAAGGTTTAGTGAAGTTTACTGTCATTTTCTCTTGTTTAATGTGTGGATTATTATTCATCTGTTTGAAGTACTTTAAAGAACCAGGTAAGTAAAGAAACATATATATTGTCAGCATTATTACATTACTACGTATATATGTCTATATAAAAAATGCATTTTTAAAAATAAGATTTGTCACTAAAGGAGTCAGAATTAAACAAAAAACGTTTCTACCTAGTGTTCCAACACAAGAGTCGGTCTGGATTTTTAACAAATTTTAAAGTATGGTACACATTTCTAACCAATGAAATATTTTTATGGTAGCCAACTGCAGTATTTCCATATTCAGGGGTACAATATCTCTATGTGCAGTACAATATATAATCTAAACATTGCAATGGATCATTTTCCAACATGCTATTTTATTTAGATTTATCAGTACTTAAGGGGGCGTCTGGTTATTATAATGAAAGTTGTTCAATGTCAACCAATATTATTTTTCTAGTTGTATATGAAAAGTGCTTAAATTGTCCCAAGTTTCAGTACTGCAGCGTAAATAGAAAGGGAGTTTTTTTTTGTTTTTTGTTTTTTTGAACGTTTTTTACACATTTTCAAGTCCACACTTCAGAACACACGTTTCAGATAAAATTATTCTGTGACACTTTTCTGACACATTAGCATATAATAAAGGATTTGGGGATTTAGAATTTCCAAAACATCTTTAGTTTTCCTAATACAAATGTTCAAAGTTCCCCAAAATTTTTTTGCAAATATGGCATGTTTATTGCTATTATAAAATCAATAAATGAACTTAGAGAAAAATGAAAGCCCCCCAATGTAGAGACATGCCCTCCACATAAACTGTGTAAGTTTCATGTAAATTGAATAAAAAAAGAATGAGTTTTGTAAACGTTTGTGTCAATTGAAAAAAAAACAGAAATTAATAAAGTCTAAGGTTCTAAAATCTGTGGCTGGGGTTGACATCAACCAATTTTCTCCAAAATTGGCATCCTTACAGATAGGCTTACGTACAGGCAGGTGTGTAAGTTTGATGCAAATCGCCCCCAAAAAAATGAAAAAAAAAAAATATTTAAAAAAAAAAAGAAAAAAAAATCCTTTTTTTTTTTTTCCTTAAATTTTTTTTCCAATTAAACTAATAATAATATTTGTTTAACATATGCTATTGTGATAGCAAAGAGTTGTAGTTATGATTTCAGTTGACACTTTTGATTGATAATCGATTTTGACCATTTTTGCATAATTTTCACAACTACTTCAATATTTTTTTTCTCCCTTCCTATTTATGCTACAATGCTGAAACTTGGACCAGATGAAACACTTTTCATATAGAACTTGTCAAAAAAGTTTGATTGAAATCGAATGAGTTTTCATTTTTGCATTTTTGGACCCAGATGCCAACCAGACGCCCCCTTAATGAACATCATCTAAATGCATTAACCATTAGTTTCCCAACTATTTCACTGATGTTACTTAAAAGACACTACTGTATTGGTGAAGATTAGTCTAAAGGAACAGATTTCTTACATCCTTCCCGAGCCAAGAAAAGATTTCTTTTATCTTTCTTCACTTTCTCTTGTCCTTTCTCATTTCTTCTCTTCTCCAGCTCCGTCCTGCTTATGGCTCTCATGATATGCATTGGTCGACCATAGAGAATAAAGTCTTTCTTTGTACTGGGGTCTGCTTCTGCTGCTAAACAGGCATCGGCTGCTTCTCGCTCCTGAAAGTTAATAGCTATAAATGAATATTCGGTAAATTTGCAAAATTGCTAATGCATACTACAATACTGGTCTTTCATACTTCATTAATCTTTGCCAATAGGATATACCTTATCCCTCAAACAATGGCCTACATCAATTGATGTATAAGGGGAGTTCAGAGGTCAATACGGCTCGTATTCACTAGCATTTGTTACTACAGAAACACTTGAGAACTGGGTTCTGATCATAAGTACTTATAATTATCTTTCTATTGTATATAAAAGTCATTAATTACACAACTTTTTGAGTAAGTGGAATCAGTCCTCACAGGAATATTTATTAATAATTATGTATGTGATAATTTTGGATGTGTTTTTACAATTTATTATAAAATATTTAAGATTTTCTTTGAATCCTATAAGAAGAATCTTTAAATTATGGGAAACATTAATAAAAAAAATTAAAACTTAATTTTTTAATTAAGAATAAATGTTACCCATTGTGATGACACTACAGGGCAAATAAAGCTGTTAATGAGGAATCAACTAGAGTTAGGTATCACAATCTCTGGTGTTAAGACCACACTATGTAAGACATTAGGCCTGACAGAAAATTCACAAACACTCAAAGGAGCTGAAAGCAGTAGTATTAAGAGCTAAAATCTGTTTGGAACCGAGAACTACATTTATGGACGGCACAAGATAATGCAATACTGAATACTGTACTGATTGTCAAAATTAGGCTAAGATATCACTGCTATTCTTATTTCGCTCTGATTTGTTCCTATTGCATAGGTTCCCACAGTACTGTTTAAATTCAGCAAGGCCGAGTAAATCAGAGTAAATTACTGTAAAAGCTCAGTAATCTGAATTCCGATAACTCGAATCTTTGGGTAATCCAAATAAATTTTGAGTTTTTGACTGCTGAACACAAATCAAAATTTGGGGTACTGAAATTTCTGCTACGGTATATGAAAACCTGAATATAGTTAAAATCATTTTTTTTACTTTTGGACTTTCCAGGTAAAAATGTAGCTAACTTGAAAAGGGGTGAGCCTGATATAATTCAGATTGTTAAGCATGGACAGTACCTGTACTGTTGAGTTCATATCTGTACTGTATACTGTTCATGACTTCCTTTTCCTTTAGTACTCCTGGTTGTTACTGTGGAAGGCATTTTCTCATTCTCATCCTAATTTTTTTTTTCCAATAAACAATATTGAACAAGAATTGTGAATATTAAAAGTAGCCTCACCTTGAACTGCACAAATGCTGTTCCCCGTGGGTGCTCAGTAAGCTGGTCTATACAAAGCAAAACATACTTTAATTCTCCAAACTTTTGTAAAACTTCTGCTATTTCTTCCTGTGTAGCAATGAATGGGAGATTTTTTATAAACAATGTCCTTTCTTCCGTGATGTCTTTACTGGGGCCTTTTGTAGGAGCATGTGTATTCTTAGATGGTGTGTGCTTTTTATCATCCTCATCATCATCATCACTACTAGTTTCATCACCATCATCTAATCCACTGTCACCATCTTCATCCTCACTGCTTGCTTTTTCTTCTTTAATCTCTGTCTTTATATCATCTTCCTCACCACTTTCTTCTTTAATCTCCATCTTTATATCATTTTCCTCATCAATCTCTTCTTTTTCATCATTACTCAATTCCTCTTCCTTTATCTTCACTTCTGCACCTCCAGTTTCATCTCTAGATATTTCAGAATTGCTTCCTTCTGGCTTAAATCTTTCCTTCTCAACAGCTAAATCCACTGCAATTGGCCTTCCTGAAAAAGATAACTTGATTGTAAATAAGTAATCATAAATACCGGAACTTACAATTCTGTACAATTTTTGTTTAAGTTCTGTAAAGGTATTTTTAAGAATATCAAGTTTAAAAGTTAATGCACAGAGATAATTTGGCATGAGAGAACAAAACAGCAATCCAAAATCATATAGAATAAAAGGCAGTGGAAAAAAAATTAAATGAAATCTTGAATTCAAGAAAAGTTGAGTGAAGCATAAGATCAAAGACTATTATATCTTGAGAAAATAGATTCAAAATGTGATATAATTGTGTTAAGTGAAAATGCTAGAGTAAGGTGAATTAAAAACTGCACAGATAAAAATACTGTACATTGTAATCTAACCCACAAAGATGAAGACTTGGTGAAGAATCCTTAAACTGCTTTTGGTTACCATTACATGAAATCTTTGCAAAAAAAAAACAAAAAAGCAAGTACAGTACAACAGTAATTATGCAAAGAATAAACAAACCATTTTATGGCAGAGAAGCCATTTCAAGCAAGGAGATGCATAAATTATTGATGAAAAAATCATAACACTTAATTAGCACAGTGTAGCAAATCACATTCTCTAAGTAATGAATACCTGTATTACTAAATCTAACTAAAAGTACTCAGAGAAGTTAACTAGTCATATATGCACTTGACTCACCTCTAGTTTTCTCATTCCCTATACTATACTGTACTATTCTTTCATTATGCTCCACATGCAGCTCTTTAAGACCTAATTTTCAATCAAACAATTACAACACTTTATTACAATGCTTACCTAACAAAGGTTTCATATTGCACTCCTTTATTGCTTTTAGTGCTTCAGCCTTAGTATCAAACTGAACAAATGCACAGCCCACCATCTTCCCGTCATGTTTGCGTAGAATTGACACTTCTCTAATCTTTCCATACACTGAAAAATGCTCCTCCACTATTTTCTCATCAGCCTGAAATGTGAAAATGGAAGAAAATTGATAAATAACTCTAATGGATTTCCCTAATGCATTTAACACTATAAAATATAAACAATTTACAAATACAGTAAATGTAATATTTTGGTACGTATGTACCAAAATTCCAACAAAGAACTTGGCTAATACATCATCATCACTCTTTAAGTCACTAAACTAAACTGTACATTAAGTAGAAATAGAGATCTTAAGACTTCTAAATTTTCAAATCTATTCAACAAAATTATATATGAACTTTAATACTGTATTTAATGTTACAGTATTTTCATTTTCCAGCCACAGTTAAAGCATATACACACAGAAATTACAATAGCATGATACTGTACATCAAATGAACTTGTGTCATTTCAAATTATTTGTTTACAGCATATAATGATGTTCAGAATGCTGGAATATGCAATGATGCAAGAATATAATTTAAAGCTTCATACAAAAATGTGGCATGTGTGAGATCCCAATAAATTGCCAAAAATGTGCTAAACTTGTGGATTAAAGCAAATTATAAAAATCTATTCACACAAAACATATATTGTTGAAATTTATCCTTTAATTTCGAAATTCAATATAAAAGTGTTTACCTCTGCCTTACTTGGCACTGAATTGAAAGAACAGGCTGGAAAGAATCAGAAACATAAAGTCTTTTAAAAATATACAAACAAAGCAGTATATTTACGAGCATAGGCCACTAAAAAGGAAGTTTCATAAAATAAAAACTCAAACAACGGAAAAATGGCTGCCCACCTGCTGACTGGCATGAGACACAATCAGAGAATATGGGAAAGGCTCCGAGTTTGAAAACTCTGCGGTGGTGCAACCTGGTCACAGTTATGTGGGTTGCCAGGCAAACAATTGGTACTGTAGTTAGTGAGAACCCTTTATTGGCAATCACTTATGGTGCTAAGGGAGGATTTGAAAGGACTGAGTTTTACCAATGAAACACTGTCAGACATTCGAGGCTGGATTGGCTTTATATCCAAAAATTCTCTAGTACCTCTAGTGACAACTCAGGGGTTATTTGAACAGTTCCCAGTGGTGCCAATGCCAAGCATTTCGTCCAACCTTGGGAAGTAACTGAATTGTATAGTTCATAAGAAAAACGTACCTTGAAAGACAAATTCCTAATAATAATTCTTCCTTTTCTCTGTTTTGCTGGCTGTCTCTTGTCCTTCCTCTTTGTTTTTTTCTTCTTAATATTTGTTTCATTTTCTTCTCCATCCTCTTCCTTGTTACGTTGTGCACCAGAAACATCTTCATCTGATTCCGTTTCTCTCTGACGAGAATATTTCACTCTCAGAATTTTTCCGTTAAATGTAGAATTATCATACTTTTTAACCGCTTGCTTGGCATCTTCCACAAAAGAATAGATAATGTAGGCCATTCCTTTAAAGGTGCCATCTGAAATAGTGGGAATGCAATATTTAAGACAAATTTCAATTGTAAATAACCATTTAGGTATCATATGTGAAAGTTGAACAAGTGGTGCAATTTAAATTAGTAAAATGTAAATAACTTGACAGTTTGATGAACAATGAGTAAGTGCTTTTTAAACTGGATGATATATGGTTCAGCAAACTGAGCATATGGCAGATGTACAATTCTGCCAATACATATATAATTACAGTAGAGCTGCTACCAATAAACAAACACAAGATACACAATACAATTTCTGCCTGAAACGCTATGCGTGTTAGTAGCTTTCCAAGAATATAAGAACAACAATGTTATGTACTCTCATAAACCCAATGTACCTTCTTGTATATAAATAAATCATTAACAAAAAATATACATACTAATGATCATCAATGTTAGCTACGCAGGGTTTATAGTAAAGCCTTTGCACACCAACCCATAATAGGTCTATAGTCAACACACAACCCATTCGTAGATATAATTTGATCAATTGGTTTAATAATTTGCCATATAAACTGGCTGGGTGCTAATTTAACCTTTGCCAAGAAAACACTGTTGCAATTAGCAATAACTAATATTAGTAACACTTTGGCCAGGGTTCGTAGGAACCCGAGCGCTTTGGCCTGGGTTCGTAGGAACCCGAGAGCTGTGGCCTGGGTTTGTAGGAACCAGAGCGCTTTGGCCTGGGTTCATAGGAACCCAAGAGCTGTGGCTTGGGTTTGTAGGAACCAGAGCGCTTTGGCCTGGGTTCGTAGGAACCCAAGAGCTGTGGCTTGGGTTTGTAGGAACCAGAGCGCTTTAGCCTGGGTTCGTAGGAACCCGACAGCTGTGGCTTGGGTTTGTAGGAACCAGAGCGCTTTGGCCTGGGTTCGTAGGAACCCAAGAGCTGTGGCTTGGGTTTGTAGGAACCAGAGCGCTTTGGCCTGGGTTCGTAGGAACCCGAGAGCTGTGGCTTGGGTTTGTAGGAACCAGAGTGCTTTGGCCTGGGTTCGTATCCTGGCTGGGGAGGATTGACTGGGTGCCAATTTCTAACTGCATCCTCTGTTCACCAAGCAGTGAATGGGTACCTTGTTGTTAAATACTTTGGCGGGTCGTATTCTGCATTAAGGACTTGCCTGAAACTCTATGCGTGCAAGTGGCTGTGCAAAAATGTAAACTCTTGTATATATAAAAAAATATATAAATTACTTTATTTATATACAAGAGGGTACATTGGGTTTGTGAGAATACATTCTGTAAGAATGTAGGAACTTGGTATTCTTACATTCTTACAAAGCCACTAACACTCATAACATTTCAGGTAGTAGTGTTTTTTACAATCAATTTTGACAGATATGGTTTTGAAAATCGGAAATGAACTTGGTTGAACCTTCTTGTGTTCAATTTATGTTATGCAGGCAATGTGTGCATCTGCCATCATATAAATGTGGACTGGCAACATGCCTAAGGCTTATGGCATTACAGTATCTAAATCAAATGGTGAAAAAATAGCAACAAATATAATACGTCCAATTAGTATTGAGGTTAAACCAATTGAGAATACAGCTGCTGCACTAAATGGTGTCACAGTGGAAGTATCCAGCCCATGCAAAATTTTTTCAACTTCTATGCTAAATATGTTACTAAAAACTTACTTTTATCCCTGACAAGATGGCACTTTTTAACGGGTCCAACTTCGCTGAAATAATCTTGTATTTCCCGTCTGCTTATATCAGCAGGTAAATGTGTGACAATTAATGAACATTCCTGCATTTTCGCCATGCTGACTTGTTTACCTATCCGGATATTATGCGGGTGTTCGTGGTGAGGCCGGATGACAGACTCGCCGTTCGTGTAATAAACCTACATTATCGAGGGACGATTACCTTAGTTGTCACAGCTTAGTGGTCACAGCTTAGTATAAATAAATAAATATGTTTATTCAGGTAAGGTACATACATAGAAGTGATGTTACATTAATGGATTGATATATAGATAGAGCTAGTACATACAATGCCTAAAGCCACTATTACGCAATGCGTTTCGGGCAAAAAGTTCACCACTCTGGTAGTGGTGAACTACACTCTATTTTTCCAATATATATCACCTTTCAAATTGTAAACTAAGTTTTACTCAGATTAATAGCCTCCCAAATGCTAGAAAATTATGTTCTATCTTTTAAAAGAGGAAAAGAGTGTCTAGTTTACCGAGTGAGATTTTTTTGCAAGATATGTTGGCCTGTATAGAGAGTTAAAAATTTTATATCCTACGTAAAGCCATATCAGAAAAAGAAAGAATTATTCTACTGGTCCAATCTTCATTTGGTTATATTCGACTTCTGCAATTCAAATTTTCCGCCTCAAAATATTGAATAAGATGAGAGAGCAAACGGCAAACAATTCTTTTGTTATAACATAAAAGATGGCTAGATAAATAAATAAATTATTACTATACTTATTTGCTTATATTTTATATTTAGAATAATTGAGTATTATTTTAATTTAAGTGAACGAGTAATGAAATAAATTGTATTCACTATATATTATTTTCTTTTGTAGCTTTTCATACAAGATAGAAACAAGTGAGGATCAGCTAAGGAACTTCCTTCACAACAAACCACCATGGCTGACGTACGTGTTGCTCGCGGTAACTTTTACTGATCCATAATCATCGGCTTATATAGGAAATAACTAGACCTTTGTGATATATTTATAGTTATCGCTGATATCTACAGCTTCAACATATATACCGTTAAGTGTGCTTGATATGTAGAAAGTAATTTTTTTTTATTTCTAAAACCAAGGGTATTTTGTGAAGTAGGTAAACTCATTTATTTCAAACTTTTCAGGCTCAGGCACAAGAGCTGCGCAAGAAGCGTACCTTCAGGAAGTTCACCTACCGCGGGGTGGACCTCGACCAGCTCCTTGATATGAACAAGTAGGTTGGCATTGTGTTGAAGGCTATCGCATTGTTCAGCTTGGTCTAATTTATATATTTCATTTGTATAGCAAAGTAGTTTGTGCCTATCGGCGATATATATTTTATTGCAAGAATATTAAGTTATAACATTGTAGTGTATAATAGGTTAATTGTGGTAGGGTTGTGAACACTTTGGCTCGGCAGGGTTAGGTTAAGAACATAAGAACAAAGGTAACTGCAGAAGGCCTATTGGCCCATACGAAGCAGCAGCTATTTATAACCACTCAATTCTACTCATATACATGTCCAACCTACGCTTGAAACAATAGAGGGATTATTTTATACAGCGACAGCCTCTTGCAGTGGTTAGGGGTCGGGGTATTGGTGGTGGAAGGTGTTCGTCACCTCCCCCATACCCACTCCTCCATCCCTCAGACATTCCCAGTAACGCCCCGACCATGTAGAACTGCCCTCCTGGCAGTTCTTAGATGCTGCTATGCCACCAACCCTGAATAAGTCATTGAACGATTATGGTACAAGCAGCATTGTGGGGGAAATACAGGAGATGGGAAGAAGTCGGTAGCATGACACACACTTCCCTCTGCTGCAGTTTACTCGTGGTTCAGTCCACTGTACCTGCTGCAGTTTACTCGTGGTTCAGTCCTCCTGGTGCACTTGCTGCAGGTTTACCTGTAGTCTTTACCTACTCCCCCAAAGATTCTATTTCGGTGTATCCGGCAGCTTGAGCCAAGTGTTGCTCCAGGTGGCTCAGCAGCTGCTTCATGAGCCACTGAATTTATTTCCTCCTGGGTCGAGTCAATTCATTATTTGTTGCAGTGTTGGGTGGGTGTGAATAAGAGGGTCATGCATGACTACCTCAATGTCACCATTTAATGAAGTGGCTTTATTCTTTAGATATGTTATATAAATAGCGGGATAAATTAAAGGTATGTCAACTGTATGAAAGGAGTCACTACTGTCCAGCCCAAGCTGGACAGTAGTGTGTGAGATGTATGTAGAGTACAAAAATAACTACTTTCTTTGTCTCCGAATGAGATTAGATAAAAATTACTATTTTAATAGTGAAATAAAAATACTGCAGTAAATGTGGATGAAAGTAATTGAAATGAATAGTAAAATGCTTGATGTGGCCAATTATTTAAATACCTGGTATATGTGAACACATGGAATTTGGTAAGGGACAAGGCCGGGTGAAAGCTTTTTATAATATGGTGGTATCTTGAGTATCTTGAGATGATTTCGGGGCTTTTAGTGTCCCCGCGGCCCGGTCCATGACCAGGCCTCCACCCCCAGGAAGCAGCCCGTGACAGCTGACTAACTCCCAGGTACCTATTTACTGCTAGGTAACAGGGGCATTCAGGGTGAAAGAAACTTTGCCTATTTGTTTCTGCCTCGTGCGGGAAACGATCCCGCGCCACAGAATTACGAGTCCTGCGCGCTATCCACCAGGCTACGAGGCCCCCCTCGTCTACCTCGTGGTAGACGCATTTGTGCTGTAAGTGACGGAAGAACATTCTAGACTGAATAGTGTGGTGCACTTGTCTACAATCATTGGAGAAGGGTTTATGCTTCTTTATCATGGATGTTGTGTATTGTGAATGAATTGATTTACAATATTTTTTTTCCAAGCTGATGGATCCCCCCAATGTGATAGGAAGTGGGAAATGGGGTAATAATGTATTCATGTGTGAACAGTACTGTTTGTATTTGATGGCTATTCAGCAAATCTGTTTCTTTTAAATTTAAAATTCTAATTGATAGATGCAACAGTTATAAGAAACTAGTATTTGAAGATGCCTAAATTAATCAAGTGTTTACATTACTTTCATTTGGTAATAGTACAACTTCAGTAATGTTATTAAATGTTATACAGCTAGATAAAAGGGATTTATTGTGGTGTAAAAGTGAGTGGCATACCAAGTGACTGGATTTAATATAATCCAGTCATAAAGCAAGCTCATAGAAAAATTTTGAGGTTTATTGGATGTTTAAATCTTTTAATTATCCTATGCTCCTCAAAGACAATATATAACATTAAGTGAAATAGTTTGCCATCATAAACAAGAAACCAGTTGGGCTTATTTGTGGTGGTGCTAGGTGAACAGAACAGCTATCAGTTGTAAGAAATGCACCAAAATGAATGTATCCTGAACTGGATTCAAACCCGGGAGTTTTAGGTGTGGACCAACTGCATTGGCCACACTAGAATACAAGACATCTATATTATTGACTAAATTTATTGCTGATGTATTTGGTTGCTTTCATGGTAGGGTGGGGTGGGCACGTGTCCAGAAAGAGGATTAAAGCCTCGGTGATGTAATTTCATAACAACTTCGGAGTTCCTTACGATTATCATTCCTTGTTTGATTGTACATTTGTTGCTGTCACTCCTTTTTTACTATTCCAATATTTAACATACTGTACTATATAATGGTTTAAGCCATTACTCTTTACTTTCTTCTAATTGTGTAGCTAATTCTAAAATTTTCATTGCTCTAGTCATTTTCCTTAACCCTTTTACCTTTAGTTTATTCACTAATCATGGCCTGATTACCTCTGGCCTCTCATTACCTAATCATGGCCTCTCTTAATTTGTCTGCGCTGCACACATGCTTTGTATGACAACTCGTGGGACTCGCACATGTTTTTTTTTTTCCTAATGTTAAAATGCATTCCCTGATCATGGGAAAATTTAATTTCCATGTAACTAGCTTTGGTTGTGGTGGTGAGAAAGTGATATCACCAATTCGTGAATTCTGATGGATGAGAAGACCCATGGCGGTCACCAGCAAAAACACTGTTTTTGCTGTTATCACAATGTATAGGTGTTATATATAACTACATGTTTATTCACTATTGCAACCCACTAGGCAGTTCTGGTGAGCGAGATAAGTCTTGTAATTTTTGATCCAGGGGTCAGCCTAGCCTCCACTCATTTTGCACAAAGTTGTAGGTGCAATGATTTATTGGACTGTCAGTTACATCACAATGTGTAGATCATGGGAATGCACAGATACCTATGTGCATTCGTGTAACTTGTATCACTCCATAAAATAATAAACAGATAAAACTGATTTTTTGCTGTTATCACACTATTCATGTGTTATATTTAACTACAGTATTATGCACCATTGCAAACCACTGAACAATTCTGGGAAATATCTCCTCCATTGATCCATGGACATACGCTCGCCAGTTGCTGGGAGCACCTGACAAAGCAAAGTGCCACCCGATACACTGTGCACATTGCTAACTGTAGCCAACACTTTAATTATCAGACTTCTAGTCCCTAAGTCCTGAATAATTTTTCATTTGTTAATTTTCTGTAGGAACAACTACAACTAGGAACCCAACTAATATTTGCTGTGTTGGTACTGAGGCCCTCGTACCCAGCAGGGGTGCCCAATGATCTTGTTGCAAGATGGCATTTGTTACTGTTTACTTGAAGACACTGAAATGTGTACCTGCAGGACTTTCAATGCATTTAGACCTAAAAATCAACCCTGGGTTGACACTTGCACTAATGAAATAAACCTGGTTGATAGGTGTGTTGATAGATGTAGTTGAAGGGTTCAAACAACTCATAAATGTGTGTGTAAATACTCTTCTCATTCTGACCTCTCAGTTGTTTACTAGTCCCACCAGTTACAGTAACATTTCACTTAACAATACAGTAGATAATGATGACACTGAAGATGTAAAATATTTATTAGTGCAGAACTTGATTGTCATTCATAAATTATTCCAGTGAGCAGCTGGTAGAGTTGTTTCCCTGCCGTCAACGTCGTCGTTTTCAGCGTGGCTTGAAGCGTAAACACATGGCTCTCCTGAAGAGACTTCGCAAGGCTAAGAAGGAATGCCCTGCTCTTGAAAAACCTGCTGTTGTTAAGACACACTTACGTGACATGATCATTGTGCCTGAGATGGTGGGATCTATGGTTGGTGTATACAACGGCAAAACCTTCAATCAAGTTGAAATTAAGGTTAGTATCTAGGTACTAATGTGTTAAAATCTTGAGTCTATGTTGAGTCATTTTAAGTTTAGATATATCATTCTTATTTCATATGTAAGTATTAACAAGGTACCCAGTTAGCAGAGCCTAATTTAAAAATCAGGCAAATCAGGCAAGAGTACTTGTGGAAAAAGGTCTGCTTGTAGAAACATTAAAGCTACAAGCAGCTTGTTTGGTTGCACGGCTGGTAGGTGTAATTAATTTGGTAATATGACGCATTAAGCCACCCTCTTCCCACACATTAGTAAGGGAACTTGTTGTTCCTTTAATCAGCAGAGTACTGCAAGCTGCCATCTTCTTTTCCAACCCCTCCTCCTCCCCCATACCATGGGAACATCTTTGTTTACCTGGAAGGTGGTCCAGAGGTTTTTGGCAACAGTATAAGCAGCATTTTATCAACTAGTACTACCATAAAGCTATTTTTATTATTTTATTAAAAAATTGAGTGGCAAACCAAGTGGCCGGACTGTGTAGTCCAGTCATAAAGCAAGCTCATAGATCAATGTTTGGGGTTTATTGGATGTTTAAATGTATTTTAATTATCCTATGCTCCTCAAAGACAATATATAGTATGTAATGAAATAGTAAAAGAATAGGAATCAGACTGATCAATTTGATGTGTAGCAAGGCTTTGGAACCTCAACGTGGTAGGATGCAACATGTAGATTTGTTGGCCGATATTGAAAAAATTTATTGTGGCAACAATCTCTCTCAAACTTACACCCTTCTTCCATGGTTATAATTTACTGATAGTCTTAGCATTACTGCTCTTTTAATCCAGAATAATGTTACCTTTACCTTCCATTCCACTGCATTCCATATTCAGGAATAAATGGCATACTGTCTTTTCTGTGCTAATCCTTTTAGACATCTTATGGGGCAATGCTATTACTTAGTTTTCTTCTCCAATTTCAGCCAGAGATGATCAGTCATTACTTAGCCGAGTTCTCCATCACTTACAAGCCAGTCAAGCATGGTAGGCCTGGTATTGGTGCCACCCACAGCTCCAGGTTCATCCCTCTCAAGTAAACTGTCAATAAAGAAATTATGATAATATTTGAGATTTATTAAAGTCCTGTACTGTTCCTTATTTGGATATTGATGGAAATGTCAAAAGTTCATGCCTTCCCTTTGCTCACTGTATATTGTTTAAAAATTTTCATGTGCTTATAGGTTAAGATGACTGAAGCACTTGGTGGCATGTGAGAGTAAGTTTAATGTGTAAACTGTTTTGGATGTACAGTAGATGTGGAAAGTTTAGTAAAATATTGCTAGAACAAAGTGGATGTATTAAAGAGGCACTTAGATAAGTTCTTGCAAGAAGCGCCAGACCAAGGCTTGAGTAAGTACCATTAGAAACGGTGTAACGTCAGTTGCTGAACGTCCCTCTGCAAATTTACGAGCTTGTTGATATATGTATGGGTTGACTGAGCGTGTGGTTCCTGGTCAACCCGTTCTCGCAAATTTAATAAGTCAATATTGACTTATTAAATATGTGCATAGGTGACATACTTAACATAATAGATACCCTTAAAAAGATTCATAGAAAACACCGACCTTACCTAACCTTGTTAGTATCTTAAAGATAAGCATCTTATTGCTTCGTAATTACAATTATTACCTAACCTATAATAGGTATAGGTTAAGTAATAATTGTAATTACGAAGCAATAAGATGCTTATCTAAAGATACTAACAAGGTTAGGTAAGGTCGGTGTTTTCTGTGAATCTTTTTAAGGGTATCTATTATGTTTAGTATATCACCTATGCACGTAGTTAATAAGTCAATATTGACTTTACGAATTTGCGAGAACGGGTTGTCCTGGTGGCGTGGGCATCCACACTAGTTCACCAGTGATGAACGCACTTGAATTCTTTGTAAAGTACTTCGTTGTTTTTCAACTTTTTTGGTTTCTAAACATAAAAGTACTGTGATTGTTATATATCACGCCATGGGTCCCAAGAAAGTCGGTGGTAAAAGTTAAACATAAGAACGTTGTTAAGAGGCAGTAGATGATGTCCCTTCCTCATTACGAAAATGTGTGACGTATATAGAAATGTTCTGTTGACCTTCCCCATAATAGGACTGTTCAGGAAATATCCACTTGTCATTTTCATTAGACAGGTGGATTGCAGTTACATGTCTGCCACTTGCTATCTGTTGGTCATTCCAACAATTTCTGCATAAGAGTGCGAACTAGGTAATGGCCTGAGCTACCTGCTGTGGCTTAAATTTCTATACAACTAAGTCATGTACTATGACCTAGTGAGTGCAGAATATTTTCTGTTCATCCTTATTGGGGGTATTCCCTTTTGTATAGATATAATAAGCTCTTAGAAGATGATCTTTTGATCATACCCTGTGATATTTTAGGAAGACTTTAATCAACGTTTTATGCTATATAGCTAGCTAGGCACTTATATTTACTGAAGTTCTTTTCACAAATATTAAAAATTTTGATATGCTGCCCTTAGATGGTGTTTCAGCACCAGGTATTTCATTGCCATTGCTTATGAGCTGACTTAATTCTATTATTTTTATAGATTATGTGCTGGTTAAGTTTTAGAGGGAAGGAAATTGAGAGCATTTGCAAAAGGTCAGTTTGACATTCCTGAGGTGATGACTAGATAACCATCCACTAAACATTCCTAGACTACTCTCGATTGAATTTTTTTTTTTTTTATATATATATATATAATGGTGATGCACACTTTTTCATAATTATGGCATAAATGTGAAAATGTTGGAATAATAGAAGTGAATTTGAGAAGCGTGCTCGTTAAAATACATGGAGAAATAATAAGGCAATTGAACAAGAACATGATTGACTGGCTAGTGAAAGCAGTTTAGGGATACTGCACCATTATGACAATTCAAGGAGTGGGGGGGAATAGTGTCAATGATGTAAAGTATTTTCTCCACTCTGATTCACCCTCTACCAAGGAAACTGAGTAATGATAAAATTATATACATTCTGGACTGCTTATGATAATATCCAATGACTAACAATGATGATTTTATGTGAAGGGAAAATAAAACTAACCATATTGAATACGTACAGAATATTTTAATCAGATAGTTCATCACAAAATCATCTTTGTGCCAGATTCCACTAAATTCCTGGTCTTGGTATGTTAAACTGTGTTATCTGTGGAGCAGAAGGTGGGTTAGGTCCTGGAGGACCAGGAGGTAATACAGTAACACCTGGTGGAGGACCTGATGGTCCCTGTGATGTAGAGGGTGCATACTGGCTGGGAGGTACCTGCCGTGGAGTCTGCGAGACGCTTGCCTTACTGGCTGGATCCTCTTGTGATTTGACAGTAAGCGTGTGACGGGGTCCCGTCTGCCAAGCATCATCAGAATCATCTGTGACTGATGTATCCACACTCACCTGAAGTCACCAAATAGGCAAGGTCATGTCATACACAAGACAATTCAACAAAACACTTTAAATATCAGTTAGGTAAGTTCCAACACTGATGAGGTGGCATTCTGAACCACAAACTTTTAATTTTCTGCATTTTCTAAGTTTTTGTTGGGTGTCAAGTATTTCACAATGTATGTTTGCAAATAAATTTTAGAGAAAAAAAAATGCAAAAACAAGTGTACTGTATATAATTGTGCATGACAAATTAATATACAAATATTAAAAATGCTCATAAAATAAATTACTCTAAATAAAAAAAACAATCAAGCCAAAAATGGTGTGCATGTGTACAGCAGTGAATTTTTTGTTTAAATAACTTTCAGGTAGTTTGCAAATGAAAAAAATCATTAACTCTGCCCATTAAGTAAAAATCGTTACAAACAATATGCAGGCTCAATCATTTTACATTGTCGAGTTTGGTGTCAATGTTTGCAAAGACTTCTCTAAGAGTACAGATAACAAATTATAATAGATTTAAGTATGACAGTAATGATTATACAGCCTCACAGGTGAGGCTGCCTGGGTGAGAGGGATGCCCTCTGGTAAGTCCACTCATGCCCCAAATATGCTCTTTCCACATTAATAGCAGCGACTTTTCACTAGTTTCGGACTGGATGATACAAATAGATTCGCTCAGGAACTGAAAATCAAAACTATGAATGGGACGATGCATTTTAGCCTCTTTGGAACATTTACTTTCGGAGCGTGGATGCTATGTTTTAACACCTTCGGAATGTGAGCGTTAAAATCTGTTGTGCACGTTACAGAACACTTGCCATCACATGAAATTGTCTGGTAAATAAGTTCATTGATATTTTACAATCATAAAGATTCCATGCTTTCCTTAAGCATACTGTACATTATTAAAAGATATGAATTTATACCTATGTTATGGGAAGCATATACTTTAGCTACATTACATACTGTACTGCACCAATAATAATCAAAACCAATTAAGACAGTTCTCACTAACAATGAACTTGATACCATTAATATAAAATTATTTCTACTCGTATAAATATGCTGGACCTGGTACTAAAATACTATCTTGATTCCAAATTCAATACTGTATAAATCTCATTTTATGTTGTACCATATTGTACATACTTGGTAGATTCCTGGTACAGGGAACCCTAGCAGGAACTGTGCTGCAAAGAAGTCATTGTGTGGCTCTACTGTTTGGGTCAACATCTCGTTTGGCTCAATCTGTAAAATTAATTCATTAACATTTGGTATCCTTACCACTTGCTGTAATAATTTTTAATTTAAGAGTAATTTACCTGTCATTCTTCATGCAGAGCAAATTCAAACTATCAAAATCTGGTGCACATTCATTATAGTCTTCTAGTACAGTACAGTATACAGCTGAATCCTGTGTCATCTTCCTCCGACTAACTTCTTGAACCTCGCTAAATGCAACATTGGTACGTGTACTCTACCTAGTAAATTAACAAGCAAGTCGAGAAGTATGAACTGTAGCAATGAATTAACTCTACATACCTCCCGAGTACAAAACCCCTTTTTATAGCTAATGCTCTTATATTAAGTACAGCACAATCTTGAGAGCATCAAAATTATGGTGCATTACTTTTAAGTGCAAGAATAGGATGGCCACTCATATCAACAGTACTGTATTTAACATGAGCAGCATGAGACCTTTTCCATCTTGTATTATGAAATTTGCTTGGTGAAGGTAATAATGCGTTGATCAGCTAAATCAGACTCTAACTAGAAGTACTGTACATAACTTACCTTTAAGTCCAAGGTGTGCTGAGGACGATTTTGAATCACTGAATTTACGGTCAAAGTGACGGAACGTACAGATCGGAAAAGGCCTGGTCTTTTGCCATGACCTATAACACCTTCTACTTTAACTGCTAACATTGAGGTGGTCTGGAAATAGCAAGTCTATTTATTTTACATCTTAATACTACATAGCTCCTTATGTAATGAAATCATGTACAATGGATCCTGCAAATGGTCTTAAAAGCAACAATATGTATATGCAGGTGTCAATCCTACAATACTTATGATTGAGTCATAAAGCACCTTCATTTAGCATGAAATTATTTGATTAAAATGCAAACTGGAGATAAGAATAAAGTTGTTACAATCTGACTCAAAATTACAAGATTGTGATTTGAAGGCATAAAATACAAAATTATCAAATTTGATTTAGATTAGCCGAGTACTTGTCAAACCGACAAACCTGAACACTGATGGGGTCACCAGGAGTGCGAGGCTGTGGAAGAAGGGCTAGGGTTATAGTAGTCTTCTGCAGAGTTTGGAAAAAGAATCGAGGATATGGAAGTGGTACACTTGTCAGCACTTGAGAGATTCCTTGAAGTAACTGTAGATGTTGTTCTCTCACAGGTTTCACCTCACAAGATACCTAATGAAGATGAAAACATATGGATGTAACATTTATACAGCAAAGATAATAGTTACAGTACATCACTTTACATCTACATTATCTTTCAATATTCATAAAATGAATTCAAGCATAAAAGGTAATTATCACTTACTGAAATATGTTAGGTAAAGAAAATTTATGATAAGTCAGTACAGTATTAGTATTATGACAATACAAGAAGAATATGTACAAATAAAATATGGCAACAAGACCAGATTGTTTATGAAAGAATGGTTGGAAACAGCTGATTACTTCATGTCAATGTCATTACACTGCAAACACCAAAATAATATTTGGCAAATGTTTCCATCGATCCTTTACATTTCTACAGAGGAAGATTCTACCGGTGATCTAAAATCGAATATAGATTGAAGCAATACATTAAAAGTATAGGATCAAGACACCCATTTATAAAGGCTAGCAACAATATTGGGACAAATATATATATAAAAAGAGGAATTATTGACAGCCTATGATAGTTACACATAAATCAATTATATATACAGTATAGAAACACATTTAATACAGTATAGTTATATATTTTTTTGTTTACTAACCTGTGCAAGTCTGCGAACCATTGTTGTGGCCTCCTCTAGTGTACCAATTATGGACTGGGTTTCCACTGTTTCCCCACCCCCAAGTTTGCTGGTGATTGTGGTCAAGTCTGGACCAGTGTAATCTTCTGTTAGTTGCCCAGCTGATGGTCTTGTAATAATCTCAATACCTTGAGCCACCAATAATGCCCCTTGTTGTAGAAGTGCTATATTACACAAAGTTTGTGGATCAGCATCAAACACCGACTGAAAAAATATTAAATTATTATTTGCTAAATAATTTGTTTTACACCATTTCACCTGGTACACTATATTATCCATGTACAGTACCTTTAAATTTGATTTGCACGATTTATTTAATTACACAACTTTTACAGGAACATAACTTCAGTGGAAATCAAGGGTCGCCTGTAAACAGCTGAGCATAAAATTAGAGCCCCATGCTTAGATACAGTAGTCCAGATGGAGGTGCACCAGAGATTTGCAGAGCTAATTAACCATATTTTTTTCTTTAAGTCAAAGGTGCATCTAATTATTCCTAAAGTTATGTTAGCTATTTTTTTTTACAGCAGCTCCTATTTGTTGAACAACTTTCAATGACTGGTGGATGATAACCCTAAGGTTGTTCTCTTCCTCAATCTGCTGCATGGTTCTGCAGACCCACCAACTAGCCACCTTATTTAAGCAAATCAAAATCGATGTAAAATGAAACAAATGAGTTTCTTGGAATACAGTATGTGGAATTCAAGAGTGTGGGTTTGTAACTATTCACTAAACTGTGACCACTCATTTAGTTTGAGGAACATTATTGTACAGTATTATACTGTATTACAATAAGACATTAATATATAGGGGAACTTTTTGTTCTTCAAAATACAATACGAAATATATAAATATTGGTTCATACAATTTAAATATTTGTTTTAATTTATTTAAACAAATTAAAAGAGGTTTACCTGGTATAGAGTTCCATACTGAGTGGCTAAATTGTTAAAGTCTCGAGCTGATTTTGCAAGTTGCTGTGATACTCTGCCACACCTTAAGAGATCATCTCTTGTTGATGTTGCTAAAGATGCAGCAATAGCCGGGGGAGGGGCAGTGCGGAGAGAGAGGCAGGCGTGGAGTAGCTGAGCGTGGCACATGAAAGTTTCAGCCCTAAGTCTCACATACTCTTGACAGAAAGTCATAGGCTGATTTGATGTGCTTGCAGCCTTTAAAAAAAAAAAAAAATGAAAAGTACACATTTATAAACATACAGTATGGCAATATAACAAAAGACCTTACTTTATCTTGATTATTGATAATTATCAGTAGAAAGTGTTGTCAGTCTGATTACATGGCTCTTAGAAAAGACATTAGGAAGTATCAAAATGGGTTGGTCATACTAAATGAACAAATAATAGAATGATATACTGTACAGTATCTGAAAGAATTCTACAAAAGGGAGGAGGCAGTGGCCAAGAAATGCTGGCTAGACATTGTGAGTAACTATGTGAGAGAGTGAAGTGTGAACACAGCACATGTAGAGGAAGGATATATGACTTAAGAGGATACAATTTGTCAAGATAGAGCAATAAATATGCAGTTTTACAAATTATACCTAGTCATATGAAGCAGTGCTGCTGTGTATGTTTTCTTGTAATGTGGCAATACTAGTTATATGGTGAGCAATAAATATGCAGTTTTACAAATTATACCTAGTCATATGAAGCAGTGCTGCTGTGTATGTTTTCTTGTAATGTGGCAATACTAGTTATATGGTGTTCACATCATGTGTTAAATGGATGGGTATCTTTTTGACTATCATTAACCATATTGCTCTCCTATTTCTTCTGGGTGTTTATCTCCCGACTTAATGAAAAATGAAAATGGCATAATGATGACAACCTTTAATATGGTGTAATGATTATAATTCTATTGACTTTACAACACTATGTGTATCTTAAACCAATTTAATAAAAAGTTACATTAATAAATTTGAAGGCAATTCAATATTCATCATGCATCTAACATTGATCTGCATAAATTTATCAGAAGTTCATTACCTTTAGAGCCGAGAGTGCTCGGTGGAGGTGAGTGTTTGCTGCTGTGAGATTATCTGCTCTGTCACCTGCTGCTACTGGGCAGGCTTCACCAAGACTCACCTCACCCAGAGCCGAAACCCAGAAATGTTGTTGGTCGGAGCATACACGCCAACTTAATACTCCATACATTCCAGCAGCCAGGCTATGATGGCCATACCTATTTTAAATTGTATGTAGAAAAGTTTTGACTTACTGAAAGCAATACATTTAGTTTAATACTATTACTGATACTATACTTTTGAAAATAATGTATGGCTTAATTCTTTAGTCATATTTTCCATTGTCTAACATTTTTTCAAGATCATGGAAAGTTAATTAAAATTGTGCTAAGCAATGTCAAACTTTATTATTATTATTATACTGCAGCTTTAAGGAATACAGTAAACAGGATTCTTTCTTCCTATGAAATGTTAAAAACTATAATTTCCACAAACCTTGATGCCTGTCGTGCCATACAGAATGCTGCCCATTGATCAACACATTTACTTGCTGCCACTACAGCTGCTTCTGCTTGACTGGACCAGACGTGGCCATGGAACACTTGCATAACCAGCGTGACAAGTGTAACCTGGGTTACATGAACATATTATATTGTATGCTAGTCAATGTAATCTTCAGAACTAATAGCAAGCAATGTATAAATAGTATGTATTATCGAGGTCGTCCCCCCAAAAACCGAATTACTGACCCCGCCCAGGATGCAACCCCACAACAAGCTGACTAACTCTCGAGTACCTACTCACTGCTAGGTGACAGAAGCATTAGATAAAAGGAAATGTGCCCAACCATTTCTGTCCCGCCCTAGATTCAAACCCTAGATTCTTGATTGTGCGTCGAGAACGAATCCAACTGCACTACTGGCACCAAGTAATATATACCAGTACAGTGAAGTAATACCAAGAAATAATTGGCTTGGGAGCTTTGAATAATAATCTTTAAAGTACTGGATGGTCTCAAACATTTTTCTATTGTAGAGAACAGAAAAAGGACAAAGTAATGAGTATTCTTTCGCTTTGTTGGCAAAGCGAAAGAATATGGAAATAAAAAAATTCACTTCAAGTTTCATAAACTGTGCCCATTTTGTAAAATTAAGGCACACCAATTCTGTAAATTACTGTTGAATCCCTAAAATTCATGCTGTACAGTGTTTACATTGCGACAAATTACAGACTAAACAAAATTATTCTGAATTTTATCAAAATAGTTTCTAATAACCTACCATTAATTTGGTTTTGTGTGGACTGAGTGGTGCTTCAAGTGTAAATTTTTGAATGAGTTTCAAAATTGGTGTCAGATGTGGCGTTAGAACTTCACCACGACTTCCCCCGAGGGATGCTAATGCCTCACACACCAGCTGACATCCACAAACTATAGAAAGAGTAAAAAAAAATTGAAATAAATGTCTTTACAAATTTATAACAATAAATTAAGCAATAAAGTCACAACTTTTACTTTTATTTCTCTCAGATTCTTTATCCCACGCCTTCATTTCTCACTATGTCATAATCCACATCTTTTCCAAGATACCTTAGCTATCCCTTAAAAAATCCACTACATCAAATAAGCCTTTACAAGTTTCCATTATTTTTTTATTGTTCACTTCAACAATTTTTTTAAGTTCCACATTCAATATTATTGTTTATTAACTTTCTGAAAATAAAATTAATCTGTTTGACTCAGCTTCTACAAGATCGTCATTCATCCGAGAGTTGTATACAAGGTGAGGACCAAAATCCAACGTGTAGTGATGGAAATGAATGCATGCATGGTTGAAGTGTATACCAAGATTTTAATTGGAATATAGAGTAAGGTGTCTGGATTTTATCATTATTGTTAACAAATATATTCTAAATGAAAACATTATACTATTTTCATTACTGTTTAATTAAACTGCAAACATAAGAAAACTGTTGTATAAAGCAATTTATGCATCAACACATAAAAACTGCAATGGACCCCCACCAACTGACACATGGGGAATGCAAGCCAAGGTCAAGTTCTTTTTCTAATGGCAATAAGATTTGCATTTTGTATAATTGACATTTTTCATACTACCAAAATTTGCAATCTTGTAAGATTTTAGTTTGTTTTTGTATTATAAATCTAGCACTCAAAAGGTCAATAAAAGTGACTAACCTGATAGTATGCTGTCTGCCAGGATGTCAGTCAGAGTGACGGCTAAGTCACTCATGATATTTGATTTAGTCTGGGCTAGTAGCACAGTACACACCTTACCAAAGAAAAATATGCAAAGATTAAATTTTAAAGCCATGCTAATCATACTAACATTACAGTAATAATGAAATATGTAAAAGTCTCTTAAGTATAATATGGTTTTGTGCAGTATCAAAAAGTGTGGTGGGTTGACCCTAAACTTCATCCACTGAAATTAAAAAGAATGTACTGTACATGCATACCAAACACGTCCGAAGACCAGCAGGAATGAACCCCTCGGGGCCAGGCTTGGCAGCATCATCAACCTGTGATGCACTGACAACACTCTGCAGAAGACTCAGAGCAGCACAGTGAGCCTCTTCACACACTACACTTGTTTTCTGCTCCTCAAACCTTCGGGCGAGACAAAACACATGCAAGATAAAATGTGCTTGTGTGCAACATTGCAAACATGCTTCTTAACAAGGTACAAACAAAGAGAGTTTACAGTACCGTACAGCATTATAAACAATGCTATAAATGTCAAGGAGAAACACTGCTCATGAGCTCACACACTGCTACTTACATATAGATAGCTATGTTGGTAAACAGCTGAATGGCTCTGCATGCCACATGAATGTTACTGTCGTACACACACTCTCGGCACAAGTCTACAAGGGCACATTCTGAAATAATTTAAAGTTAAACTTGAAAGTAGTTATATACAAAATGTATCAATATATATATGTGGATATATATACATAAATAACACCACTGAAAGGTGGGTGGTCAATGGTCTTTTTACAACTCTTTAGTTATGACAATTCTTAAATTCATATTTTTCTGGGATACACATCACCACTAATGTACTCACCCAATTGTACTTGTGGGGGTTGAGCTTGAGCTTTGGCTCTTTGGTCCCGCCTCTCAACCATCAATCTACTTGTGTATTCCTGAGCTTTTCGAGCTCTATCATTTCTACATTTGAAACTTGTGTATGGAGTCGGCCTCCACACATCACTGCCTAATGCATTCCATTTACTTACTACAGTACTCTGACGCTGAAAAAGTTCTTTCGAATGTCTCTGTGGCTCATTTGGGTACTCGGCTTCCACTTGTGTCCCCTTGTGTTTGTACCACCCATGTTAAATAATCCATCCTTGTTTACTCTCAATTCCCCTGAGGATTTTGTATGTGGTGATTATATCTTCCCGAGCTCCTCTGTCTTCCAGCAATGTGAAGTGCAGTTCATGCAGCTTCTCCTCGTAACTCATGCCTCTTAGTTCTGGGACTAGCTTAGTGGCATACCTCTGAACTTTCTCTAGCTTTGTCTGTGTGTTACTTAAGAATTAAATCTTTACACATGACACAAGCAAACCTGTCTAATCTAGTGTAATTGTGAACAAAATAAATTATAAAATGAATTGAGGAACACAATGTAAATTTACAAAGAACACTTTGGATAGTATAAAAAGCAATTTAACCAAAACAAAAGAATAGGTAAAAAGACTACTTGTAATTAAAAAATTCCTAGCAACTTCTGCCTTACATGTATGGATGTGTTAAAGTTAAATTTAATAATTCTGACACACTTATTAGCTCCATAGGCTATACACTGTACTGCTTATAAGCTTTCCAAATGGCTAATCCAAATATTAAATCCTGTTGAAGGAAAGGTATCCGACTCCAATGTAATGAATAAAGTCACTTTGTTGATAAATTAAGTAAAAAGAAAGACATTATGGCACCATGATAGTTTTGATATCCAAGAGTTTGAATTCATTAATGCTAAACTGTAATAAAACTCAACTAAAGCTTCAATATTGCTAACATTAACAGCCTACCAGGAGTAAGTGTGATGCGAGGCAGAGCTGGAGCTGCAGTCAGTGATGCCAGAACAGAGAGGGCTGTTGTAGTCATAGCAGGATTGTGGCGAGAAGATCGAGTAAACTTAACCAGCGTTTCCACATTGTCTGCAGACCAAGCATGTGGTGCTGCCCCTGCTAGGAACCCAAGCTCGCCAAGGACTGCTTGACGGACTCCAATGCGTGCCTCACTCTCCAAGTATCCAATTAAAAGGTCAACCTGTAACAAAACAGGACAGATTCTGGAATTAAAGAATAAAAACGTAATTTGGGAGGGACTCCTTCTTAAAAGAGACACATGGAGTGATGAATAATTGGGTAATACTATACTTCATATAGGTATTTTATCTCCATCTTTTGCCTAGAAGAAGGCAACTAGACATAATGTTCTCTAATGTCGAGAAAGAGGTAAACAACCTACCAAGAAATGTGAAGTGTGTGGACAAACACTGGGGACACACACTACACCATTACATCTTATATTGTGTGAAAACTTAACCCTTTAGAGACAGATCTAAACTTATCACACCTGAACTAAACAGAAAATGGCTTATAATTTTATTGCTATTGTTAAAATATAAAAAATTCTTATGCTCTATATATATATTTTGCTCACATGATGAGTATGGGGTGAACAAACCAGTACTGTTGATGGGGATAGAAGAAAACATCTTTAATTGGTTATCTTGATAACATTAAAGAAATCAAAACAAAAACTATCCTTAACATAATAAGATCTGAATGCAGAGGAAGTATGGAAACTAATTTTTATTATATATCTGCCTCGGCTTTAGCTTGGACACTCAAAATTCTGTCTGGGATTAATTGCAAAACACATGCATCAATATCCAATGTCCGTACAGTTTAAACATATACCTTTGAGAGCTAGCTCAGAAAAATTATTTCCTATAATAATAATCACAGATATAACCTTTAAAGATACACATTTTTTTGGAATACTGTAATACAAGTTCACACAATAATATTAAGTCTCATTAGAATAAACCTTCACTAAAATCATGGTGCAATAGGGGACCCTGTTGCTAAATTTGCAATGTAATCATCCAACTATAATGATGCATTAGACAATCTCTAGAAGCATTCACAAACAATGTGCTCTGAGAATGTAAAAATTGGCTTTGAAGAATAAATACATTTGGTTTAATACATTCTTTCATGTCACTCTACCTTCCATACTCTATAGCATAACACTCAATTAGTACTTCCACACATGGTACATAATGGGGAACTATTAGCTCCACACTTTATAGTATAACAGAATTAGTGCTTCAACAATTTGTAGCATCACAAAGAATTTATACTACTGCAATCTGTATCATCATGGGCAACTAGTACTCCCTCATTCAGCATAAGAACCAAGGGAGTTCCTCACATATTTCAGATATTAAGTGTAAAGATATAGTCAAACAAAATGTCAATCATCCATTTCCTGCTAACAACCTGCTAAATGAATGAGACTACATATAGCTCACCTGCCGAATGAATGAGAATATTTGTAACTCACCTGCTGAGGAATGTCCACCAGAATATGAGCAGCCAGTTGTGTGAGCGTGTGTAATGTTGTAATCACCACTCGCTGTGTTGGGTACTCCTTCAATAGCTCCAGGCACAAACTCCGCACCTTAAATAATACGGTACTGTAATTGATTTATGTGGAGACGATTATTCATCAAACCATTTTTAATAATCCAGATGACTATTAATTAAAATTTTATTTTAAGCTCCTGAATAAAAACCATATATTTGTTTACACAAAATGAATTCTTAAAAATGTTACATAATCAAATTTACAACCTTATTCAGTATAATTTAAATGTGCAACAAATGTACCAAATACTACAGTATTAACATAAAGTCCCTCAGTACTTGGATCAAAACCTTGCCAAAGAATGGATGATGATAATAGTTATGTAAGACAAAAAGGGAAAGAGGGAAGAGGAGGACGAGAAGGAGGAATGTGAAAGAGGACACAAAAGAGCTAGCGGTGATAACAACTACTTGTTCATTGTACATAAATTAACTGGTATGAAAAGTTATTTTGTATTATTGGAATTATACCAAAATACATTTCTAAAACTGGAACAACTAAATAACCTAGCTTAACCTGTCCTAGGTCTAAATAAGCAATTCTTAGCCTAATACAAGACATCTTAGGTCAAATTTAGTACATACTTGTGTTATAATAGGCCTAGGGAAAGCTTAAGCTTGGTTCTTACCGTCCACAAAATAAATACTGTAATACAAAACAAACTTTTTCTGGGTACAATAGGTAATTTTTGTACGTCCAACCAAAAGTTGCTACACATACTAATCATTTTTGGAAGAGATTGATCTCAGCAAGGTAATACAATACAGAACAAAATTATGATTCAGCAGTTGCTCCTTCCATACCCTGAATATTCATAATACCAAGTTATTCTTACAGTTGCAGCAGTTTCAGCATCATGATGCATGTGTTGAAACACTTGAATCAGCTGTAGCTTCACATCAACTGGTGTTGCCAGTCCTCCAATCATGTGGATGAGACGTTCACACATGTTCATAGCAAATGTTCTGTCAAATATATTACTGCTATAACTTTTGCAGCACTAAAAAAAAAAAAATTATGTTAACTATTTCTCATGTAAGATATTTATCAGAAGTATAAAATGAATACACCATGTAATTATTATATTAATAATCGACACCCATAAAATATTCAAAATCCATACTTAGATTTTGCAGCATATTTTTCTGCAGCCATTATAGCAGCCTGAAGCTCCACCGATTCCTTAGCATCTAGGGCTTCACGGATCAGATGCTGCACTCGTCTGTTCTCTCCCACAACCCCCGACATCCATCCCAGAGTACGAAGAGTGAGGGCCCGTGCCAACTGCGGGTTAAAAGAGAGAACAGCCATTACAGGAAAATCTTCATACATAACATTTTATTTTTCTTGACTGAATAATGTCATTATAAACGGATTATTCTTAGAAAGAGATACAGTACAGTCTAGCTAGGTTCATTATAAAAACACAAAATGCTCATATTCTGCCCAAGTAAAACCATTGTCAATCATGCCATTGTGATTTCAATGTGATGATACTGCAAGTTTATTATATTTTTTTATTTACAGATCTTTAACCCATTTAGCCAAATTAATGGAGAAAGTAATTTAATTTAACATGCCATATTTGTCAGTAATACGTAATACTGACCAATAGCTTAATGGACCTTTTGTTATCATTTTTATAAATTGGGAATGGTTACCACTTCTTATGTCTGCAAGGTTTTCTTTTGTAAAGATGCATTGAAAATAATCTGCAGTGGGAAGCTAAGCTTATGAGCACCTTTTTTCAGTACTCAACTGCTTTGCTTCTACTTAAATCATCAAGTTATATATATATATATATATATTATATATATATATACTGCATTATATATATATATATATTATATAATCACTTACACACACTAAGTGCTCTAAGTTATGCTTTTAAGTCCATAGTGTATCTGGTGCTGTGAAATCCTGCTTTGTACAAACATACAATAATTCCCAGTAACATTCCCTTTTAAAGTGAAATCAATCTGTTATTTCCTTTTCAAATTACCGTTCTCTTATGTCTTAATGACTGACATTTAGTCTCCATTAGAAGACAATCACTTTTGCTTTATGAAGGCAAGTATAGTTGGAAAAATATTTATTTTCTGATGACATCCCTATAGCTCGTCTGTATAATTACCTAAGTATAGTTACAGGATGAGAGTTAGCCAGTACACCTCTTTTCACAAATATTAAAATAATGCCCCTTTTCACACAGAATACACATTCATTTACAGCACTGTTCTCTTTACATTATATAGCTAAATAATAAAGATTATAAATAAAAGAACTAATGTTACCTATGATACATCATTATTATATAACCTACTATCCTAGGTATCAAAGTTTTCCAAACATAAATGAATCCTTCATAAAATGGTTTACATATACAGAACTTACCAATTGGCTAACCTTAAGCAACAGCCTACAAATACAGTACTAAGAACAAGCAGAAAAATTTTATATAAAATGTTTGTTATCTTCAACTCACTGGATCATTTGAATGCATGACAGTTGTAATACGACGGAGGAACTCATCCACATTAATGAGCTTATCTAAATGCCGTCCACACGATTCCACCACTTCAACAACACAGACACGCACAAAGTTGCTCCTGAAATGAAGTTATAGTAAGCTTATTTTGTGAAAAAACCCTACAGTACTAACTTGATTTATTAACAACAATGGAAGATGAAGCAAAATCATGAATAGGAAATAAAACTGACTTCGCTCAGGCAAGAAAACAAATGCAGATCTTTTCCTGGAGAATTCCACAGTGGTTTGGTAAGGGGTAAGTTAAAGTGGAATTTGATAACTCAATAAAGTATGGTACACGAGACACTTGATATAAAAGATTGAGGAACACGTTACGAATGTACACAGTCTACAATGTGTAGTCATCATATGTCAAACATCTGTGTTTCTATGTATTTACGTATGTAGGTTAGCTTAGCATTTTAAAAGCACCGAATCGCCTTATGTGGTTGATTGTTCAACAAACCCCTGAACTATATGTTTAACACATCTCTAACCCTGTCCATGGAGGACAGAAGAAAATGTATATATGCTGATTAGCATTGTAAATGTGTGGCCACGTCTGTGGTAGAAAATAATAATAATAATAAAAAAAAATCATATGTCAAACTTCTAGCCACTGTAGTTATCATCATTTAACGATTTTTGTTATTACTGCCTACTTTTGTATTAATGTAAATACTGTATGATCATAATACATCTATAAAAATGTAATAAAGATAATAAATACTCATGAAAAAAATTGATCTTGTTTTGTAATTGCAATGCAATGATAATAATAAATAATAACCTCATTGCAATAATACAATGAGGTTATCATTTACTAGGAGCCTGGGGTTATTGTCAGATAACAATTTGCTCTTTACCACCAGTGTTTCAATCCATTCTCAGATGACAAAACCAGAGAGAATTTGAGCAAAGGGTTGGGCAGAGAAGAAAGTGTCTCAGAGGAGACACTTCCTGAGCTGTGCCAGGAATGCAAGAAAGGTGTACATAAGTAATGTAGACTTACATACAGTACAGTGTACTCAATTATATTGTAAAGTATTTTTAGCACTGTTTATCAGACATCTGTACATAAATATATTCAATACAAACTCTATATTATGTAAATTAATGAACAAAGCATCAAACCACTGAAATTGAACATTTGAATTGTCTCCTCATACCACTGTCGGCAAACAACGCATCTGGCATTAACAGCTTCAATGACCTCGCCATCAGGCCTCCGTGTACAGCTCACCAAACCAACGACATTTTTTTTTTTTTTTTAGTTTTTATCTTTTTCCTTTATTACACAAATGTATCCCATGAATAATGTTTGTTGTGTTTTGCTCACAGACAAGGAAACAATTTTCATGATTTACCACATTTTGAGTTAAAAGCACCTCAGTATTTCTGTACTGTACTGTATTTTACTTTCTACAACTGTGATGCTCAGAATGTTGTATCAAACAATACATGACAAGGTATGCATACCAAAGGAGTGTCTTTTTTTTTTTCCCCATGCAAAATACAGATCACAATATCATGCTGGAACAAATAAACACTTTTCACATCTATAATGATTTGATTTAGCATTTCCTTCACCAAGGCACTGTACATCATTTTAGGTATAAAAGTTTTCATAACTTTGCAAACACTAACTATGACAAGTGCAAACAGCTCCATTCTATACACGATACATAAAAATACAAACTCACCCCGGTGTCTCCTGGCGGAATACATCAGCCAATTTCAGTAGAGCAGAGTTAATTAGGATAGGAAATGGGTATTTTTCAAACAGTGCTGGAAATTTAGATATAGCTTCACACTGTTCTCCTGTTCTCGATGATTTCAGCCCTGGAAATCACAAATACAAAATTTTATATGCAATAGAAATTCTGCCTAAAACTCTTTAAGACCTGTAAAGAACTTTTTTCAATGTATTCTTAAACAAATTTGCATAATAATCACAGGCAATATGACTGCTAAGCTTAAATTTTGTATTACTACCCATATCTTGAGGTTATCTTGAGATGATTTCGGGGCTTTAGTGTCCCCGCGGCTCGGTCCTCGACCAGGCCTCCACCCCCAGGAAGCAGCCCGTGACAGCTGACTAACACCCAGGTACCTATTTACTGCTAGGTAACAGGGGCATTCAGGGTGAAAGAAACTTTGCCCATTTGTTTCTGCCTCGTGCGGGAATCGAACCCGCGCCACAGAATTACGAGTCCTGCGCGCTATCCACCAGGCTACGAGGCCCCACGAGGCCCCATGAATATAATTTTTGTATTATGTATTATACAATATTACAGTACCAAAGTTACAAATGTCATACTGTACTGTACTTCCAGTAATAAAAATTAGAAAAATTGTATACCCAAAATTTCATAATTGGAAGAAATATAATGATTAGAATCATCCCTCTCCAAAACATGATGATAATTATTTATAACAATAGCCTAATTCATAGGATAACAATAGTTAATTCATAGGATAAAGTTGCCTCTTGTCAGACACATGGGCGAATAAATTGTAGCACCTACCACATTGGCTAAAACTAAGTATAAAATCAAGAAATTTTTATTTATACTGTACTTCAATATGTTGAAATAAGGCGAAAAATATATGAATTAAACAAGTTGCGTAATATTGAGGGAAAAAATTCCACGTTAGCAAGTACAGTAGGCATCTTACAACACTCTTAAGACAATATTATACCTTCATATAAAGTAGTACTGTATCCAAGGTGTTGTCATATTTGATAAATACATAAATGTTCTTTTCTGAGAAAAATACAATCATCTTCCTTCCTTAGTCTACATTTGATTATCATAAAATCATGTATTATAATTTTCACAATGAATACCTTTCCGTCTTTTGTGATTCAACATGTTATTAGAATGGTTGCAATCTATTCACTGATGCAGGTGCTATAGGTTTTCTTGGCACAAGATGCCACCAAGCAGCTAGATATGGCAACTTTATCATACCAGTGAAATGCCAAACCAAGTGGTCAATTTTTAAAGTAAAGCAATACTTCAAATTTCCAACCCATATCAGCAGGTAGGGAAATTTTGATGAGAACATTTTTTACATCTAAATTTACCAATAGGGTTCAATGAGAGATGTGACTTGTTCAAATTTCAAGTCATTGGTGACTTCACATTGTTGTACTGGCAAATTTGATCTTGTGCCACTTTCATGCCACAACATTATGGTATTATTAATTTAATTAATTCACTATGTTGGGGAAAAGACATCCAGTATACATACACATGTACGGTTTACATCAAGGTCACTCCAAAGGTAAAACTACTAACCTTTCCCAAAGATGCAACTCTACAACAAGTTAATGCCTGGGTACCTATTTACTGGTGGGTGAACAGAGGCAGGAAATGGTAGGAACGCACCCAACCATTTCTGCCCTACTCGGGATTCAAACCCGGAATTCATGACTGTGAATTGAGAATGAACCCGACTGCGTCCCCCTTTATGTTATGATGTATTCAAATAATCCATCATCTCTTCAACTTGTATCCAAATTGTGCAGTGCAATACGTCAGCCTCTGTAGCATAAGTCAAGGCTCTCGAGGCTCCAATATATACTGTGAATACAACACCTTACAGTAATAACAAAGCATGAATTCTTTACCCATACAAGTGTGACCACTGCTGATGTAAAATTAGATTAGTAGTAGAGATGTTTGTTCTCGACTCACAATTGGGAATCCCGGGTTCAAATTTCAGGGCGGGACAAAAATGGTTGGGCATATTCCTATCATCTACTGCCTCTGTTTACCTAGCAGTAAGTGGATACCCAGGAGTTAGTCACCATGTTGTGGGGTTGCATCCTGGGGAGGGTCTGTATTTCCATCTTGTGGGGGACCTCGCTATAAGCCCAACATACGTATATACGAGGGGAAGGGAACTATCAGGGGAAAAGCGCCAAGCCATTACGACTATATAGCCCTGGGTATATATATTTAAGTAACATCGGTTTCAAGCTCAACAAGCCACAATGTAGGACTGAGAACAGGAAATGTCTCTTCACCCACAGGGATATAAACCCATGGAACCGCCTACCCGTGGAAGCTGTAAACTTTTAACTTTTAAAGTACAACTAGGTAAGGTAAGGTAGGTTGGTAGGTAAGGTAGAATAGATCATCAAGGCAAATAGGGGAGCTTCGACAAGCCGCCGGCTCATGTTTTCGTCGAGGGCACTAGTGTCATTGGCTCTCAGGTAAAATACCCAGGCAGCCTGTCCCCGACAAAATTAATTAATCTATTTTATATCTTCCAAAGATGTCCCGGGACACAGAGCGACCGCTCACCTCTGTCCAGCTCCAGCAACGCTGAATTACCATCCTGGTCCTGCTCACTCAACCCAATATCAGGAAAGGAGATGGGTCTTGCTAATGCTGTAGCCATATTTCATATCACAACACACTACTGACACTGTCTGTTGTTGTTGTTGTTATTAACACAAGCGTGGTAAACCAGGATGGTAAACTCTCCCTCGGGGCGCACACTGGAGGCCGCCTGCAATGATACAGTACTCACGAATCTCACCATCAGATGACACCACAGGTACATATACATTCGGGAATATTGGAAGAATTAAAATTGTGGGGGTTGAGCTCTGGTTCATTGGCCCCGCCTTTCAACTGTTAATCAACAGGTGTACAGGTTCCTGAGCCTATTGGCTCTATCATATCTACACTTGAAACTGTATATGGAGTCAGCCTCCACCACATCACTTCCTAATGCATTCCTTTTGTCAACTACTCTGACATTAAAAAAATGTTCTTTCTAATATATCTGTGGCTCATTTGGGCACTCAATTTCCATCTGTGTCCCCTAATGCGTGTGCCCTTTGTGTTAAATAGCCTGTCTTTATCTACCCTATCACTTCCTTTGAGAATCTTGTATGTGGTGATCATGTCCCCTCTAACTCTTCTGTCTGCTGTGTATACCTAAGCTTGTTAATAAAAAAAAACACAGCCTCTCAAAACTCAACGCTGTTTGTTGTATTCTTTTAGCTGGATTTACCTGAGGGCTATCATAATTGGGACAACAGTCTGTTGAAGAAAAGGACCTAGGCGTCAGAATGCAATAAAAAAAATAAAGCCAATCAAACCTTAGGAAGAGTCAAACGAATTTTTGACTTCAAGACGAGGTCCTACTAGGATGCTAGGCCAACTACAGCGAACTTGCATTCTATAGGATGTAACTCACAACAGGTGCCTAATTACCGAGTACCATCTATTTTACTGTTAGGTAAACAGAGGAACCAGGTGAACGGAAACGTGCTCAACCGTTTCTGTTCCGCTCGGGGAATGAATTCGTTCTGTCTTCTAGCAAGGCATATAATGCCTGTGTTGGTTACAGGTAGCTCTCCAACTTGCCCAAGCTTCTCCAAGTTCACAGCATAATTGACAAATCAGCAGCTTATCTATAATTTCTGCCGGTTTACAAATTTAATCAGAGACGTATATCTGGGAAAATTAGGAAAGCAGTGGAGACGGTTTGCCAGTGTGGCACAGTCGCCCTCTGTGCTGCCTTATCACGGCAAGGTGAGTTGCAACATCTGCGGTACAATCACTCTTTCTGCTCCTCACAATTCATGCTTTACATCTCAATTAGTTTTACGTCTTTGTTTTTAAGTGTTTTTCCCACATTTTGCCTGAAACGTTCTGCCTATTAGTGGCTTTAGGCATAGTATGTACTAACTCTACCTAGAAATTCAACATTCGGTTTGTAATTCATTTAGTATATTTATGTACTTAATCAGTGTATTTTAGTCCATTCAGCACTAAAGTATACAGGGGGGTTGGGCAGTAAGCTCTTGTATGCAGGCGATGAGTCACAATAACGTGGCTAAAGTATGTTGATCAGATCACACACTAGAAGGTGAAGGGACGACGACGTTTCGGTCCGTCCTGGACCATTCTCAAGTCGATTGTGAATGGTCCAGGACGGACTTGAGAATGGTCCAGGACAGGCCGAAACGTCGTCGTCCCTTCACCTTCTAGTGTGTGGTCTGGTCAACAAGCTCTTGTAGTAACCTTAATTAATAATCCTCTCGAGATTGACAAGCTTCAAGTCCAAAAACAAACCACGAGGTGGACCCCCAAGATAAGACATATCGCCATGTGATATGTCTGTGCTTATATTGTTATGTCTCACAATACCGCGGTGTTATTGACACCAGACAACCCAACAACTCCACACGTGAAGCCTCATAACAGCTAATGAAATCTTAATCTTCACCGGTATTAATAAACTAGTGTTTCTTAGTCGAGTTGATAACAGACAAATTTGATTGCTTTGTAACGTACGATTATGTAGATAGATTAGATACACAGTGTTTAGTGGATTTTCATATTTATTTAGTAGTCTTGGATACAGCAGTGTCGTAGACGTTGAGACGGAACTTGGGGCAGAGCAGAAAGCTGTGAGGCCGGAGTCGCGGAGCTCGATGTGGGCGAGCATGGCGGACTCGATGGGGAATCGTGAGTGTCTAAACTCGATGGGGTGGTGAGTGTCTAAACTCGATGGGGTGGTGAGTGTCTAAACTCGATGGGGTGGTGAGTGTCTAAACTCGATGCGGTCGTAGTCTGCTGTCTGCTCTGTGTCGAAGATGTCGATTGGGGTCAATTAGAGCTGTACACGCCGAGTGCTACATTCTTGAGGTTGAAGAGGTGTGGTAACTCCTAAGCGTCTGTACTGAAGTTAAGTGAATCACTGTGGAAATTGTATTGCTTCTCAAATGCTTATATTATTGGACTTCTCCTCAGCTTCCTCCAATAGGATAGAAGGATGGAAGAACTGTTACCTGTAGTTAGGGAAAAGATTATAGCTCTGCAATTAGTGCTAATGAGTTTGTCATTAAGGTAATGAAAGGTTGGAGCGAGTATATTTTTACTCGCTACAGCTTCAAAACCAAATACAATACTATAAGTTTAGGCATCTATTTGTTGCTTTATTAGTGACTTTTCATGGACTTTTTCTCGATTTCGAAACTTGCCTTTAAGTATATTAATTGGGTTCAGGGCAGGATGCTCACAATGGATTTGTAATTTTGCAGAAATTCTGCAGAAAGTTGGAAATTGCATCTCAGTGTGAGGATTTAAACCCCACATCGGTATTTATTTAGCATCTATTCACCATTAATCCACGTCTTAGAAATTACTTGGGATTATTTTGTAAGAGGATTTGGATTTTTTGTTGGCAGATTTTAATTTTTTTATGGTGGATTAGGATTTTTTTTGTTGGCAGCTGTGAAAATTTGTTTGTTAACGGATTTGTAATTTGTTATTGTCGGATTTGGATTTCTTTTTGTTGGTGGATCTAGATTTTGTGTTGCAGGATTTGGATTATTTGTTGGCAGAGTTGGATTCTTTTTTGTTAGAGGATTTTTTTTATGGATTTGGAATTTTTTGTTGGCGGATAAGGATTTTTTTTTATTTGTTTTCGTTTTTTTTTTATTTTTTGTTGAAGTTGGATTTTTTTTGGTTGGCGGTTTTGGATTTTTTGGTTGGCGGATTTTGAATTTATTAGTTGGTGGATTTGGATTTTTTGTTGGCGGATTTGGATTGGTTGGCGGATTTGGATTGGTTTTTGTTGGCGGATTTGGATTGTTTTTTGTTGACGGATTTGGAATTATTTGTTGGCAAGTTTTTATTTTATTGTAGGGAGATTTGGATTTTTTTTATGGGCGAATTCGGATTTTTTTGCGGATTTATAATTGTTTTGTTGGCGGATTGGACGTCCTTATTATTATTATTATTATTTGTTGTAATTAAGTCAACGCGGGCTATATAAACAGACATTACGGCAAATATTGTTTGTATTCGTAGCTCCTTATATTTACAATGTTCGTATTGTTGCCTGAAGTGTTGATGAGCACTTGTTATTATTGGTTTATAATCATCAATTAATTATTATAATTAATCATAATTATAGCAAGTATATAAAATTAAATATAAATACTTAATCAAAGTTTTAACTTTATGGTTAAATGAAATATGTTGGCAACACAGCCATCAAATCTAACTCTCCAACACATTCGGATACCGACACTCAGATTTTTTAGTTCTCTGTGTTTACAGTGTATTACGGGAAGGTAAAAAAGTGAAAATTCGATTTAAATAATGAATGGACTGAGATTTCGTATTTGTGAAGTAAAAATCTGTATCTCGGGTGTCAGGTAAATATTCTTTAGTGCTGATTTCGTTACATTTTTAACAGCCGTGTGATAATTTGCTTGCCTCGTTAACTGTGCAGACATGCATATGGTTCTAGTCCTCGCCCTGCACTTCCTCGCAGGGTTATATATACCGAGATCTATACTTCTCGGTGTATATGCAATAAGAATTTACCTTAGTCATGGACTTTGCCCATGACTAAAGTATTCTTGATGGTTAGTGAGTAATTGTGGTGGCCTTAATAACCTTCCAGTCCCCAACACCAAATCAAACTTCCTTGCCAGGCCAACAACCTGTTCATCTTGTTGGTCAATGTTCTGATTGTTGTTGTTTTAATAAGGGCAGCAACAAGATCTAGCCATACCTAACCTACTTTATTTCAATTAACTTACCTTAACCTATCATAATATGGTCCCCGTAGTACAGTCAGGTTCGTTCTCGACGCACAATCGAGAATTCTGGGTTCGAATCCAAGGCGGGACAGAAATGGTTGGGCACATTTCCTTTCACCTAATGCCTCTGTTCACCTAGCAGTGAGTAGGTACTCAGGAGTTGTGGGGGGGGGGGGGTTGCATCCTGGGCAGGTTAGTAATTCGGCCTTGGAGGGGGGAGAATTTGATAAAGCCCAAACGTGTATGAATACACTCTGGCTTCCTGTCTACTGACACAATGAATTAAAATTAAATAATTATAACCCACCTTAACCTATCATAATTATAATAATAATTCATTGTGTCGGGGAACAATATATATATATATATATATATATATATATATATATATATATATATATATATATATATATATATATATATATATATATATATATATATATATATATATACAATATATATATATATATATATATATATATATATATATATATATATATATATATATATACATATATATATATATATATATATTAAGGCACAACTCTCCTAAACACGAGAGTTAAGTATACAACTTTAGAACACTTTCCCACCAGGAGACTCGAACCCTAGCCAGCACAGAAGCCTTCCAGCAACTGGCATAACAGGTATGCCTTAACCCTCTGCACCACCGCTCAGACCCTTAAAAGAGATGGTAATTTCGGAGTATTTAAATCCCCCAAAGATCAACACCTCCCAAGAGCACCAGAGCAAGTGAGGGGTCATTTAGACGTTAATTTCATCAAGTCCCTGTTAATATGGGAAGACACAGTGTCTCTGCTTAAGGCACAACTCTCCTAAACACGAGAGTTAAGTATACAACTTTAGAACACTTTCCCACCAGGAGACTCGAACCCTAGCCAGCACAGAAGCCTTCCAGCAACTGGCATAACAGGTATGCCTTAACCCTCTGCA